CCGCACGGACGCCGAGGAGCAGCGCCGCATCGAGTCGGGCGAGGGCGGCCGCACGATCTTCACCGGCGAGTGGAAGCGCACGCCCGAGCAGCGCGCGGTCTGTGCCGAGCTCGAGCGGGTCGCACAGGAGGTCGGCGCACAGCACATCACGTCTGTTGCTATCGCGTGGATCATGCAGAAGGTCCCGTACGTCTTCCCGATCGTCGGCGGCCGCAAGGTCGAGCACCTCCACCAGAACATCGAGGCGCTCTCGATCCGCCTCTCGGACGAGCAGATCAAGCGCCTCGACGGGACCGTGCCCTTCAAGAAGGGTTTCCCGTACGAAGATTTTGTACGTCTCCCGTCGATCTATGTGGAGCGGTGCCGTTGACGTCTTGTACACAGGGTGACGGGAGCGAATACAGCACTGTTCACAAGATGCTGGGACACTTTGACATGTGGCCCAGTGCACAGCCCATCAAGCCTCAGCGAAGGAGCTAGCAGCTGTGTCCGCTCATTAAGTGGCGGGAGTCGCAGCGAAATTGACCATCTCTACAACATTCACAGCTTTGTAGATTATCAATGTAGTTGTTCATTCTTCTGAACTTCGCCAGCTGTGTGGAAGTCCGCAAACCCACCGATCCGAAGTTATCCACGACGCTGGGCTAGCAAAAGGCCAGCCACGTAGTACTCGCCAAATCTGGCCCTCGACTGCAGTCCGCCAGTCCACCAACGTGTTCGTTGCTTGCTAGAGCGAATTGAAGCCAGAGAAAGGTGTTGAATAAATCTTTCCTCAATCGGGGTCTGTGCTGGTTGGAAGTCTAGCCAGTGTGAGGTATAAGATAGGCTGTGTGTCGAAATGCGAGGGCTCTTAGCAAGATGCATTGTATAAGATCAATCAAAATGAAACGTATTCCGAAAGGCCCTACTGAGCGCCATAAGTACACTCACCCATCGCGTGGCCTTTTCCCTGCAAAATCAGCCGAGAGCGACGGGGTTTAAAAATTAAATTAAATTAAATTTCACCAAGAAAACATGGGGATAAACCTCCATGCAGCTCCATTTTTCATGAGTGTGGTCATATCTCGAGGGCTATTTGGCTGTATTTGCTACACATTTTGTCCGGTGGCCCCAGGCTCTAACAAGAGCTGCGCTTACCATCCAGTGTTGCTGTTCGTTACCCTAAGGTGCGGCCCGATAAGTCAAGGCACGATCATCAAATCCATTCATCTGGGGCAGGGACTATCCATGTGGTGGATCACATAGCTGAACAGGACTGGTACGAGACATGGACGCATGAGCAGGAAGAGAAAAAACTAGAAGGCCATATAAGATTACAGAGCGTGTACGTGTCTAGGAGGGAGTCAGTTAACTTGCATTCTCCTGGAATACATCAACGTAGCGACTGCGAGCGTTGCGCTTCGCCCCCGGGCGGGCCCTCGCACCACCGATCGACGGACCGTCGAGGTTAGGAGGGTCCATAGAGGACGCAGAGCGCGGTGAAACTGCGCTCGCTGGGGTGTTCGGGGCTGAACTCGCCCCTGTAGGTACAAGGTTCGAGTGAACACGCATCGGCGGCTTCTTCGGAGGTCCATCCGTGAGGTCGACAGCTGTTGCAGGACGCACAGGTGGTGTGCCAGGTGCCGGAGGTGCCGGATGCGATCTAAATGCGGAAGATGCCGGCGAAGCAGTCTGTGCTCGTGGAGGTGCTGGCGGAGGTGTCGGAGCAGAAGATTCGGGCCCAGCCTGTAGAACGTATAGTCAGGACAATGAGCTGCACGACAGAGGAGGACGTACGTTTTTGTTCACCCAGCGCTTCAAGTCCTTGTCGTAGTAGAAGCTGTTATTATCCCCCAGGTTGGCCTTCACCGGACCACCTGACCCTTCGTTACGCTTCCAAAGTTTGCTAATCGAGAACCATCCATTAGTGGGAGTGGCTAGGAGGAATGATCAGCACGGGCTGCGCAGGAACTAGCGAGTGCACGTACCAGGCTTCTCAGCCTCTTTGGCAAGCTCGGATTTCTGCGCTTGCACAACAGGCCGTGCGTCAGTCTCTGTAACAGGAGACTCGGCCCTAGCCCTGGACCTATTCGAGCTGTTACTTAGGCCAAGGTCATCTTCCTCGTCGACATCATCAAGCCGCGGTGTCGCCTGCATGCCATTGCGCTGACTTGTTGTCGCCGCAAATGGACTCGGCACGCTGTCCATGAGAGAAATAAAGCCTTCCGCTGAGGCCTCCGTAGGCGGTTCAGGGTGGGAGAAGGACGAAGCGGTGGGCGTAGGTGCACCGGAATCGCCCCACCAAGTTCCCAATGACGAGCCGGAGGGAGTGTCTACTTGATCGTCAGCTCCCACCTCGTTCGACAAGCCGCTCCGGTCCGCCCTAGGTGTAACCTCAGCATAGCCATATCCGTACGGAGACTGATTCTGGTTCCTGGGAGGAAGGTCGCCGAAAGAGGATGTCATCGCGCTTGCTGAAGATACGCGCGGAACTGGCGAAGGCTTACGGCGCAGATAATCGACAGCGGAGGAAGCTCTGGCGATCTGGGGACCAGCGGCGGGGCGCAAGCCCATCGCGGATCCCGTCCGGAAAGACGCAGAACTAGACATCTCCACCAGACTTGTCGTCGACATCTGCGGGGATGGTGCTGTAGAGCTCGCAACCGATGAGATCGTGCTGTAGTGCGTGAAAGGTCCGCTGAATGTCAATTCTTTCCCTTGCTGATCCACCGGCTTTGGCGAGTCAGCGTCACCCGCGATGAACGTGGTAAACCCGCGTTCCAGCCAGTTGCCGATCTTGTCCAAACTTGGCCTGGTCACCTTCGCCCAAGATCCTGACTTGTCAAGCACAGGCGCAGCAGTAAGTCTGTCTACCAGGCCTTTCAGCTGCTCTCCGAAAGTGGCATTCAGATATGGCGAGGACCGTGTCAGTGAGCTTGAGATCGCTTCACAGTACCTAACCAGGGCCGTAAGTCGTTGCAAATACGAAATTAGGGCGGAAACGTACCTGTTGGCCTGATCGACGTGCCCGAGCTCAGCGAGCCATGCCGCTCGGATGAGTCTGTAGGGTTGCAAATGGGGCAATCCAGGGAATGCCTCTTGGCCCTTGGCAGGGGTCGCCAATGACAGCGCAAACTCGACGATCTCCGAGAAGATAATCGGATCAGAGTCTTTCCAGAAGTTAGGTTGCGCCTGTGGGTTGGCGGAACCAAACAACACAATACGTCCAGATGGCGACCCAACCCCTCCCATCAGTGATGTCTGGGGTGATAGAAGGTAGCTAAAATACCATTATTTTCGAGAATGAGAAAATTATTTACTGCGACACACCATACATGGGCCGCTTCAATCCAATTATTCGCGGCCAGCTGATCACCGAGCGCTGTCAGAGTAGAGTAGGTGTCAGTTGTCATAGTGCTGCTCAAGATCATCGCGGTAGTCTCTGTCCACTTCGCAAGCACATCCTTTGGCAAGACCATGGGTGGCATAAGAGGCAAGAAGCTGGCAGAGATGGGCGTCGATGTCGATGCTAAAGGAGCAAGGGCCTGAAGAGATGGCATTGAACCCAAAGGCTTCGGAGGAAGCAGTTCCTGAACTGCAGCACGCCAATTAGCGACTCCCACAACAGGGCCGGCAACAGTAACGTACCAGAAGCGGAACCTTGACCGGCAAATAAACTATACGCAACCTTCAGTGGCTCCCTCCCGCTGCTTTGGGTAGTCTTTGAGTCCGTTTTGTGAAGCAATCCGACTGACGCCTCCTTTGAAGCCAGCTCAGAACGCAAGAACTCTGTCACAACTTCCTTCCAAGCTTCCTTGTCAATGCTGCTCGCGATAACCATAGCATGAGCCCAAAGTTTCTCATCAGCGGCGTATTGATAGGCGGCACGACGATCTCCGCGCAATAGGCACTGCTGAATCTTGTTCAATTGCGATGAGCGAAGCGTATGCATCGAAATGGTAGCGTCATCGGGCGACAATGCTGAGCCATGCCCTGAATATGACGAAGCAAGCGCTGGGACATGCAGAGCTTCAGTGGCGGCGTCAGTTGCCAAACCGAGATGAGGAAGCAATGCAGCGCGAACAGCAGAATCGATTTGTGGACTATGGCAAATGGTCAGCAGACACAGAATTTTCGGCGAATGACGACCTTACCTGCCACAAAGTTTCCCGTCATTCTCAACCATGATTTTGAGAAGCCTGATCAAGGCCAGCTTGGCCTCTGCACGGAAATATTCCACACTACCCTGATGGAAGTAACCAATGCCCTGCGAGATCTCCTCAGCACGCTCTTCGAGGTATTTGATGACCCGCGCCTTCTTGTTTTTCGTTTGATTTGACGCACCAGTGCGAACAAGGGTAGTGCTCGGCTCGCCGGGATCAGAAAACAGAGGACCTGGATAGGTCGCAGACGAGGTATCAAGTGCGGATTGAGAAATGGCAGAATGCAATGGCCGAATGTGGAGTATGGACAACGCTCTTGAAGACATCGCAACGTCGAAGCCAGTGTTCAGTGCCGAGGAGCCGTGGAAACATGTCACTAGCTTGCCGCCAAATCCGAAGCTGATGACCGGCACCCGCACAGACGTACGGCCAAGTGGATCATTCGTACCGAGTAACGATGGCGACGGTGCGTACGGCGTATGTACCGGGGCTGCTAGGTTGACGACTTGCGAAGGCCCCGTGGAAGTCACGCTCGACACACTATCGCCGAAGTTTTGTAAAGCGGAGAAGCTACCATACGACAAGCTCTCCACAGATGCCTGACGATGACGCGTCGGAGCATATAGGTCCTCAGAACCGCTGACGCCATACGAGAAGGTCGAACCATTCGTACTTGACCGACTACGGATAGATGATGTCCCCGGCGTGTACGGATCGCGGGTCGAGTGATCTTGACTTTGCGAGCCCACAGATCGCACGGAGAACGTTGATGGCGAGGTTGACCTCTGGACATTGTTAACAGCAGGGTTGTAGGGATCGTACGGAGACGTATTATGAACGTCTTTAGCGGGTTGTCGCGCAGCAGGCGGTGGTGCATACGGGCTGGCCGCGGTGGAGTCACGATCCTGATCAAGGCCGTACCTCTGGGAACTCGACCATGAGCGGATGGACGCGTTCCCAGGTGACTTCGTCCGGCCCGCCAGTGTTTGGGCATGAGACCCTGGCTGTTGCATGCTAGCTCGACTCGGATTGTACGGGTCGTAGGGCTCCGGAGCAGGCTTGGGCTGTTGAGGCGCGGCCGGGTACTTCATCCTTAGAGGGCTCGAGACTGCCGAAGCATGTTGCGAAGCGTCAAACTCGTCGTTCCACGACGTCTCAGTGGTCGAGGTTGAAGGCGCGTGTACGCTTGCGTCCGCGTCCATGCCTGCAGGTGGCTGCCTCTCATTATCGTAGTCTTTGGGATAAGTTTCTTCGACGTATTCCTCGTGTGTAGGCTGCGACGCTTCCAAAGATAGAGACGAGAGGGTGGGCGCCGCAGGCTGCGGCGGCTGTTCTTCATTCCAGAAGTCTTCACCGTTATCTGCCCCGCCTTCAGGATCATCATGATCTTGCGACGCCTGATGGTCAGGGATAGCCTCCGCTACATTACTCAGCTCTGCGTGTCCTGGCTGCCGAAAAGAGTGAGCTTGTTCTGGGAAAGGCTGGACACTCGGTTCATGTGAAGGCACTGTCGCGCTAGGAGGTAGCGGCGGGAGGTGTTGGAAGTGCGAAGCCTGTGTTCCATTGTGCGAGTCTAGATAATGTGTTGCATAACCATTGGGTTGGAATGTATGATCAGCTGACTGTGAAGACGGTGCATGCTGCGTAACTGGTAAAGCCCTCGAAGGAGGAGGCGAAACTATCTTGCCGGAAGAGCTCCGCGGCGGCGCGAATGTAGAGGGAGCGGCTCTAGCAGGTGGCGGCGGCGTATTTCGGTATGCAGCGGATGGAGGTGAGTGAGCAAGGGGAGGAGCATAGTCACTGACTGTCGATCCGCTTCGGGGCGGAGGTGGCGGTAAGGAAGGCGCTCGCGGCGGCGGAGGTAACATCGTGGGCGGTGCACGAGTGATAGGTGGGCTAGTGGGTAAAGTGTACGGGACCTTAGCAGGGGATCCACCCCATGCAGGTGCAGGAGTGCGTCGCGTAGCAGGCTTAGGTGGTGGAAGAGGAGGATCATACGCATTCGATGTCTTCGGTCTGTAGGCTTCTGCTGCTGCTACTGACCGTGCAGGCTTTGGGGGGTCTACAGAAGGCACAAGCGAACTCGTAGTTGCCGCTGGTGGTGGAGCATACGTGTATGACGCCTGGTCCGGTGCTAATGGTATGCCGTAAGGGCTTTGCTGAATGGCAGGCTGCGATGGCTGCGATGGCCTGTAGGGATCATACGCGGACTGAACCGTTGCACTAGTCGTGGTTGTTGGCTTGTACGAGTTATAAGCAGTGGGTGATGGCGCGCTTGCGGCCGCCGGATTATAGGCACGGTTATCATGGGAAGGTGCGTAGGATGCGTAGGATGCCGTAGTAGCCGGAGCAGCAGAAGCGTAAGCGTTCGTAGTAGTATAGGACGTGTGCTGATACGAGGGACTCTGCGAGTAACCAGTGTACGAGCCATTCACTTGCAAGACATGTGTGAACGGACGAAACGCGTACATGCGACAATAACGTTACCTGGAGGATTATACTGCTGTGGTTCGTATCCTGCCCACTGTCCCTGCTGAGCGGTGTAGCCCTGTGCCGTGCTCTGTTGCGAATACGTATTATCCTGCGCTGCAGCGTGCTGTGCGGGCTCGGAATAACCAGATGTATATTGCGCTTCGTGCGCGCTCCAAGTGTTCTCCGTGCCCGCGTAATCGTAGGAAGCCTGCGGCTGGGTCTCGGACTGCGACTGGAACGCCAAGTCGTCGCCTGTCGAAGTGCCAAAGAGTTCTGTTGCGGACTGAACATCTTGTCCACCAAAGGGCTCCTGGCCGGCTGCCTGCTCTGTCTCGGCACTCAGAGGACCCAGCGAGAAGGGGTCACCGGCCGGGTCTTCCACACCGAACAACGCGGCAGCCTCTCCAGCTGTTGTCATGTCGTGAGACCTTTAGGAGACGACGGTGCGCTCGCCAATAAGCCGAAGAGGAAGAAGAGAGTGAGAGCCGGGGTGGGCGTGAACACGTATAACGCAGGAGCCGCTGAGGACCATGGGCGCTTCTACCGACGTAATTAAGAATAAGCGCAAACTGTCAATCGGAGAGCTTACTCGATTGTAATTGCGTGTACAAACACGAGCTATGGGATATCCCAACTTGAAAGCGACAGGTCATGGTGCGATTCAGGGTCGAGGTTACCTGCACACCCTGGCCTTTTAATGGCTTCAGCCTCCAACCATCTTGCTACCCTCGGTAGTGCGCGTCCTTACCCCTAAGCTACCAGGATGACGATTGCTAGCCGTTACATCAGATAACGAGAGATCCTGAATTTAAGCCAGTAATAACGATGGACTAAATATCCGGGGTATGATAATAATGCTAGTGATAGCGACGTAAACAACGAGTGGGCGAGTATCGACAGAGTCCGGTGAGTCGTATCTAACAGAGAGTGAACGAATGTAGGAGCAGATTATAAATGCCGTGGGATTGGTGGAAAATGCATGCGGTCGTAGTGTAGAGTTCGTGCGTGATATGCGAGAATAGCAGCAAGGAAGTTACCGTGACAAGTCCGAGTCCGAGTTCTGAACTAGAGTGACAAGAGTAGACTAGTTGGGAGAGGAGGGAGTAGCCGAGTCCATGGCAGCTGGCGCGCCCGCCGTCTCAGCTGGTACTGGCGTCGGAGTACATTTCTGAATTACCCGTTCAACTACAAATAGTTAGCATCGTTGAGAGGAAGGATGTCACAATCAAGCCACTTACTAGCGACAAGATGCCTTCCGTGGTGAGATATTTTCCGTAAATTCTGGAGCTGGGGTTTAACTAGCTCAACAAGCGCTTCCTTCTGGTCCTGGTCTGCTACCATGAGTGCTCTCTGCAAGACGTAGTCTGCCAATACAAGTCAGCCCTAACACACACAAGGACAGAGTATGAGACACATACTGGCAAACTGGTCCTTCATCATAGACACAAACGGATTCGGCCCGTCTGGCCGAGGAGCCATGACCTCCTCGATGAGCGCCCGCCGGCTGCTAGGCTCGGCCATGACGAGGGCCTTCTCAACCACATTCGACGCAAACTTGTGCCGGGACATGTGCAGCATCTGGCCATGGAGTTTGGACACGATGCTCGCCCGGTCCTGGGGCTGGCCGTGCTCAAGAACAAATTGGATGACATAATTCTAGAAATCGCTTTTCAGTCAAGGTTGGACTGAAACGTAGTAAAGCGCGTACGCCGAACTGATCCTGCATGAGCTGCAGAGCGTGTTCCTGGACCTCGCTGAGGAGCACACGCGTCTGATGCTCGGGCAAGTTCTCGAAGCAGCGTTGCAAAACACGGCAGCCGTACGGATGAGTGGCCAAGTCGCAGACATGCCCTTGGAAGGCCGCTATGAACGTCAAGCGTTCCGGTGGTACACTCTCGATGAGTCGTTGAATAACCTGGAGCCAAGCTGTTAGCACGCTCCAATGAACGAGTTCATGATACAGCGTACATGGTTGCCATTCGCGTCCTTCACGCAACGCAGGACGTCACCAGCCAGTTCATCGACGAACGCGCTTTGCTGCTCGGCGGGCATATGCTCGATGGCCTAAAATCACTCGTGAGACCTGTTTGAGATCCCTGTAACCGATGCAAGAACCCACCTTCTGGACAACGCGACAGCCGTACATCTGCAATGAAAGTGGCAGGATATGACCTTCCATGGTTTTTGCGAGCAAGCTCGTTTGGAGCTCATTTCCGTGCTCGAAAAACTTCTGGACAACCTAGAAGCGCGGAAGCAGGGTCAGTAAGCAGCTGATTCCACCACGAGACTTCTCGACGATCAATTGACTCACATAATTGCCGAAGACGTCCTGAATAAGTTTGAGAGCGTGATGGGGCATGATCTCGTCGAAGATAATCTGCTTCTCCTCCTCATCCGCAGTCTCGATCTTCTGCTGGATGAATCGTGAGCCGTGCTGGTCCATGCTAAACTCGACAACATGTCCGTAGATGTCCTAGCTCGCGCAGCGATCAGCAGCGTGCCCCACACGGGATACGAGCGGCATACCTTGAGCGTCCACTTGCGGTCCTTGGCATTCCGGAACTCCTCCAAGAGAGGGCTACGGAGACCAGCGGCCGGATCCTCGTGCCGACGTCCCCTACCGCCAAGCTGTGGAGCGGGCATCTGCATCTGAGGGAACATGCCGTGCAAGGCCAGCGGAGAGGTACCGGCGTGATAGCTCTGCGGACGAGCCGTCGGGCCCGGTCTCGGGGGCGAATACATTAACGGAGATGTCTGGTACGGGCCCTAGTCCACGCCGTAAGCTAGCGGAAATGATAAGGCGACTATCCGGCCTACCTGCATGCTCCGTCTCTTGTGGTGACCTCCGCCGGCAGTCGTGGCTCCTGGAGGTGGCGCGTGGTAAATAATAGGCTGCGGAGAATAATAATACTGTGAAGGAACGCGGCCAGAAGCTGCATAATCGAAGAAGGAAGCAGACTGAGGGCTACGCATGTCTGGATGGGGGTGCGGCTGAATGGCTTGCGCAGGGATTCCGGGATATAACGAAGAGCTGGCCGTGCTTATTACTGGCGAGCCATATATAGGGTCAGGTGTCGCGTAGGCGTCGAACGAATACGCCGAAGGGTTGTTGTAGTATGCAGAGTAGTCGGGCTGGGGGAACGCCGGGAAGGGTGGACGCTGAGGCTGTGCAAGAGGAGCGGGACGATTTAATTGCCTCGAGGCATGCGAATCGGTTAGAGACGAAGCTGTCGCGGGGTGCTGCGAAAGTCCATGTTCGTGTTCGACAACCATACCTCTCATGGCGACAGATAAATCACCCTCAACAGCAGAAGAGACTGGGTCATATGTCCCTGCGGATGGAAGGACAGACTGTTGAGACGAGAAAGGAGACGTGGCATTGAATGAGTGGCTGGTCGGCGATGGCGAGATGCGAGACTGTGTCAATATAAGCTTAGCATCGCTATAACCGAGTCTTTGAGGCGAATGGTTCATCACCTGCGGGAACGCCGTCGCAGAGTGATCGAGTGTCGTCCCGTGCATGCTCGTGTGCCGTTGCCGAGGACCGCGCATGTTGACAGCCGTGGCAGGATCCTGAAATTGGTGCCCAGGCTAAGCGAATCATATGGAGAGCACCGGGTTGAAGCGTCCTCACCATGCGCTGGGCGCTATCCTCCCAGTTGGAGGCCGCGCCACGGCCGGAGTTCCAAGTGCCGTCTCGCAAGCCCAGATGAGCCGCCGGTGTTGACTCAGGTACGCTGGATGCCGTGGTACGAGCTGAAGGAGCGGTAGAGCCCCATGCCTGCAGTTCCGGAAAGAATGTCAGTTCATAACACGCGCCGTGTACTATCCTTGCCCACCTGCCACCCCTGGTTCGACGCCTTCTGGGCGTTGGCAGAGCTCATTCCTACGCCAAATAGATGGCCTGCAGGCGCCAAATTCCTGTGGGAGTGTGTCTTCACAAACAAACATTGGCGTGGTTCAAGAAGCAAACAGTCAAGCGTTCGGACGTACGTTGCCAGGGGAGGCGAGCGGTGAGTGGTTTGCTGAGCGAGACGATGACGTTCCGGAGGGTTTTCTATTAGTGGATGCCATAATCTAACGTTGGCTCAGTGAGGGCCCGGGAAGAAATTAATGAAGGGCATACCGGACGACTTGGAACGTCGTCAATTATAGAGTGTGGGGTATTGGTCCGTGATGATAGTGACTGGGAGACGTCTAGTGGTTATTATAAGCTTGAATGGGGATTAGTACAGCGCTAGTGTGAGGTTGAACGGAATGAAAGGTATAAAAAGAGGAGAAAGTCGCGAGCAGGCAGGCAGGACAGGATCAGGAGGTATAATGTACGTCAAGTGACATGCAGCGTGTCGGAACGCGGCGGTAAGCGTGGTGTGTAGACGACTCACAAATTAGTAGCTACCGGGAAAAACAGGCTTGCACTCTTTCGCAGCACGCCTGCGGTACGCGATGCAGGACGCAGAGAGCGCAAGGAGAGGGAAGGGAAGGGAAGAACAGGCGCAGGCCGACGAAATGGACTCGGTACGCGCCAGTACCCCCAAAAGGCTAGAAAATAATGGAAATAATGGACCAGTGATGAAATGGATCCGCTGAAACAATCCCGCGTCGCTCTCGTTGCCACGTGTAACGACCTCCGTCGCTGCGACCGTCACAGATCTTCCGGAACGGGCAAGATCCGCGTCCCGTCCTTGCCTACTTAGGCAACGTCGACCGGGTCCGCATCTTCGGTCCTCCAGCGATCACGGCAGCACACCCGACGCGAAATTTTATGCCTCCGTCAACCGCTCGCGGATCCTTTTTTACAGGCACCACGGCCAGGCCCCCGTAGGCCCCCGTGGGCCAGCCCGCGTTGGCAGGCAACAGCGACGATTAAACAATTCAACATTGACGACATGCGACAGATACAGGCAGTGGGTATGATGCAGACACAGCGCAATGAAACGGAAAAAAAATTAATTCATCGCGATGAGTTGAAGAACCACGAGGCCCGCTTCGCTGCAAGGAGATGCTCTGTCAGTGCGCCTTATACCCGACCTCGGAAGAAGCAACTCACCTCCCGAGGAGCTGTGTAGAATGCCGGCGACATCAGCACGCCGTCTCGTCGGAAAAAAACGACACATCGCTTACCTCTCGTCATTCTGCACTCGGGCAAGTGGGTTTGCCCCGCTCGCACCAACAGGCGAGCTCATCGTCGAAGCGTTCGCCGAAGCGGCTCCTCCCCCTCCACGTAGCGGCTTGGCGATGCGTCCGAAGCTCAACGGCGAAGATGCCGCTGCTTTCTGTGCGCGCGCCTGGTCCAAGCGCTCCTTCACCTGCTGCAGCTGTGCCTCAAACTTCTGGTTCTGAATCGCCAGACGGCGGTCCGCGTCCTGCAGGAGCGCCTCAAGGTTCTGGATGCGCTCGTTCCGGGCAAGCAATTTACGCTCGGCAATGCCCGCTTCCTTCTTCAGAGCGGAGTTCTGGTCCACAAGCTACGGAATGATCATGTCACCGAGCAAGCCCCGAGCATATTTGACACAATGGGGGCATACCTGTTTCTGTACGAGGGTAAGCTGTTCCAAATTACGCTCCAAGAAGGCCATCTTCTTCTGCTGAGCCTTGCTGTTGCTGTTGCGGATGACGTTATTGTACTGCTCCTTGATCTCGTCAAGCTGAATCTCGAGCTCAACAACCTATGCACATGCCATAAGAGGCTGAAGCGGCGTATTAAATCGGAGCGCGCGACTCACCTTCTCGCAGCGGTTCTGCAGATCACGCATAAGGGACTTCTTGACGCCATCAAACTCTGCCAGTTGGACGCTAATTGCTTTGCGTGTCCTCTCCAAATCCTGAGCAGACTCAGCCAAGTTCTTGCCGCCTTCAATGCCAGCGGAGGTCGTAGCGAACGCACGCTGGGAAAGTGCGCGGGTTTCGCATCAGCTGAGGAATGAAAAGATAAGGTTTTAGACTAACCTTGAGCTCCTCGTTCACGCTCTTGAGGCCGTCAATTGTGGCGTTGAGACTTCTGATCTCATTGCTCCGGATGTCCAATTGCTGCTTGAGATCCTGCGCCTCGCTGAGATGAGCATCACGCTTCGCGGTGTACTGAGCCTCGAGCTTGTTCTGCAGAGCGGGATCAGATCAGATCGGTATTAAATAGGATCATGTGTGATGCGCTGACCTTGAGCTCCGCCATCGACTCAGCGACGTCGACGTTGCTGACTTCCTCGTCGTTAATAGTCTTCTCTGCTCACCAAAGGATGATGGTGAGAACTCAGCCACCGGATGATAACAAGATTCGCACCAAGAAGCTCCTCGTATTCGGCCTCGAGGGTAGCGATACGAGCCTCGAGCTCATCGCGGCGACGAGAGTGCATCTCATTCTCCTCTTGAGTCTGGCGGAGACGGTCGACGGTGTCGCGGAGAAGAGTCTGGCCTTCAGCGAGCTGTCTACGAACGGCGACGATGTCGTCGTGTGACAAGGATGAGATAGCGCTCTCGTCTTCAATGGCATCGAGTTTGGCCAGAATTTGGCGAAGCTGCTCGTCCTTCTCGGAGAAGGTACCTTGCTGTTTAACCATATCAGCACAGAACTTGGCAGGCGCTACTGACAGTGCACGAACCGTGTCGAACTTGGCCATCATCAAGGCCATCTTCTCCTGCTTCCTCTTCTCCTTGTCCTCAGCGGAGGAGTCCTTCTGGGCAGCCTTCAAGTCCGCAATGGTCTTCTTGAGCTCCTCGAGCTCATTCTTGCCATCCTGGTTCTGCTCCTTGAGAATATCGATACTGATAATGCTCTCCTTGTTGTCGTAGTCGAGTCTCTCCACTTGCAAGCGGAGCTCGTTGAGCTGGCCAGACATCGACTTGTTCTCCTGTCAAATAATCACTTAAATCAGCTAATGCCCCTGAACGGGTTGGCCCTGCCGACCTTGGAGAGTGAAGTTTCCTGCTCCTTGAGGAATGTGAGCTCTTCGCGAAGTTCCTCAATAAGCTTCCTCGCTGCGGCAAAGGCAGATTCCTTCTCCGCGAGCTGGTCGCTCAGCTCATTTTCCCGTTTCAAGAACTCCTCGCGCTCGTCCTTGTCCAAACCGACGACAGTCGGCGTCTGCGGTCGGCTGTCCGTCTCTGAGCGGAGACCCTCTAGAGTCGGGTTGACCGGCGTCATGCTCCTTGTCGACGAGGGCGTCGGCGATGTGGGCGTCTTCTTAGGAAGAGCAGCGCCTGCCTTGTCGGACGTAGCCCACTCGGGCTGCTCGACATGGCCGCCGGAGCGCCAGACAGCGAGCTCTGCCTCGAGAGCAGCGATGTACTGCTGGTGCTTGGTGTTGGCAGCCTGTGCTTTGGCAAGCAAGCCCTTGAGCTCGAGCGGAGACAGCTCTGCGTTGACACGAGCGCTGTTCTTAATAGACTTGGCACGGATACCAAAGCGTAGGGTGGAGAGAGTCTCAGACTCGTTGTAAGATGAGGGCGAGCAGTTGATGATCAATGTTGTCCGTGAATTGCCACCGAGCGATTCTTGGAGGATACGAGTCAGCTTGGAGTCACGATACGGTACGTGCTTCGCCTGACGCGATATGCAACATCAGCACCGTTCAGTGTACATAAACGTCGGCTGTACCTTTCCGTCAGTGAGAGCATTGATAACCATGCCAAGGGCGGAGAGGGATTTGTTGATCTTTTTGGCTTCCTCAAGAGTCTGTCCAGAAGCACCAGTCTTTCCAACCTTCTCGGAACCAGCCAAATCGACCAAGTACAAGTTACCAGTCTTTTGGGCACCCGTGTCGATGTTCTTCTGGTTGATGGTGATAAGGAAAATAGAATGTGATCGCGACGATTCCGCGTTCATGTCTAAATGGCTGGGTCAGAACCTATTTCTGACATGCATGTTTGAGCCCTACTAGTTGACGACACTACTCGTGCCGCGCCACCCTGCCGCATGATTTCGTAGACCTCCCGCGCACTACTAACATAGTAGTCTGACAGGTTTTTCACGTATACACCGCGCGACTTCTCTTCGTGTACTTGCAAGTTGTCGTTTTGTGCTGTGAATGAGTTAGCTCAAATCAGCACGTGTTGCAAAAGCTTGGGATCGTACGTGCGAGCAAGTCTCGTATGCGCTCCAGATAGATTTCCATGTAAGACACCTTGACCAGATACTCTAGGTGCGCGTCTGACTCTACAATAGACTGAAAGATTTGCTCCGTTATCCGTGGTATAAGACCTTTTAGGTCTGGGGAGTCTATGTCAGCACCCTAGGACTGGGTCAATACGCGATTTCAGACGTAAATATGGCCATGTCTCACCATCATCGTGAAAGTCTTTCCACTTCCAGTCTGTCCATATGCGAAGACCGTGCCATTATATCCGTCCAAAACATCTATGCCGCATATAAGCTTGCATCTGAGATGGTGTGGCCTTTAGAACTTACCCCTTACAATACTGCATGCACGGTGTCAGGAGGTGGCATAACGGAAGCATAACGGGTGGACGTACTCTTTCACACCGTAATCGAACACTTCGTGTTGTTTCGTGCCTGATGGAAAGACGCGGTCGAACGTGAAGCCATCCTTTTCCGGTCCAGCCATGACCTGGGCGGACTTCATGTGCACCGTCCGCAGGTTCTCATCGAATTCTACCACAACCTCTCCACCTTCTCGTTGTTCTATTGCGTTAGTTGGTCGAAACCTGCGCGTTCACGAGAAGCAAGATAGCACTAAGTACGACCAGAAAGACAGGATCGTCGGCCAAACGGAAGACGCACCGACATACGACCTTGATGTTCGTAGATGAAGCCATCGTTACACGTCGAGTGCCGTCGTCCTGGCAAGACAAGCAGCAAGACAAGTCCAAGGGACGAACGCCCTATGAAGGACAAGAAAATGAGAGTGGTGAACGCCTAGCGAGAGAGCGTCGTCTAAGTTACAAGGCGAGATGTCTTCACGGGACAAGCAGTATGCGGTCAAGTGCTGAGCGAAAGTGGCCTGCCAGCGCGCGGCTGTTGCCACGCGTCTGCCACTTGCCCTCAAGCTACTGGTAAGCGTGCATGTGCAAATTGGGGTGTGCAAGGGTATTATTGCAATAAGACCCGGCCGCAAGGAGCCAAGTTGGTACATATACACTGGAGATTAAACAGGAGTGCAGAACGTCCGGAAGTGTTACACTATGCATAGTGATACAGAGTCGTGTGTCCACCAGCAGGAGTATGGGTCCCGCAGTGCGGGCGATGAATCTATTCTTCGTCGCTTCCAAAGCTCACGGCAGGAGCACGGCGACTCGAAGAACCGCCGCCCGAGGTAGCTGCAGTTGCTTGTCTTTCAGCTGCATCCGCCGCATCGATCCATTCAGAGTAGATGTCAATTGGTTCCGTCAAGTCTAAAGAGAGGTTAGAACTAAGTGATAGCACCAGGCGACGAGAACTTGGATGCGCACGGTTAACCTTGCTCTGGAATCGCTGGTCGCATACTTTGCAGAACAACTGGGCGATGCCCTCTTTTCGGTCCATGCGAACGCTTACAGATTTATCATGATGGCAGAACAAGCAGGTGAACGTCGACTCTGCGAGAAGGTGAAAAGAGTGATGACGGATGATTGGATAGCGCACTCACCCAAAGGTTCGCGTCTGCGAGGACCTGTAGGCTTGCGGGATGACTTTTTGCGTTTGCCCATGAGGGAGTGAACAGTAGCCGAGGCGCCGAGTGAATTGGCTTCAAGTGCCGGATTTGGGCACGCTTCCCACGCCATCACGTGGCTGGACGCGTCGAGTGGACGAACCGCGTCTCAGCGTGAGACGACCTCTCGACACTTGCGATGGCTACTCGCCGGACGGCCCTCCCGCGGGGCACTCGCACCTCTACACGCCCAACCAACACAGCCGTCAGTAGCAGGGCCAAACCGAGTGCTTCAAGAGCCTCTTCCGTCGCTCGCTCTGACTTGCCTACCCCCGTGCAGGAGACGCCGATCCCACCACAGCCAACTAGAACTACTAGGTTGACCACTGCAAGTGGTAGCCATGTTACTTCAGAATCCAACATTCAGGTTGTCATTCGTTGTCGACGGCGATCCGAACGAGAAATCGAGGAAAATTCTCCCATAATTGTCCAGGCAAGCGGGGCGAAATGCCAGGACATCACCATCGAAACTGCTACTCCCTCGTCCAACCTAGGCGTTGTCACACTTCCCCCTACCCGTACATACCCTTTTGACATGGTTTTTGGCCCGGAGGTGGACCAGGCTCTCATCTATAACGACGTTGTTGCGCCCATGCTGGACGAAGTTGTGCAGGGATACAACTGCACCCTTTTTGCCTACGGACAGACGGGAACGGGGAAGACGTAAGTTCTGTTTATTTTTGAATACTTCTTGCAGAACAAATAGATAAAGGCAGATATACCATGCAAGGCGACCTCACACCCACACCAATGGGTAATCCTTCCGCACAAGCCGGCATGATACCCCGCGTTCTTTTCCGCCTTTTCCACCATCTCGAGACTTCTGTCGCAGACTACAGCGTGAAAATCTCCTTTATTGAGCTCTACAACGAGGAGCTACGAGATCTGCTCGCTCCCGAGCTGTCTGCGCCGGCTGGATCAACTCAGCCCATGAGCCACGGCGCATCCAAAGACGGTGCTGCTCCAGGTGGCCTTAAGATCTTTGATGATGCCAGCAAGAAGGGTGTTTTCATCCAAGGCCTCGAAGAGTTTACGGTAAAAGATTCTACAGACGCTCTCGCACTCCTCACGAAGGGCAGCCAACGGAGGCAAATCGCAGCAACCAAGTTTAACGATCATTCAAGTCGTTCCCATTCCGTGTTTTCAATAACCGTGCATACCAAGGAAACATCTCATATCGGCGATGATACACTTAGGGTTGGAAAGCTGAACCTCGTTGACCTGGCCGGTTCCGAGAACATTGGACGCTCCGGTGCACAAGACAAACGTGCTCGTGAAGCAGGCATGATTAATCAGAGCTTGCTCACCCTTGGTAGGGCTATTAATGCTCTCGTTGATCGCTCGGCCCACGTCCCTTACCGGTAAGCTGCTATTTCTTAGCGTGGCGCAGTGGCTAACGGTGGTTCACAGCGAGTCGAAGCTCACTCGCTTGCTTCAAGACTCTTTGGGAGGGCGAACGAAGACATGCATCATTGCTACGATATCTCCCGCTCGCTCAAACATGGAGGAGACTCTGTCCACTCTGGATTACGCCATCCGCGCCAAGTCAATCAAGAACAAGCCTGAGGTCAACCAGCGTATGACTCGTAACGCACTCCTTAAGGAGTACGTCGCGGAGATTGAGCGTCTGAAGTCAGACGTCCTCGCTGCTCGGGAGAAGAACGGCATTTTCTTCTCTGAGGAGCGATGGATGGAGATGACGGCTGAACAGGAGCTAAGGGATACCGAAATGCAGGAAGCGAGGAAGCAGGTTGAGATCGTCGAGAGCCAGCTCCGAAACGTCCGTGAGGAATTTGAGCAGAGCATGGCTCTGCTCATGCGGAGAGATGGTGAGCTCAAGGAGACGAAAGAAAAGCTGCAGAAGAGAGAGACGGATCTTAAAGCGACCGAGGGGAAGTTGGTAGCTGTCAAGGGTGCCTTGGAGGAAGAAGTCGTGGTCCGACAAGCATACGAAGAGAACGAGGCCGCCCTCGACGGCGTCGCAACCGGTCTCAAGACCGTCGCTCATCAGAGCGTTGATGATCTTGGTCGCTTGTTCGGCAAGCTTGGTGGGTTATGGCTGCTTGCTGCGGACTATCAACACTGATCATTTATTTTCAGAGCGCAAGACGACTGTCTTTACTTCAAACGTGCAGACGGTTACCACGCACACCCGCAAAATCACCACAGAATCGCGGGAGTTCTCTTCGAAACTGGACGACTTTGTCAAGGTCTCGAATCAGCATATAACGAACATCCGGACGGAGACCGAACAGTACCGCGCGAAAGAGCTCGAGACCTTGGCTGGGATTTCTGCACGGATAAATCAGCAGATCGAAAAGGTGCAAGAGGCTCTGAAGATTATTCGTGCGAAGGAGCTTGCTTCAGATGAGGCCACCAACGCGATTCACACAACCATGCAAGAGACGCAGGAAGGCATCAAGACCGCTCTCGGGTCTTGGGTCGACACCATGCGACAGCACTGCGAGGAAACTTGTAAAGAGGTCGAGGCGTCAATGACCGCAAGCTGCCTCACTGTGAGTAATTCTGTGATCGATCGAACAACCAGCTAATGATGGCGCCCAGGTTGAGAAAGCCTTCAAGTCGCTCGGTGCTATCACCGAGACAGTCTTGCAGGAAGCGCACGACTACATTACCTCAGAACAGAAGTCTCTACAGGAGGGCAAGGCATTGGCGGACAGCACATCCAAGGCCGAGGTCGTCCGGTTGCGGCAGCAAAACGCACTTCTCACACAGCTACTAGAGTCGGAGAAGGTCAGGGCAGATCAGGCAAAGGATGAGCTCTTAAAGCGTATATCCGGCCTCTTGGTCAACTTCACTGCCGAGCGGGATCAGAGCCTACGAGGAGCGTTTGCAGAGATGTCTGAGAGCAATGCTGCTGCGGAAGCTGGTATGGTCAAGCAGGGAAAGGAGCAAGGCCAACGGCTGGACGCTGTGATCGGAAAGGGTACCGAGTGGAGTGAGACCCTTGACCGACGAGCAGGCGAAGGAAAGCGAACTCGTGACGGCGCGTTCAAGGCGAGCACGTCTGTAGCCCGCATGCAATCGTGTCTAACTTTCTGCAGGCCATCGCGAGTACGAGTGCTGCCCTTCGGGAGGGCTTGGCGGGCGTGCGCGACACAGTCTCGTCGTCGGTTGCCAGCTTCTCTGCGGATCTTCAACGGCAGATACAGTCATCCGAGGCCGCCTATACGGATGGTGCGTCTCTCCGACTGTCGTGCACCATCATTTTTCAAATATCTCATTACAGCACATGAGAACCTCGGCAGAGCTAAACGCGCCCGACTCGATGCTACAGAAGCCATGGTGACAGATGCGCAGTCTGGATACCGCTACATGGAACGCGGGGTCACGACCACGTCGCGCAATGCAGAGACAATGACGGGTCAGGTAGTCTCAGAGGTATGCGTGCCCCCGTGACGATGATTATGATATAATCTCACCCTTCCGCAGGCATCGAGTCTCTCACGGGCCCAGGACACCTTCCGTTCTGCTGCTTCCAGCCATCTCTCGGAGATCTATCAGACCACCCAGACTTTAGCGGATCATGGTGCCCGAGAAGACATGCCGACAGGCACTACACCCCGGAAACGCAATTGGACGTTCACGGACGAGTGGACATTGACTGAGAGCCGCGATATTATCTTGCGAGACTGGCGGCGGCGAGGGTCGACATCCTCGCAGCCGGAGGAGGTGTCTTCACGACATTCGACACCTGCTGGCGAGGAGCCCGTCAAGGAGCAGGAGGAAGAAGCTGTTCTGACACCGTCGGAAGGTGGTACGGATGTCTTAAGCGAGGCAGATGAGCAAGACGAGACGATCACCATGGCCTCACCCCCAATAGTCGTCAAATCACCGGGCTCGTCAACCGCGTTTTCGTCGTCATCGTCGTCGTCGTCAATGCCCATAGTACCACCCAAAGAGATTAAGAAATCTCTTGGTAGGCTCAAGTCGGGCTTGCCCGTAACACGGGGTACGTTGACGGAGAGGCACACAAATGTTCTGCCACGACCAACGAAACGGACAAGGACTTGACTTAGACTACAAGTACCGTTGATCATCTAGTTTTGTTTATTGTTAGTTATACCCGCTTCCTCAAATTCTTTCGTCTTTCAACTTTGTCCGCTGCGAGATACCGTGCCAGCGTCTATTCATGGCGATCACCGACGTAAGAGCGCGCCGGCTGGAGACGTCGCGCGCACAGCACTTTTCAACCGTCCACGATCCCCTTCTATTTGTATCATACCCACGATGGCGCACGCTGGTCTCAAGAGTGAGTGCGCACCATAAGTCGGCCATGTGCTGCTCATGAATCCCCGCAGCGGTCATCCTGCTCTCCTTCGTGCTTGCCGTCGGGTTCTTGATGATCATCCTGTCGTGCGCTTTGTGGTCGAATTGGCTGCCTCTCCTTGTTGGTGGGTTATGTCATTTCCTATCTCACTCATACCGCTTATGCTGTCTGTTTAGCTCTGATCTTCGTTCTCGCACCCCTTCCCAACGCCCTATTCGCGCACTGCGGAGGTGACGACCTCACTGCCGATTACGAGGGCTCGGGACCTGTAGACCTTGGCCGCTTCCTCACGTCGTTCGTAGTCGTCACTGGTTTTGCCCTCCCACTTGTGCTAGCGCACTCCGAGATAATACGGCCGGGGGCGTGTGCGATGTCTATCATTGGCGGATCGTGCGTGACAATATTCCTCTCCTGCTAACAATATTGGTGATAATGTCGTGCCAGGCTCGTCTATGGGACAATACTAGCCTACAGTGCTGCCTTCAGACAAGAAGAGTCTGACTTTGATTAAGGCGAATGCGACTAGCCGACGTTGTAACGCTGTGCTATCCCGGATCTATGCGCTTGTTGTACGCCATATATATTCAATGCCTTTGCAACGCCATCACTGCAGTTGGTGCTCTGGGCCTCTGCGTGGTTCCTCCGCTTGTGTACGACCATGACTTTGAATTACCTTGAATCCGAGTAGCATGCCGATAGCCGATAGCCCTATGACGAGAATAAATGCAGGGATCCGGACTGCCCATTCGCGTGAAGGGAACCATTGGTGCACTGGGCTTGACGCATCGAAGAACGGCTGACAGACTCTTTAATGACGCTCTCGAACTTCTGCAAGAGTCACGTTACTCGCCAGTAGAATGGTCCATACCGTGTAGTAGCCAAACGCTGCTGCGGCTGTAGAGAGCATAAGAGTCCCGAGTGACTTGTCGCTCAAAGTCTGGAGACATATTATTCCTCCATGTCTCTCGCAGATACCCCACGACGCACCATGGCGAACTACGATACGTGGACGTGATGGTCGTCGTCAACATGTATGTACGCACATGTGTGAGCGCGTCTAAAGCGCTGCTGCACCTACCCTCATTCCACTTCCACTTAGTGCATCTCCGTACCTCCTTCCTGAGCCTTGCTTGCTCTCTGACGCCGGTCGAGGACAGCCTCTAAGCTAGTGTTAACCGCGTTTGTATGCTTCAGGACTCACACTGAACTTTCTGGCGACCAGAAGCTATGGATCCTCTAGAGTTTGGATCTCTGGCACGCGTCCGAATTCTGCTCCTCCCAGTGGGTGCTATCAAGCGGTCGTTCTTCGAGCAATGGGCAGCAGAGATACGGACGTTTGAGAGCATACGTCTGGGCGACATACCAGCGGACACGCGCGATGACAGAGGTATGTCCTACTATACTTCTATACGCGTCCATGATTGACACTGCGTCCCCGCAGCGCGGTTCATGCCCAACCCGTTGGCAACTGGGCATATTCATATGAGTTACCCATCTCATCCACTCCCCCAGTCTCATCGGACGCTGTCGCTTTTTCGTCCGTCCGACTTCCCTTTAGGTGTCATTGGCATCGCATCCAGCTCAAGCTCACAGAACGAGTCTCTGTCCTCCATCCTTGCGCAGTTCAATGCCATGCTGAGCGACCTCTTCCCATCTGGCGCCCTCTTCCCCCTCGCCAACAACTGCCTAGTCTTCGAGGAGAGTGACGGTAGCACGAACCTCAATTTAGGCAACTACCCCGGGCTAGTGGTTATACCAAGCATGATGGGGAATAAGAGGTTGTACGTTGGTACACTAATCGCAGACTTGTGCTCAAATATATTAGCTGAGTTTGCAACTGTGGTTAGTGCCGCTATCCTCGTTTGCATAGCCTGCAGCTCGACGCTCAACCAAAGGTGACAGGTGCAAATGTTAGAGACACCGCTCGGCAATGAGTACCTCAACGCAACACTCTTCCCTGCTCTCCCACACATATCAGAGATGCCGAGACCTATTGAGAACGATATACCTGCTCGCAGCTCTCTGCCGCCCCTACCCTCGCAGCACAGTCAGCCGAACCTGGCGACTGGAAGTTCCCTGCTAAGAGCCAAGACACCAACCACCTTATCCGTAAAACGGAATTCGTCTATTGGCCCAGGTCCTCCCTCCTCCCCCTTCCGTCAGTCCAGCCTGCCGGTTCCCTCAGCGAAGAAGAAGCCTTTGGCTATAGGTGCGGTGTCATCCCATGGCAGGCTATTCAAGGTGCTTGGAGACTTCTTCCTGCTCGCTGGAAGGTCTATGGATGCTTCCGTATGGTAAATTTCCTCACTACCCTGGTGCAACAGCCGCTGATCGTTAATAGGTATAATGAAGCAGTCGTTCTTCTCAAGAGTACGCAGGATGCTGTCTGGCATGCATCCGCGCTGGAGGGCCTAGCGACTTTGCAGGTCGTGGACGCATGGTCGTCTAACCAAACGGTCTGTCTGGCAATTATACACTCGCTCTTCTGCTGACATGGTGTGTTTGCGTCGTCTCATAGAATGGAGCTCCCGAGGGCAATGAGCCATGGGACGATGTTGCCGAGAAAGTCACACAGGCAGCAAACCTGTATTCCAGGTCGGCCCCTCCACCAGAGCCGGAAGTGAATTTTTCCTTCGTGTCTTGGTTCTACACACGCTGCATACTGCGACATGCATCTCTGCTGCTTGCAGTATGGGCGGCCAAGGGATGGGGTCCTCTAACCTTTTCCATGCTCCTTCACGGCAGCACTGCTACCCTACCTCCTACCTTAGCACAAAAACCAGGCTCGACATCCGGCGGGGACAAGCGAGTGTCGCATAATTTAGCGGAACGGCTGAGCTCCATTACGGGCATCACACGATCCATGATCTCGGGCGTTGTCGCACAAGCACATGGCCCTTGGCTCCTTCATCTCGGTTCTCGTGAGCGAATATTCATCCTGGAGAACGTGGCCGCCATCTACAGCATACTCGGTTACTTGCGGAAGGAGGCCTATATCCTACGCGAAGTCCTGGGATGCATCATGGATCTCGTGGTTTGCGGTCGTGATGAACACGTAGGGACTACGATAGCGGGTGCTGGGCTGGGCATACAGGGCGTCGAACTGGGCGACAGCACAAATCATGGGTCGGTAGGCATTAGGACGCATGAGAACACAGTGGGGAACGAGAGTGTTCTTAAAGTGGTTAAACATGTTTGTCGAGTTCATGGCGTTGATCTCGATGCGGTCCGTTTGATAGCAAGCGAGACGGCAGAATCCGAAGAAGCCATCTCCGACGATTTGGAGGAACTGGAGCCCACACAAGAAGCCTACGGATGGCCAGAGTTGCAGATCGGTATTGTTCGCGAAGCCATAGCAGTCGCGGAGGCTCTCCCTGGTAAGCGACTCAGCACTCACGGTAAACTGTCGCTTAACTGTCCCTCCCCTTCAGATTATCCAGCCGTGGCACAATTCTGCTTGTCAGCTCTCAAGGCTTTGCATATCGTCATGAGCCACGGGGATCAGCATCACTTTTACAGCACTGCTGCAAGGGCCCTTTCCACCGCAAGACGAAGAGGCGATGCACGCCGCGTAGACTACTGGTCCGGGAAACCTATAGTCAGCATCGAAATATTGTCGTACGTGCTCTCAGACTGCTATATTATTGAGCATGTCCTCAACGGCCTACAGACTACCACTTGTTCGTCTGCCCATGGAGAAACCCATATCGCTCTTGTCGCAGAAACAGGATGGGGTCAATCCAGTTCTCGTCGGTATGACGGACCCATTTTTGTATAATCCGCGCAGGTCGCTGGGGGGACAGGTATGTAGCAGCGCTGGTATCGCTAGCTTCCCGCTAATATGCGGCTTAAACATAGTCCGATGCACTCTTGGTACAGAACGAACCATTCGATGTAGTGATCACCCTCCGCAATCCTTACGTCTTCGATCTTGAGTTGTCAAAGCTGTCGCTCAGGTAAGCCATGCTCGAGCCGCTCATATATCATATCTTTCAAAGTGCTGCAGTACGTCTGGGGTGTCGATAGAATCGAAACCGATGTCTCTGGTTGTACCAGCGAACTCCTTTCATCCCGTCACCATTACCGCACAAGCGGTGGGAGCGGGAATACTGACGATTCGCGGCTGTTACGTGCAGGCTCCTGGCGGCGCTACAAGAGAATTCCTATTGCCTTTATCCACGGATGACGAAGAGTCTAGACAGGCCCGCCGACGCAGTGCGATCGAGTGCGAATCTGGTCGCTCCAAGCATGCAGGACTGAACTCTCGGCCGTTCGCGAAGAAAGGGAAACGCACGAGTGCTTCTGTCGCCTCTAACACGCGCTATACACCGCGATACCTACAGTGTCGGGTCGTGCTAGAGCAGCCACTTCTCCGTATCCGCCGGACATCGTTGACACACGGCGCTGTCATGTTGTATAACGGCGAGAAGTATGTGGACTCCACCGACCCTTGTGGACTGTTTGTTGATGCCTATCTGCTAGGTCAGCAATTCGTATTACGTTGGAGAATGTGTCATCGCTGCCAGTTGACTTTATCCGCCTGACATTCGATGACTCGACAATAGCACCTGCCCAGCAAGCTCTCGCGGAGGGCGATTTGTCTGTTTACGACACCTATGAGACGGAATATGACCTCATCCATAAGCCAGTGTTCACATGGGAAAGCTCATCGGGGAAGCAGACTGCGGAGCCGGGTGAGAAACTCGTTGTCAATGTGAACTGCTTCGGTAAGGTTGGATGGCGCGTATATTCTTTTCCTCACGTTCACGATATCGAAAGATTGACCAGTAATTACAGCACGCATGGTATTATCCATGTCTCTTATTCCTACTGCCACCGGCCTCGCCCGACGCTGGACAAGCCCCCCGATATATTCCATACTCGCCAGTTATCATACCCCGTGCTCGTTACCGTATACCATATGCTCGAATGTCACAACCTCGATATCCTCCCGTACTCCCCTGATACCGCTTTTCTTTTCCCTGACGAACACAAAGCACCCCTGTTGATCGACGACATCAATGACTGGTGCATTGTCTCCATCGAAGTCCGTAATACTTACGGCATACCCTTCGAAGTCATTTTCGAGCGCCAGCAACCTGGTGAGTGTGGCGAGCCAGGACAATCGGCGCTATACCCACATAAACGTCCACAGGTGTTTCGGCAGGTCAAACAACAACACTAGTTCCTCCCGGTTTGACATCAAGGTATGGTTTGCGTTCCTCCAGTATTACACATGCTCAATCCAATGCTAGAATTTTACTTCCTATCAAAAAGTTCACGTTGCCCGACGATGATGTCCAACTGCCTATCCCGACACTCTCGGATCGTCAGTTTGTCGTGTCCAACTCAGGACTTTCTGCCGAGCAAGAGCACCTGCAGCGAGAACTATTCTGGTACCGGGAAGCGCTTCTCAAGTATGTGCGGGGCAGGTGGAAAGAGGTATGTCGACGATAGCGCGGTCGTGGTGTCATTCTGACCAGAATTAGACTGGAGGAACCCGTGCGGGCGAGTTGTCGCTTCGACAGTTACGGATAACGCAACCGATGCTCAACACACTACATGTTGAACGCGCACGCCTAAACTTATCATTATGGTATAATGACGACTCGACTAGCGATTTCAAGCCAATAGCTGAGCGCGCCGGGATATACCAGCCGAAGTTCAACGAGCTCGTGTACCTTCGTGCGAAGATTACGAACTTGTCAAGTGAGTGAGCTTTACGTCTTAGTTGGGCTGATGCTGATGCGGGCTACCAACTCTTTAGATATGCCACGGATATTCACAGTCAACATTACGCTGGACCCTCCGCAGCATGTACTTTTCGAAGGCGTACTGTCGGATATTCCCGTCGGCCGATTAGCTGGCGGTGAATCGCACGAGTTTGACACGCTGGTTGTTTTTATTTCTTGTGGACGCTTCGAGCTTGCAGGATGTATTACGGACCCAAGTTGTGTGGGGGATAGTGATAGGTTGGGGCGAGGCGTGATCAAAGCAGCGGTCCAACCATAAAACTAGCTTTGGGTGTTCAACACGGGTGACTAATGAGATAACCTTGCGGTAGTTCCGCTGAAAACTGATCTTGATGGAGATGCAAGTCCAGAATAGCACTCACAACTGTGGAAACACATCGGCCCGCATGAATTCAACCCAGTAGCGGATTAGATGGTGTTGCTCTCTAAAATTGTGCGCCAGTTACATCCAATCCACTCCTCAACTAACGACTCTTCGCCCTCTGTCCCAGATCGGCTTCATACTCTCTTGGAGTCTGGCAGCCTCCAGCTTCTCTTCTGCGGATATTTCAGCAGCGATTTGAGATACATAATAGCCTATGGGATTGTTCGGCGGCGGCTCCGTGAGTGACCGGAGGACCCGCGAAATCTGAAGAGGGATAAGAATCGTCACCGAACCATCGAAGCACGAGAAACGTACCTTGCTTTCGAGACGGCTATTGGCCTGTAACTGAGTGAGCAACGCCACTTGCGACGACGTCTCGAGAGATATTATGATGCGTGTTTGGTGCAAGAAAAGGAAGAGATCGGCTACGGAACTGGACGCGAGTAGCTGACCAAAGATGCCATGTCAATAATGCCGGATAAAAGACGGCGTCAACTTACTAAGGAGTTAGCGGCACCGTGGACGTGCAGCAGATTAATTACCACTGCCTCAAACGGAGGCCAAAGCTCATTCCACACCATCCTGCACTGATGCAAGCTAGCGATATCGGTACTCTCCTCACTTGATGTACCAAGACCACTACCCAGCAATCTCAGAACAACAAGGAGCCAAAGTTTGATCGCAATATAGGCTCTGCTAATTTGATTGGATTCAACATCACCAAGGCCTTGATGTTCGGAGATGGCTTGTAGAGGCTCTAGCGAGGTGTAGTAAGGCAACACGAATGCGTGAAAATACCGCAAGAGCAGAGAGGGGCTTTGTGAGCCATTGACGGACAGACCGGCCAAGACGATCGCGTTCCATGTACGGACACCCAGAGGGTTGTTCTTGTGGATCTTAGCAAAAGGTGCATATGACAAAGACTGTGCATACCTCTAGATGTCGAAGGGTACCCATACTCTCCTCTGCCGCCCGTAACACGATTTTAGCAACAGCTTGGCATGAAACAAAGTCTTGGTGCCATGGACTCATTGCGTTGTACGAGTGGAGATACAGAAAGCCATCTTCTGCAAGTCGGAGTAAGCTCTCGCGCGCAATACACGACAAGCCGACATTCGAAATAACAACCTAGTGACGGCCTCTCAATGTCATACAGATGATCGGCGAACATATTTAGACTGACCTCCAACGCGGCCGGAAAAGTTGAAGAGAACGACTTGCCCTTCGAGCTGAGAATTTCCGACACTGACTCCAGGAAGGTAACCACAATCAGATTCGGTGTCTGCTCCGCTTTCCGGTAGAGCGCAGCTGTAACCTGTAGGACGTGCGACAGGGCGGCGCTGGACAGTCTACACTTTCCGAGAAGCAGGTGTAGTACAGTCGCCACTTGGGGTATAAAGATCTGTGTTACACTGAGCATGACTTCGCAATTCTGGAACTCATGGTACTTACCCGACTGTGCGACTTGTTATACTGGATGAGAGTAGCCGACATGAGTAGCAGAGAGCTCGCGTCGAAAGTATCTACAGTCCAGTCTGACACCTTATGCGCAATGTTCGTGAAGCTTAACCCGACGACTTGAAAGAGGTCAGTCTGGTATTATAGCGAGCACCAGAAGGCACGCACATTCGAGCATATCGATGGTGTAGGCGGAATGATGCACAATCTCAACGAAGGTACCAAGATTGTCGAGTACCGTTTGATAAGACTCCCCTTCGTTATTCGGCGCTCTCGACAGCGTGTCGTACAGGAGCGCATCTTTCAGATTGGGCTGCCCAATAGCTGTAGGCTTGTTACCGAGAACTTTGTTCAGCACCTTGAAGAAGTCCGGAGACAGGACTCGCTGAAAACCTTGTCAGAGCTATGTTGAACGCCTTTTGGTCCTGCACATGCCTTGAATAGGACATTCAGAATGCCCCGACCATAGAATCTAGACATTTGCTCTTAGGCTGAGATCAGGTAGCTATGAGAGCCGATAACACTCACGTAGTCATGAGTCCTTCCAAAAACATCCGTGACTGCACTACGAGGCTGTCTTCTGGGTGTTCCTCGTAATGAAGAGATACCATGACTTTGGTGACACTCTCAATTGCTTCGCTGGTGGAACAGTTAATCTGGCTTCCAACATAGCAGCAGCAGCAGCAGCAGGCTTACTAGATGAAAGGACCCATAATGTCCGGCCACCGGGTGATGAAGACTTGACACGCTGACAGGGCTAATTGGCGAAGCTCAAGGCTTAGATGCCCCTCGTCCGAGTACATCATAAGAGCACAGCGTAACGCCTTTCGCAAGTCGCTGTGCAGATATCTCAGCGGCTGACTGTCGAAATCATGCTTTTGCATAGCGATGATCAAGGTTTTGAGTAAATTTTTAAGGACGAGAGGTGGACTCGACCCGAGCTCGCTCAGGTGACTAGATAGATCAACAAGGATGTCGACGAACACGGAACCTATAAGGAGGGAATGTTTGGTTTCATCGTCCACGTCTGGACCACCCATAGCGGATGATGAGATATCGCAAGGTTGGGCAGAGTCTAACACGAGCATGAGATCAGCAATACAAGGCAGGGCCACCGGTGGAAAGCAGTCCAGTTCGCCAAATTGGACGTAGAACGTCTGCCCGTTGGAAGATGGAACAAGAGAGACGTCGCGGTAGCCAAAAGTGAGTAGAAGCTGGTGTTTGAGCTTCAGCAGCGAGAATAATTCAACCGTGATGCCGTCCGCAATCATTCGCAGCGACAAGGAAATGAGAGCGGCCTATCGGGGGCAGGAAATGTTAATTACTAATACCAACGCCACCTGTAATATGCTTACGCGCAACAAGAACGAATCCGGGTCAGAGACTGTTTGTGCTTCGTCGCCCTCTTTCGACGAAAGACCGTATAAAGACTCAGTGGTGGTCAGTGTGTTGTCTCATTTCTTATGCAGACACATCCATACCAAATGTGCTGCGGCTGCGCCGTCTTCCAGATGTCCATTTCTTGCCATGAACTCGCTCTCCAATAACGCTTCTATTATGGTCTCCCATGCTAGGACTGTATGGGAGATGAGAAAATGTAGTGAAGAATATTGGCTGGAAAATATGACTAGCCTTTCCATGCGGGAAAATGAGACCTCAACTGGCACAGGAAGTTGATCAGCTTCAACTTCTCTGAGATGGGCGCTCTTGATAGCGTCTCGTTCCAGCAGCGCATAATGGCTTCGTGATGAGCGGGAAGCAAGGTCTGAGACCATGTATCCACAGCTAGTCGTATCTCCTCCTAGACACGGCGTTAACTGGGGCACCAAAAACACGATTTGTACGAACCTTGTCATCCGTCCACATAGCTGAAAAGAAATAGTAGAAGACATCCACTACGCTGAGACCCCATTGTCGACCCTCGGCAACGAAAGCAGTGCTTGTGACATCTAAGACTATACGAAATAGCCGCAAGATGCCCTCTAGTCTATCTACAGCTGCTGAGAAGATCTGCATAGATAACATGTGTCTTACCTTATCTCCCAGTCTTCATGTCGAAGCTGTGCGAGCAACAGCGCCAGGAATGGCTGGGAGTCGACGACCATAACTCGCACGAATAATGCTGCACGCTTGAGAGAGAGTTCTGGTAATTGAATGGCGTAGAAGTCCCACATACTGCGCCACATGAGGGAAGCTCGATCGCCTTCACTGCATTTGACGAGCTGTTCCAGCGGTGGTTTGAGCGCATGCGAGACTCAGAAGGCTACGAAGTGGTGAGTTGAATCCTTCGCTCTCGCATAATAACATGTCTCATCTTCGGCGCAGGCAGTACCAGCCCTCCCTCGGCTGTTCACCCGTGAAGACGGCTCGTCGCGTCACAGCTTGGTCTTCGACGGCCGCAGCTCCGTGGGGGACCTCGCAGGTTTAATAAACGTCAATCCGCTCCAGAGTCTAATGGCCATATCCTTTGCCAGCCGAGACGGTTACCAACGTGGCCTGCGCTGGCTGTGCATCTTCGCATCCTCGGGCGTCGACATCCCCGTTTCGCTGTTCTACCAGTTCGCTAGCGAGGCAGGAAGGTTCCGCGCTGATCTTGAGGACTGCCTGGTCTTAACCAAAGCAGGCCTGTACTCTGCTTGGCTAAGGGCTGTCGGCCGCCAAGAGCTGCAGAATATCGCGGGGATGTTGCATGAACATCTCTCTTCGGACCTGATTTCGAAGCTGTGGTCCGGAGAGTCGGGCGATGCGTGAGTTTTATTACATTTGGCGTCGGTACATCTCATGCATCCGTGCAGCTTGATGTTCATACGCCTATCGCTGGCTATGTGCCTACTCCTTTACGGATGCGACAGACAGTATGTCATCTCTCTGGACTTCGTGAAGCAGGAGGAGATGAACCATCTTCCCTCGAGGTGAGCCACAAGATGTATCCTAGACCGTTGACTGATCTGGTGCAGGCGGAAGATTGGTTCAAGAGCATCGACGATGACAGATCCTATCATCGTCGACTCGAGACTAATGGCCGCAATTAAACTGTATGTTGAACAACATGTCGACGAACTCTCCTGTCTTCTTGCCAAATTCTTGAACACGTTCGTGAACGAAGCTCAACTGGTGGAGTCCTATGAAGTGGACAACTTCATCTTGCGAAACTGCGTCGCACTTTCAGCGTGGTGAGCCACGGCACTATTTCTTACAGGAGTAGCCTGAGATATCTTGATAATGGCCCGAAGGAACCGATCCGCAATCCCTACTTGCCGCTTCTGCTCGAAAACATTAGGTGACACTTCGAAGGCTAAGCAGCTGTTTTCACCTTGCGTGCTTTCGTATCAGCTTCTCCTCTCTCACCGAGTATAAACGGGTCCGTGTACGTGCCCTCTTCAGCATACTCGATGAGGAGGTCGTATAGGATGTTTCCGTATTCCGCAACATCGAGATCATGCAGCGCGAGCATCCAGGGCGTTGCGTAGGATTGTAACAATGCTTTCCTACTCGCGACGTAATCTCCACCGTTACTCGCCGTAATTGTCGTGGTCGGTCGACTGAGACTCTGTGTGGGCCAGGACTGCGCTTCTCCTGAGCGTACTCCCGGCAGGTTCTTGTGTATGTCTCTCTGCTGTCTGTGCCAGACGCCGCTCTGGGGTACTGTGTCGCAAGGGTACAAATGCGGAGCGTGCCACCTCTTCGTACATCCCTCATGTCTGTCTGAAGCAGCCAACGCTGTTCTGCCAAGGTGTCGAGGTGTTAACGCCGACTCAAGCTTGATGACCATTTCCCATGTCGATCTTCGCCAATCATTCATTGAGCACTACCGAGATCTGATATGGGCAGAATCTGATCTCGCTGCAGCCACATATGAAGAAGTCACTGTGCTCTTCTCGACGCTATGGAATCAGTTGCAGATCTTGAATAACGGGATGGCTCTAGGCTCTGTCGTTATTACGCTCGATCACGCGTCGGAGTCCGGAGAGATGGAAGATTTCGAACTGCATTACCTCGTTAGCCTCTACGAAAGCTACCTCTCTTCCGGCCATCTCCCGGTATCCAGCTCCCTGGAGGATTACCTCTCGGAGAACAACCTGCGCGCGAAGGACTACCTCGCCTACTTTGACTGGAATACGCTCGCCTTCATGGCCAGCGTCGTGAAGCTCCCGCCCTCGAGCGAGGCCGAAGGCGTTGACTTGAGTGCGCTGCTGAGCGTCAGCCAGGTAGGGGCCGCGGGACTGGACGACGAGCCTCCGTATCCGTACGAGATGGCCTCCCTGGCACATGTGCGCGACCGAATGGGTGACGCCCTGGGCCTCCACCACGACGCACCAGCACGGCAGCTTCTCGTGCACTTACATCATCTCGGTCTCCTCGAGCGGCATGACGCTCGCCCAGCACTGTTCGAGGACGCCGCTGCGGACCCCGAGAGCCTCCAGATCTGCTTCCCGCTACCGTTTGGGTTCGATATCACCCTCGAGGTCGAGACGCTGGTCGCGACTATTGAGGCGTGCCTGTCGGATCACAATCTGTCTCTTAACGAGGTCGGACTCCTGCTGCTCGTGCGGCGCTTCTGGCCGAATGGGATGCTTTCTGATTACAGCTTCCGGCGGCTGGTGAAAGCGATCTTGTCGTGGATCCTGTCGGAGGTTAGTCAATTATTCTGATACATGTTCTGGGTACTGACTTAAAATATATAAGGATGGAAATCTCGCTTTGATCCTTCGCGAGTACGTCGCAAGGATGAAGGTATTGACCATGCGGAACACGTGCTGTTCCTTCCTGACGGTCAAGGTCGTGCTCCCGTGCCTGCTCGGCAGGACGTGGCAGAACCTGTGGACGGCGACTTTCCGGATATTCGGGTCACTTTGCAGCGCGTACTCCGTGAAGAAGCTCCCTTCGGGGTAGTCGTAACAGTCGAAGTGCACGGCGCACATGCAAAAAGGACACAACAAACCGAACCCATCGACGGCGTCGGAACAGGCCCTGCAGCGGTTTGAGGAAAACTCCCCAAACATGCCAAATGAGCTCGCCGGAAGAGCGAACCGCCAAGGCATGAACTGGTGGGCATACGGGTGATCCACTGCGTTTCGTGTACGACGAGTGATGCTGGATCGACGGTCAGGAAAGGTCGGGCCAGCAATGTGAGCTACCTTGGGGAGCGGCCTCGAGATCACGACGTGTCCAGTAGATCTGGGCCAGTACGTCAAGAGGAGACTGGTGGCGGCGTAGCGACTCTTCGAGTTGTGATACGCGATGACTCCCAGGACGTCTAAGTAGACGTCTGGCTTTTCCTGCATCAATCGAGTGAAGAAGCGATGGAAACGGTGAGTAACCGGGCTTGGGTCCGTGAAGAGGTTCACGTTCTCCAATATCGCCGAGAGCAAGGGCTCGACCAATGATGCCAAGTAATAGACAGTAATGTCCTGTTCAGGAGCACTGCTGGACTGACACCCTTGACTATGTCCTGTTGCGCGTTTACTCCACCTCTTCCAACGATCGCTATGGCTGACTTCGTCTTGGGCTTCTTCGACAGTAATAGAGACTACAGGAGGCTGCTCGTCCAGAGGTTCTGTCAGGCCAAACCAAAGTGAGTTCCACTTTCGCAAGACAATATTAATGCCTACCGTTTGCTGGGCTTGTGACAGGGTCTTTCCCCTGCATTTTCTGGAGGTTCTCGAGCATTCCGCCCAAGACACCCTCCTCAAAGAATTGCAGTAAGCGGGCATGCATACTGGTGGGGAAGCTCTGAAAGGCAGGCATAAGGGTGAATCCGATCCGTGAGAGTATCCGAGGTTCGTCACGATGCATGTGGAGGAGAATCTGAGCGACGTCCAACGTCACACCTTGCAACGAGTATGGAGGTTTCGCCAAGTTGAGAGCGTAGACGCGGAAACGACAGTCCTCGACGATAACAGAAGAAAGGATGGTGATGCACTGTGAGAGAAGTTCTGGTGCTTGTGACGGTTCATCGTCATATCTGCTGGGGGACGCAGATCGAGAACGAGAGCGTCCCTGCGAGCTCAGTCTCCGTTTACGACGGCGCTTTTCGAACGAGTTTTGCCTGCCTGGTTTCATCTCGGAGCTGCTGTAAAGTTATCTAGACTCAATATGGGCCTGAGAATGGTGCTGGAAAGGTTCTTACCCCGCCGCAAAGATATCCCAATTATTCGCTAAAGATATGTGTAACGTGTCGCGCAGTTGTCCCATGAGTTTGAGGGTGGCATCGGTGAAAAATACTGGGCGGTTATTGGGGTCATAGTCTTCGTCGCTGTCATCATTGCCGTTTGTATTCGCCTGCTTCGCGTCGGCGGCCTTGCCTTTGCCTGAGAGAGACCTTACAACCGCCGCAATACCTTTTCTGGATCGCGCAGTACGAGAGTCTGAGCCTTCGAGAAGAGGTGGTGGCACGCTACGTTCTTCAAGCTGCGCCAGAATATGCGAAAGAAGTTTGCGCGATTCGTTCCGCGCCTTCTCCATGCCGAGCGACATGGTCGGTCTCTCCGGGCCGGCGTCGGACTGTCTCCCTGAAGAAGACTTGTCAATAGAAAGACGGAGCTGAGGGAGCAGTGTCTGGGAGAGACTGCGTGCGCGTTGTCGGCCAGCGAACAGCGCACTTGGCGACTCGAGCGGTGAGTTAGGTGCACCCAGCCCGCCTGTTGAGAGGCTGGTGTCGATTCGGAGCGACACCGGTGCAGATTCCATGGCTGTCAAAAGGGGATTGTTTTCAATACGGCGTTGAGCTGAAGGAGAGCATGAAGGGGATGGTGGTCGTGGTCAAAGCCGCCGAGCGCCACAAAGTTCGAGCGCATCACCGACATTCACTGCGCATCAACCAGGTGGCGGAAGAGATAACAACACCGAAGATAATTTCACTAGCTAGAGGCAGTCGAAAACCTCTGGTATACATATAAATACATGGGATGAAACCAGGCAACCACATCGTCAGTCATGCAATCTATAATCAGGCTAGTCGTCGTCCTCGCCCCGCTTAGATGCTACTTCCAAGTTGCGGGCACTCTCCATCATCTCCTTCATTTTTTGCCACTCGGCGGAAATCAGGCCTCGTTCATCGAACCAATTCATGATACCATCTGCATCCGACAAATCGTCTGGAGGCCTGCTGCCGCTGGCGTATGCGACCGGGACGTACACACGCTGCTTAGAAGATCTGTTGCGCAAATCCTCTACTTCTTGGTTGAGAGATCTGAAGAGAGCGTACTGAGAGACATACATTCGATTAGTGAGATGAGACCACACACAATGATGTTTCAACATACCTCCCAGTGCGTGAACTTGTGGAACACACGAGTGCGACGTGCACAGAACCGGCCAAGGTTGAACTCTTTCTTTGACGTCTCTTCTTCGTCCTCGTCGTCGCCAGTATCGCTCTCCGACAGCGACTGATGAGGACATGAGCGCAAATTAATGGTGAGGAGAGCCAGAACCTACTTCAAATGTCAGTCGGTCATACGGCTCCCCAAAACACCTGCCTGTAAGCGTCGACATGCGACCACCCAGACGACATGCGTCGCAATTTGGCACGGCGAAATCCATCTGGACCGTTTCAAAATCGGGATACATCTCAAGCGGCTTTTTGAACGCGGTTCGCCATACGGAAGAGGTCACTAGTGAGTCTCGCATGCCAGTGACTTTCCGGCGAGCAATCTGCAGAGGAATCGAGAAGTACTGGTCTGCAACGGAGCTGAGCAGAGAGGTTGCGCATGCGAACGAGCTGTAACTCACCTTTCAGACTCTGTTGCAGGAAATCTCGCCGCTGCTCTACAGGCTGGACAGCAAGGTGCACGAATAGCTGACAAATAATCTTGAAGTGATGCATCAAGTCCTGGTAGGTGTTCATACTGTATTCCGCGGGGAGCTCGATAGCTTGATTACTGTCTTCCTCGATGAAACCGCTTAGCCCTCCATATTCAGGCTCTTCTTCTTCTGATGCATCCGATGAGATCTCGTGAGTAGGCCGAGCACCAGGAATTATCCTATTATCCTCCTCCTCGCTCGAGGACAACGATTCGGCTGCCGTAGCTTCCCCGCGTTTCTTCCCTAAGACTCCATGAGCACATGTCTAAGCTCATAGCACGGGGTACTAGCTTACGTTTAAGCTTCTCCAAATTCTTCTGATACTGGGACCTTTTATCTCTCACGCGCAATCGACTCTCCAATATCCCTGAGCACAAACGGTGAGCAAGGAGGTCTAAATGAGTAGTCGAATTACGTACGTGCTTCTTCTACCTCTTCAAGTAGATCCTCATCTCCCGTCTCCGGCGTGGGTGGTCTGACACCCTTGACTAGCTTCGACTTGCGAGGCTGTGGGTCTTCATCAGAGTCGCTGTCTAAAACCGCCCGCTTCCGTTTGCTCCTGGGATTCGGAGCTTTCGCCTTGCCTTTCCAATTGACAGGTACCCCAACTGTGTCTTCACTCTCACTGGAGACAGTGACTGGTAGCTTCTCCACGCTCTCGGCCCTCCTCTTTCGTACTTTTCGCTGTGTAGCGGCCGGCCTTTTCGGGGAATCGTTCACATCTTCCCCGTCAGAACTCACCACGATAACCTGGGGTTCAAAAGCAATCCCTCCGACATCGCTACTCGTGCTACCATTGTCGTTTTCTGAAGGAGGGTCGCTCTCCGGTGCGCGCCGCTTTGAGAGTGCTGGTCGCTTGCGCTTGGCGGTCCTCGAAGGCGGCGAAGCCTTTGCTCTGCTGGAGGCTGAGTCCGGCCTTGGGGGAGAAGACGATCCAAAGTAACCAGATAACGATTTCTGTTTTAGTCCTTTAGTGACCTTCATGCTGCTACGCGGTGAATGTCGCGGTGAGAGTCATAGCGCGAATAGCGATCGGCACGATCGAGTCACGTGAAATTCACGCGGACTCCGCCCACAGTGGCGTTCGCCCGCTTGTCCATCGCCTTGTCGTTGACAATCCAACGAAGAAAATGCCGTACTATCCTCCGTCAGGGACATCGTACCCGTACAGCGCATACCATCCTCCACCAGCAAACACGTATTCTGCTTCCCACACTCAGCAGCCAGGCGCATATCCAACGTCCGCTTACCAAACGCCATATCCTACCGCTGTTCAGGGATATGGCACCTGGCCTTATGCAGCATACAGTTACTATACTCCCCAGCAGCAACAGCAACAGCAAACAGCGCAACAACAGCAACAGGCTAAACCGCAGCAAGCACAAACGCAAGCATCGAAACCTGCGGCCACTACCCCTGCAACAACGGCAGCTACACCTACACCTACATCTGCAGCAGCTTCTCCTGTTATCGGGCAACAACCTGCCGCGGCGGCTGCAACATTAGCTGCGACCACTCCCGCTCCCACGTATGCATCTCCGCAATATGCGGCAACCTCGACCATTCCTGCGGCAACCTCATCCATGACGACTTTTCCCGCCACGCAGCCTCCCCGGCCCTATACCTCTACCTACACATATATACCCTCATATCGAGACACCCTGGCAGCTGCGTCTACGGGAGGCGCGAGAGGTTCATCAAAGAAGTCGTCGTATAGAGGACTGTTCACGAAAGAGCGTAAGTGTGCTCTGTATGCGTAGCATATCCCTCTCTGACGCTAATATGGGATAGTCCGCAATCTGATGTACGGTTTCGGGGATAATCGTAACCCTGCAAACGACACCGTGAATGTCATGGAGGAAATTTTGGTGGAATATATTGTGGATGTAGTATGTCTGACCTGCTCTAGTTCCATGTCCGTGGTACTCATTCGTTCCAGTGTCAAACTTCCCTTGCGTCTGGCAAGAAGTCCAGGTTGTCCATCGAAGATCTCCGCAGAGCACTCTCGCGACCTGCTGATGCCAAGAAGCTTGCTCGTATGGAGGAACTTTTGTTCATGCAAGAAGACATCAAGAGAGCTCGTGCTCAGTTCGAGGAGTCAGACATGCCGGTCAACCAGGCCAGTTTCCAATCATAGTTCGGACTGCTGTATCTGTAGAGTCGCGTATTGTACTCTAGGGCGTTCCTGCTAATATTATACTGTGACATCATTGCACGTTCGATGTGTCTCGTTCAAAGGTCCAGCGAAGCTGTTTAGGATGATACTGGGACATGTTACACGGTAGTGTCCGTGCAGGGACGTGTCTGCCTGTGCCTGGACGTTGCATCTGAAACTGCGCGGTTTCGTACGAACTGTGTAGCCGGAGTAGAGATTTCTGATTTTCCCTTGGCATGAACGTTAAGTCTGACGCGCTCCCTCACTTTACCCTACACCGGTGTTGACGTTGCACGATGGCCCCGAGTTCCGCTCCTCGAAACCTTTCGCAGTCGTCCACGAGAACGAACCTCCTTAAGCTCCGCAAAGCACGCACAATGTCCACCATGATAGACCCTGCAACCAAGATCAAGGAACTCACTGTCCCTTGCCAGAACGACACAGGCAAGCCGTCGACGTTCGTCCTTACGGACACGTCGTTGTATGTGAACAGACCGGACGATAGTGAGTGTCACTCTTGAGCATCATGATGCGTGTACGCGGCTGTATGTGGCTGATGACCACCTACTTTGCTAGCAACATGGCCCGAAATCCTCGTTTCCCTGCGTTACGTCCTGTGGGCAGAGACAAAGGACGGTAGTCTTGAGGTTTGCTTGCTTACGCAGAAGAAGCCTGTGGGCTGTTTGAGACTCGTGCACATTTCCGGGAGGGTGCCCCCTGCTCAGCAGCAAGATGCTGATGCCTTTGCTCAGGCTGTACTGGAGGCTGCGTACCAAGGCGAGTGAGACTATCCTTACATATTGAACCACCTTATAAGCCCGTGGCGTAGGCGTCAAGAAGCACAGGCATGTCTTAATCCTTGTGAACCCAATAGCCGGTCCGGTACGCAAGGCTGTCACCGCCATATACAATGACCTGACGGCATGAGCTACGTAGGGCAAGTCTCGAACGCACCTCAACAAGAAGATCCTGCCTATTCTGACAGCTGCCCGCTGCACGAGCGACGTCACCGGTGAGTCATGCCTGCTAGTTTGCTTGTGATATACATTCACATACGATTAGTTACCGCCTACTACAAACATGCCTGGGAAATTGCTCGTGACCTGCCTCTGAGCAGGTACGATGCCATTGCAGCCGTCTCAGGAGATGGAATTATCCACGAGCTCATGAACGGTTTCGCTGAACACAAGAACCCGACCAAGGCTTTCCAGACACCACTCGTTCCTATTCCAGCTGGCTCAGCTAACGCGCTTTCGTTGAACCTTCTTGGGTTGGAGGTAAAGCCGGTAGACTCCCTTACAGATTTCAGGGTAGGCACTCATGCAGCTTTTAGGAGGGGTTTGACATCTCTGCCGCCACTCTCAACGTGGTTAAAGGTACAGCAGGTTTCCCTTCCACTGAGTGCATGCATCTAACCATGTTGGTATAGGACGTCCAATGAACGTCGACATCTGTTCCGTAACCCAAAAGGATCGAAGGGCTTTCTCCTTTATGAGTCAAGCCATCGGTCTGATGGCTGAACTCGATCTGGGTACTGAGTATCTACGTTTCATGGGCGACAGTCGTTTCATTTATGGTTACCTCCGCGGGCTCGTCCTCCATCGCGCCTGCCCCGTCAAGGTCAGCATCAAGGTCGCTCAGTCGGACAAGGATCAAATGGTCGAGGACTTACGCGCAGGCGAGGCAGCGGCCGCGCGTCACCTGCAGTCTGCCTCAGACGCTCCTGCGGTCGGTATCAATGGTAATGGAGGGGACGCTGTGGTGAACGGAGATTCGCCCACAACACAGGCCGATACAGACCTGCCCCCGCTTAAGTATTCGTTTGGCGAGCAAAGTGGCGACGGCTGGATCGTCTTTGAGAAGCCAGTCCTGTACCTGTTCGGCGGGAAGGGTCCGCTGGTCGCTCGCGATTTGATGCAGTTTCCTATGTCGCTGCCGGACGATGGATACGTCGACTTGGTCATCCAGGAGAAGGTAAATGAAGTGCGCCTTTAGCTTGTAGATCCAGGTCTCAATATCGTTCATAGCTGAGCCGGAAAGTCATGCTGCAAGCCATGGATGGCGCGGAACGCGGCAAAACGTACTGGATGGACACAGTGAGCTGCCTTGTCAAACCTTACGACATGAAGATGGACTGACGGTCACGTATAGCAACACTACTTCAAGGCCGAGGCTTACCGTGTCGAGCCGCTCCAGAACACTAGCTGCCTGTCAGTCGACGGTGAAGAATACCCTTTCGAACCTTTCCAGGTCGAGTGTCACAAGGGCTTGGCGACCTTACTCAGCCCATACGGCGTGTACAACGTCAAATTCGACGTCCCAAAGACCACATAATTTTTTCCTCCTCGCTTTTCTTTCCATGGAGCGGGCTTTGCTGTATTTCCGCGGGACACTTAGTACTCTACATACCTTGACCCTGTGATGTGTGTGGATTTAATCATCATATACCCTGCCGCTTTTGACAGGTCGAACGAGAGCACAGCTGCCCATTCACTATATTTGACTACTACGGCACATGACAGTCTAAGATACTACGAAAGCTGAAGCGAGTGTGGCGGTGCAGAATGCGACAATCAAGTATACAAGTGTCCTTAGTACTAATCACAGTCCCCGGATATGGATAAAGAGTGCCCAAAAAGATATTGTATAGTCCGATATGAATTCAACAGTGCAAATATCGCACATTTGAGTCGTGATCATGGTCGCGCTGGAGACGACGATGTTAACTGGACGGATTTACAAGATGAGACAGAGATACGCACCAAGCTGTTCCTTGCGGTAGAACCAGAAGTAGCCAATGACGATGACTATCTGGCATATCATAGCTATCCAGAACGGTGCGGACGCCATCGGCGAGCCCTTGAGACCGTCCTGGAAGTCCCATTTCGCAGCGTCCGGGAAGACACTTTCTGGCCCGACCTTGTTTGGTGCTGTCGCACGGGCAACCATGACACAGATCGAACCGATGATCTGCGCGAATGCCAAGGTGGCGCACACATGCAGACGAGATAGTGTCTAAAAGGAGATATATCAGCAAATAGACATCAGGAACGGTAGTGGCGTAAACTGACCTGTAAGAGAATGAGACCAAGTCCGACACCTTGGATGGCATCGAGGACACCAAGCCACAACCACAACGAGATACCCAGGTAGGGACCCGCGTGACCGGCCCACGGGATGTACAGAGCAAGCGAGGAAGTACCCCATAGCATCTGACACCACCTTGGCGCACCAAGGCCGACAGCGAAAACGGGTAGCAGCCAGGTGTGCGTCATGGAGAAATACGTGAGGATGCCCATCATGACGGCCCAAACAACGACGAAGAAGGCGATCACAAGGAGGAGGATCTGCCACTTGGGAATAGGGACCGACCACAAGAAGCTCCAGTTACGGCCGTACGGACCACTGAGCCAGTAGTCACGAAGGATTTCTGACCCCAAGAACCACAGGACAAGCTTTCGGCGGAACAGCGTCCTCAAGAAGTTGGGCACTTTTGGCGGCGTCTGACGGTAGTAGTCGGGGAGACCGTAGAGCATGAGGTACGCGAAGAGAACACTGAGGAGGGCCAATGGCCAGACGATGAGAACGATCCACCACGGCGCCATTGCATTGGCTTGTGCACCATTGAGATGGTTACCCCAGTACCACAACGCCGCCACCCAAATCTGTTGAGATCCTTGAACGATGCAAGCACGCATAGTCCACACCTCTGTAGCAGCACCCTGAACAACCAATCAGTGCATTGCACACCTAGACGTCGAGACAAAATACTTACAGCTTCTTCACCGAAGTTGAGACCGAAGAAGATAAATGCGGCAGAAGATGCGACGGCGTAAAACCAGGTCGCGATGCTCGTGAGAATGTCGTGGGCTCCATGCAGTTTGGGCGTGACCGAGGGCAATCCGATGAGGAAGAAGGCGATGCCGAAGAATAGCCATGGTGCCGAGAGAACGTACACCGACGGCTTGTAGCGGAAGAGGATGTACCAGACGGCCGAGGCAGCAAGGAAGACACCACCGAGGACGTAGAGCTGGATATCAGTCTGCCAATTTTGGCCGGAGAGTAGCGTGATCTGGAAACTCGTCGCGCTCAGCATTTGTCCCGCAGCGATGATCAGGGTGTAGATGGGCCATCCTCCAAGCTCCCTCGACATGGCGATCTGAAGACCGGTCATTATGACAATGTCTTGCTGTTCCGGTAGAGCGCCGCTGTATCCGTCTGCCCCAGTGAAGCCCGACTGACTTGGCGAGGAAGGACGCGAGTGATCGAACGATGAAGGAGCAGGAGTGCCCCAGACGGAGTCTCGCTGTGAAGAACGGATACTGGCAGCACTGGACAGCTTGTCCTTCTTGACCTTGTCGAAGAACGCCTCTTCGCTCTTGGTGAGGAATTTCTCAATCGAGAGCTCGTGCTTGGAGTTGTGCGGGTTGAGAGACTGTAGCTTTGCCGCGAATTCAGCAGTGACGCCGCCGTCCGCATCCGTGAACGCTGCCATAGCCTTGTTGAGTGGCGAGTCCGCTTTCTCCGTAACGATCGATGCGATAGACTCCACCGACGACACCCTCGAGTGGGCTCCGAACGGCCGGCTGGGGGCAGCGTCAACGAAGGGGTCGGGAGCATGCTTGTTGTCGCGCGCAATAGTCCGGTTTGCCCTGTCTAGGAAGTTGCCAAACTCTTGCCTGTTGTCCGTGCTTTCCCTGTTCTGACTGAAGTAGTCGCCTTCGTTGTCGGAGACATCCGTACTGACAGAACCACGACGACCGTCGGGCAGGAGGCGCGGAGGTGCGTGAAGGCCATTTTGACCGGGAGTGAGCGTGTCTTGACTCCACTGACCGGGCGACCCAGGCGACCCAGGGGGTCCGGGCGTACGTGGGCTCTCGTTGACGCTAGCAGCATCCCAGTTGGGCTGCGACGGGTGGGTCTGATATTCGGGGTTCCAGTCATCATGTTCGGCAATAGCGTGCCCTATGCCACCGTCACAATCGGAAGTGCGGAATGCGTTAGGGCCGGCGGCACCACGAGACATGCCGATACTGCGACGGTGAAAGTCTTCCATGCGTTGGCGCCATTCGACGACAGGGAAACGCTGCACAGCAGAACGAGCACGGAGCATAGCACGTTCCTCCTCGGTAGACTTCAAGGCCATCTTGACTGTCTTTGTCAATTGCGACATCATGTGCTCCGTCGACGTCGACTCGACGGGGAACCACTTTACGAATGGTCAGCACCGCAGGGCGCCAGAATCGCAACTGTACTCACCCAACCGGGCATCAATCCGAGACCGCCGAGACGAGAACCGACACCAAGGGCACCCTTACGGCCGAACTCGACAGCAACGAGACCGAACGGCTCATCACGAGACGGGATGAGGGCGAAGTCGGCGCCACTGAACAGGTAGGGAGGCAACGCAGTGAACTCAGGCTTGGAGTGAACACGATCCGGATACATTTCCATGAGACGATTGAGCTTTTCAGCCGCGAAGCGACCGTAGAGATCGATAACGGGTCCAACAGTGATGAGCTGGATGGATGGACGTTTCTCGAGCCTATAGGACTTTCGTTAGCCATTACCAAGACCGAGGACGAGCATCAACGTACAAGGATGGCATAACGTCAGCAATGACATCGACACCCTTCTGCTTGGACCAGCGACCAACGAACACGAAGAGATCGGCATTCGGATCCTGCTTGATACCAGCCCACTCTTGCGCCTGACGCTTGTGTTCGGGACGCTCTGCTTCCGCCGCTTCGTCAATCTTGATATCACGTAACGCAATCGGATTTTCATCGAGGGCGGCGATATCCGTGGGGTCGGGGTTAGGCAACGAGTCGATATGCTTGAGTGTCCAGAGCGCGGGGTAGCGAGCCCACGAACGTTTACCGTACTTGTCAGACACACCAGCGACACCGATAGACTTCTGGTGCACCGAGATGAAGGACGCCGCGGCATGGAGCAAGTTGAAGGTATTGCCGAATTGCACATACTTCGTGCAGTGTTCCTTGCTAATGTTGAACGCCGAACAAACCTCCTTCATCTCCTCCTTGGTACGAAGTGGCCACAGACCTTGGAACTCGGCGTTGTGCAGGGACAAGCACACCGGGAGAACCTTTGGCAGCAGGTAGATGGGAGCAAGTGCACCGTGATAGTCGTTGACGTGATAGATATCAATGAGCGGGTGGCGCTTGATAGTCGCAGCAATAGCTTGGTTCCAAGTCGAGTAGAAGATGGCAGAGCTGAGGTCATCCATGCGAGCCGGGTACGGGTCAGCTTTCGTCTGCGCACGGAAGACGGGACTGTCCAAGATGACGTAGGTGATGTTGTCCAAGACATGCGTTTCAACCTCAATGAGGTAGGGCTCTCCGAAGATGATGACTTCGATGGGTTCCGCAGGTTCACCGGGCGGGTACTCCAAGTCCTTGACCTTGGGGACGACCCAGACTAGATCGACGTCCGTCATGGCCTTGCCCATCAAACTCGACATGACGCCCAAACCACCGATCTTGACCTTGAGCTTCCAATCGATGATCTCGTACTCGAGGGTGGCGATGAGGACCTTGCGCCGCTTGTTCTTGTCCTCTGGCCAGCCAATGACCTCTGTCTGCTTGTGGTGTCCGCCGAAGAACTTTTCGCTCATGTGCTCCTTGCTCAGATTCGCGCTTGACTTGTGACCAAGGGCGCTAAGGATAGGGAAGTAGTTGTGCTCCTTCGTCGGCTTGACACCCCACTTATTGTACTTGATGCCGTAGAACGACCACATGAAGACCACGACAGCGAGAGTGCCGGTAATGAGAGGAATGGAGAGCAGGAGCGCATACATGATGGCCCCGACTGCAGATTGGCCGCGAGGTGCGAGAGTCCAGGTCATGGTTGCGTCGTCAACAATAAGAGCCCATGCCAGGTGAGGATGCGGCGGAGCAGACATGTTCAGGTAGTTCGGGGCGGCAGTGTTGGGCGGCAGACGGTCGAGGATACCGTCGTCATCGACATCGCCATAGTAGTAGTCGTCGTATCCCCAGACGTTCAGCTGCACGTACGTCGGCCAAGTTGCCATGATTTCAAGCTCCCAGTGACCATTGTCGTTCTGGTCCATCTGCGCAGGGATACCCTGGTCGAAACCCCACGAGTTGAACGGACCACGGGCCAGGAATTGAGGAACACGACGAGGCTTGGAATAATCGTGGTCTGCGTGAACGACGATAGTGGCTGACGTAGCAAGTGCGCTCCAATCTGGAAAGTACCAATTAGCGTGGTGTCGCACACCGGAACGCCATCTACTTACACTGCACCATGACATGCTGGCCATCCCAGAAATTACCGTCGAACTCGCTTGCATCGATCGTAGTTGTGTCTTCCCAGTCGCGCCACGCAGTCCAATTCTGGCCGAAGTTGGTTGAGTAGCGGAGCATATCCGCACCAAGCGCGTTGTGAGTAAACGTGTACTGTCCGTTGCTGGAACTCAAGGCAGCATTATCGTAGTCAGATTCAGGGAAGACCATGACGTTGCTCGACGACCCCTTGCGAACCAGAAGACGATCTTTAGCCTAATAAAAATAAAAATAATAAAATCAACAGCGTGATCTCTGTGTGTTGCGTAGCAGAAACTTACTCCTGTACTCGAGTTTCCGCTTTGAGCGCTCGGGTTGTTGACGAGGATCTCCAAGATACCATCGGGGACATTCTGAAGCGTCGCAGACCAAGACCACACAGAAGCATCGACACCATTGATGAGCGAGTAGACAGGGTTCTGGATCGTCTGGCAACTGATACTATTCTGGTTGATGGTAGGTGTCGAGCCGTTTCCAGACGAAGACATGTTGAAAGACAGCGACTGAGTGACGCTGTTGCAGTCCATTGCCATATTGAACTCGAGCGTGATATCCACGGTAGTCGCATTCGCATCGCCAGCCTCGACATTTATCCGCGCGTCGTGTCCAGGAAGGAATCCGGTCAAAGCAGGATTGGGGCCGACCCACTCGTCCTGAGGAACCAGAGCAAGGAAGCCGAACGGCTGGGTTGTGAACGAGGACATGCAACCGAAGTACGGCGCAAGGCCGTTGTTGAAGTACGAAGACAGTGACTCCGCCAGAGTATACGTCTCATAGGGCGCGACAAGGTTTTTAACGACGGTACCTGCTTGGTAAGGGGAGGATATCCAGAGATCAGAGGAGCAGTTGTACTCCCAGGTCCTCGTCTGATTCTCGTTACTGTACAAGAGCCAGACTTGGTCGGTGAAATTGCCCGTGAGATTCTGCACGTTGGCGATCTCGGAACGCGAAACCGACCAAAGACCCATCTCGGTGGGGGTGCCATTCGAACCAGGTCGGTCAATGTAGTACGTCCAGTTACCACGCTGCACAAGGTTGAAACCGTCCTGCAGAGCACCGTAGGTAGACCGAAGCTGATTGAAGCGGGAAAAGAGTCGGCGAGAGTCGGTGGTCGGATCGAAGTGGTCAAGGGAGTTCCAATCATCCTGGCATCCAATAAGCGACTTGCCGAGCGGCATGTTGAAATATTGAGTCGAGCCGAGAGTGTAGCACCCATGACGCTGCCACGCCTTGTTGCTGATCATAGTCTGACGACTAAAGGGAGGAATGAATGATATAGTTCCAACGTAAAGGAGAATCGAACTTACCCGTAGAGATAGTTGGAAGCAGTAGTGTCGAACATATAGAAATCCTGCTCCTCGCCGTAATACAATAGAGATATACCAGGCATGACCAGCGACGTGATGAACGTGCCCAGGACGCTCCGTTGCGTACCATTCTCCAAGGAAGGCCAACGGAAGACATCGAAGTTGCTCGTTCCAAACATGTGCTTCGGGTCGAGCTCGCCGGTGTTGGGGTTAAGGAAGTCGTTGGTTACGAACATCTGGTTCCACGCGGTGATGAAGTTGACGTCGATATCGTATGCAACTTCCAGGTTACCATCCATCCCGAGGAATCGAGTGAGCGATCGGTAGATGGAATAGTGGAAAGCAACACCGTCTAATCCATTCAGAGGAGCATCACGGAGGAAGTACTGGTTCTCGCTGGACGTCAAATTCGCCGCTTCCAAGAATCCAGGCGGTAGTTGCGTGGGAGTGCGTCCGCGTCCGCTGAGAGGCAAGTCAGCTATATGTGGTAATAAAATCCTCAGAGGACTTACTAGTAGAGGGCACCGAAAGTATCGCCACCCGTAACCTCACCAGTGATGAAGAAGTTCTTCTTACCGAGTGCCGTTGCACACGCGCGCGTACTGGACGCCCATTCCGCGAGAGCAGCGACGGTAATCTGGGTGGACTTGTCGATACGGATAGCGTCAATGTCAAAGGCGGTAATGGCCATGCAAGCGAAGTTCTTCAGCTTGTCCATCACCGATGGGCGCCATTCACGGAGACGATCTTGCACAGACGCGAACTTGGACAGCTGACGCTGCCAATCGGGGTGAACACCAAAGGCCTCCATGTCACCGTACTGATCGATGTCAGACTCCATACAGCCGCCGCCCCAGCCAGTATTCTCTAAAGTACCATCGTCTAGCCAAAGAGTAGGAAGTTGGCAGCTGCTATTCCAGGTGTTATTGATCTAAGCGCAAGATAAGACGTCCATAGAGATATTTTGAGTACGTCGAACGCACCTCGAAATCCTTATATTCCTCGAAATCCCAGGGGGCATAATTCGGTTTCTTCCAGACTCCGTTATATTCGTGGAGATCGAACGGAGCAGACGTATTCAGAAATCTGTAATATGATGAGATTACGTCACGCGTATATGCGCGTATATACGTACCCGTCGAATCCAACCATGTCAGCCATGGTTCCGACCGTAAAATCCATCATGAAGTACATCCCACGAGCATGAATCTCGGCAATGGCCGCCTGCCAGTCAGCGATATTACCCCAGTGGGGGTCCACAACCGTGAAGTCCAAGGGCGAGTAACCTAACACGCGTCGAGCCTGAGAATACATGATCACAAAGAAACGAACAGGACTTACTGTCGGCTTGCCACGGCATGTTGATCCAAGGAGTACCGGAGATAAAGACTCCCTTTATGCCCATTCCCTGCAGATAGTCCAATTTTGCGACGAGACCCTTCAAGTCGCCTCCAAAACGGAGTTGTGTTTCCCGCCAGTCCCATTCGTAGACAGTGCCGAGGTAGTCGTTGTTGCTGGGATCGCCATCCGCGAATTTGTCGAGCAGAACGGTGTAGAAAGGAATCTGGCGCCAGTTAGTGGGTGACGGGTTGTAGCTCGACCGTGTGGGAGTGGAATAATCTGTCGGGGACTGTGCGTTTTGATTGGTGTTGACGTTGTAGTCGACGAGGTCGGCGCGATAAGGCGATGCATGCGCGAGCGACGCGGCGGCTAGCAGCGAGAGCGCTGCGTTGAGCAGCCGCATGCTGAATAGTAAGAGAGTACACTAAAGGATGTCAAACAGACTGTCGTTGGTATCGTTGTGCTGGCCGGGTATCGTTCGGCCTGAGAAGACCGTGCCTATGGGGAGGACACCTCTGTGGGTTGGAAAAGGAGCGAGGGAGGCGGACGCTGTTCCTGCCTGGAATTATAAGTCTGTATACAGAGGCGAGGGACGGCAGAAGGCCTCGACGTGAGGTCTGGCTAAGGTGGAGGAAGGGCTGAGAGGGAAGCCAGGGCCTCGTTTTATTCGTTTTCTCGCCAACGGGGTCCAGACGCCGCTTTGCAGCCCAGTTTTAGACGCCTATCCGGCCACCTTGCCCCTTGTGGCCGGCCCTTTCTCGTGCCTGTCGAAAGACCGACCCTCAGCTGTCCAATCTCGACGGCCTCCGTGGCTGATCGCATCGTCAATCCAACAATCCTCCGTATTCGTCGTGAGCGGCAGCCCTGCGCGCAGATATCGACCTCCGACGCCGTGCCGAAGTAGCCCGCAAATGGGTGATGCAGGAATACTAAGGCCAGCCAAAGCATGTCCCACGTCTTGGCACTCCAGTAACTCTCCTCCCCATTCGCCTGTCGCGTGATGCGTATCAAAAGCGTATGTCACTGCCAAGCCAAATATTTATTTGCCATGCCGCGCCCTGATCAGAACGTTGTTATCGCGATCCGCGCGTGTGGGCTAGCGGAAGAAGTTCACCAATCTGCCGGGCTGAGACTTGAGGAGCGGGCACAGCCACATCGCCAGCCCCAGCGGGACCGAGCCCGAACGCACTCTCACGAATCATGTGCATGGGCGACCGAGCGGGGATAGGCTTTGGGCAGCATGCGCACACAGACTATATGCCCATTGCTTAGGGCGGCGCATCAGATCCGCACTAGTACTACTTCTATCGGAAGCAGTGGGCAAAGGCGCTTGCGAATATTCAATGCCACTGCATGGTTCAGTCGAAATGACAGATAGGCATTGTACTATCAACTTGATGCGCGCTCACAGACGTTACGACCGTCTTTAGCTCATATATATTCGAAATGATACTCACGACTACCATGATGATTATCTGCCTCGTTGTCAAGCTGCCTCCTCGATGTATCCCACGCTCTGCTACCGCCCTAGCAACGCACCATGTCGGCCCCCCGCTGAACATCAGATTGTGCAGCGCGGATTCGAGAGATCATACTAGTACTGCTTGCGATGGCAGCTAGTTACTGACAGAACGTAGGAGCACGGCTGGTTGATCTGCTTGGGGCGCTATAGTCGCGTCTGTTGGATAGAACAGCCCGATAGCTATCGACGGATCATTGCATGCAAGTACCGACACGGTGCTAATTTGTGTCCCGATGCAGTGTTGCCTGCTACAATCTTGTCTCCGCTGTGATAGTTGAGCGGCAATCAAGCAAATGCTTCATGGTTATTCAAGGCGAAAGTCCAGTGAGCAGACAGCCGAAGTGGCTCTGTTGAGATCTACAGCTGGACTCCCGGGGTGAATAATCACATAGTGGCAGTGGACATTATGCATTATTCGTCATGGGCACGTACCCAGAAGGTGAACCATCACCAAGACGTGCGGTCGTCTCAGCTGCTCGCCACCAGGTCACCATGAAGGAAGCGGTGTGGCTCGTGGCGAACACTTTCGCACGACCCGTTCGATCATTGCTGTAATCTCTAAAAAGCGACAGGCCTAGCCAACAGCCCAATCTGAGACGACGGTTATCAACGAACTACTACGCGTCTAAGTATGGTGAAACCGAGACCGCCGGCGCTTCTCTGCACGGTCGTCGACGCGAGCGTTGCGGGCTGTGTCTTGTCGACAACCGCGCACGGCTGAATGGTACAGCCCGGCTTTTCGTTCCGTATATTATCCTTAGTGTGCTCCAGCCCTGCTTGTGGCTCCTCTGACGTTCCTTCCAACGTTCCTTATCCACTGTGGTCCGTGTGAATTAGCAAGAGAACTTTCTTGCCAGGCTCATCAAGCATCCATCAGGACCTGTTCGTAACACTTCCGACGCCCTTGGAGGTCTTCATCGTACCCTGGGGAGGATAATAGCAACTCAGCGGAAGCGACCCTGAAGCAGTAAGGAGTTCCCAGGTCTGTTCATCGTTCTCTCCTCTACACTCACAATTGCGGGCCAGACGCTGAAGCTTTGTTCTATCTGCTCTTGTTGTCCTTTCGTCCTCCAGGCCGTCCTTGTTTCCGCCTTTACTCCCTGCTTCCTCTTCTGTCTCGTCTTGCAATCTCCTCTCTCGACCGGTCGAGTAGCTTCTCCTTCGTCAACGTCTCTGCCTGGCCTCTGCAGAGATCCTCAGCTTTTCGGTCTCCAACAGCTGACGACTCTACGAACATAATATTATTTTTCCCCATCCTACATCTGATACCCCCCGCACGACATCATGGCCGCCGTGTTTATGAATGGAAGTTCTTTACACCCACCGGACGACCAGCCCATGTCCCAGGCGTCTTCGCCGTCTTCGCCAGGCGCCACGTTCATGATACAACAAGGCCAGACGACCTTGCCTGCGTTCAGCCTAAGCGGAACAGGTTACCTTGACGGCTTGTCTCAGCCCAGCACCCCCACCTCCATGACTGCCAGTGTGTCACTGGACCCTCCACCAGGCATAGCTTTTGCCGACTATTTACGAACTTGGAACGATGCTCACGTCGCTGCATGGCTTACGAGTGTCAAATGTCCTCACCAGTCGACAGTTTTTCGGGCCAACGACATAAGAGGGGACGTACTTCTGGAATTGGACCAAGCAACATTGAAGGAGATGGGGGTTTTCACCGTAGGCGATAGGATTAGGATCGTCGCGGGTGTCAAGGCATTGAGACAGAAATGCTCCTCAAGTTCTACAACTCTCAGCTTGGTAGCCAGCCGACCACGCTTGCAAGAGCACAATCGGAACGGTAGTGTGGGTAGCGAAGGCTCTCACTCCTCTGCGGCGTCACGACTTGGACCGCGCAGACTGGACAATGGACGTCCTGCGCCTTTGCACCTTCCGCCTAACTCCAGCTCAGACGGCCTACCCCGCTTGGTTCGCGATGGTCAAGACTCTGCGCGAGCAAACCCGCCAACCCGCCCCCTCCCTCAGCCAAACGCAGGCTCATCGAGCGTCCATACACCGAGTGGTCGCCCTGGACTCCCTCCTATTCCCCCGCCTCCTCGTGGCCAACCGCCGCCTCCGCCTCCCAACGCTCGTACTACGTCGCGCTCGCTCTTGCCGCCCACGAACCAGTTGTCGGGGCGCAGGACACCTACAGTTCCAGAGGCGCCTGCATTCAACACAAGTCAACCTCTGCCGTTGCCACCTGGACAGAATCTGCCACCGCGCCCTATCCGTTCCCCATCGCCGCTCCAGAACAGCCAGCTGCCGAATCGTAGTTACAGCCGCTCTCCGAACGAACACGGGCGGAACGCCTCAATATCAGGCATCGCATCTCCCGCTGCGAAGCCGCAGTCGCGCCCGTCAAATGGACCCACGGGTCATCCCTACTCATCACAGCATTCGGGTGGGAATCAGTCGATGCTCTCCCCGATCGCTGAGGGGTTCAGGGACTCGCAGCGGCATACGTCGTCAACGCCATCGCCACCCACCAACTCTGGCACATCCCGCGCGGGAACGGGTCTGTTTAATAGGCCGAACACCCCATCTTCGAACACGCCCTCGCTAGATGACATCAGGCGGAAGGTGATCAAGTTTGCAGCGCCGGGGGAAGGCAAGTCATCCATGGTCCCAGTGTGGGACTGCTCAGGTGGAGCGGAGATCTTGGAGAGAGCCCTGAAAAAGCTGAAAGGGTTGGAGGACAGTCATGCGCCTCATGTGGAGATTATAGACGGAGGCCTGACTATGGATGGATGGGGTGTATTTTCAGATATGAATACTGACGGTCCCAGTGAGTTTGCTGTTGATAGCTGCGCGATATGCTCGTTTGACAGGTCTGCTGCAGGGACGCCGCTTTCAGAGTCACAGCTGCTTTCTATCTGCCAGGCGTCTCCAGACGAGCCTGTGCGCGAGAGTGGACTGATCCTCCGCCAGATAAAGCGCCCGAGGACCAGTCCTACCAGTCCTTACCCTGCCTCGTTCCCGAAGGCTTCTAGTAGCACAGACACAGTGAACGAGAGCCTAATCCCATCGTCCGACCGTGCAACTCCACAACCCGGCACCAACGCCTATAAACGCGCGAGTTCTATCAGCATCCTCAGCGGTCTTGGAGTACAAATTTCCGAGATGCCAGAGTCCTCATCTGCACCTCCTAGCGCGCAGGAGAGTCCATCGAAGAGCCCGAACAAGAAGGGCAAGCTGCGCAACTTCTTCGGCCAGCGGCCGCCTAGCGAGCTCATCACGACGCACCTGGCCGAGTACTTCCCTTATACGGAGAAGAAGGTGCTCGAGCGGACGCGCCGCCAGAGTATGATGCGCGGGCCGACGAACCGCAGGGACAGCATCATGTCGCTGAACCCGCATGCACAGTCGCGCTTCAGTGTCAGCACACAGGGCTCCCGCGCGTCGAACCGGAATTCGGTCGCGTCGCGCATCTCCGTTGCGTCGAGCGTGCGGGAACGTTCTCCTCCGCCGCCCATGCCCGACACCCCTACCTCGTCGCCGCATGTATCGATATCAAACGAGGAGGGCCGCTCGCTTGGAGAGACCTCGACGGAGAACAAGCGGATTTCTCGTCCTCACCTCCTGCCGCCCGTCGCGTTGCCGTCAGAATCGCTTGCTGAATCGATGAACCTGACTAGCTCTCGTCCGGGCTCAAGGTTGTCTGTGGCTTCCAAGCGGATGAGCTACATCCAGGAACTCCGGAGCAAGCGTGACGTGTCCGACACCGCCAGCATGATAACCGTGGACGAGATCACCGCTGAGGTTGAAAGCCGCAGAGAAGGCACTGGTTCAAAGGACTCTTCGGATAGCGAGGAGTGGACTGCCGTTGAGTCTAGCGATGCCGACACTAAGAGCATCAGGGAAATACCGGAGGAAGACGAAGAAGACGGAGAAGACGAAGAGTTCGAAGAGGAAGAGGAGGAAGAAGCTACGGAAGGAACACTAACCGACGATGAGGGAGAGCCGAAAGCCATCACTTCGCGTGGAGGTAGGTTTCATACATGTAAGGACGGGGACTAGATGTTCACCTTCTGCCCGCAGAGAGGACAATCAAGTGGATCAAAGGCGCCCTCATTGGCTCTGGATCCTTCGGCAAAGTATATCTAGGCATGGACGCTGCTACGGGACTGCTCATGGCAGTGAAGCAAGTTGAGCTTCCCTCGCAAACTGCACCCAACGCAGAGCGTAAACAAAGCATGCTCAACGCTCTCGAACGTGAGATCGAGCTACTAAAGGACCTCCACCACGAGAACATTGTCCAATATCTCTGTGAGTGCCACTATTCAGTACAAAAGCATCTGTTCTGACTGTATTCCAGCCTCTTGTGTCGACGATGATCATCTCAATATCTTCCTGGAGTACGTCCCTGGTGGCTCCGTTACTTCCCTCTTGCGAAACTATGGCGCGTTCGAGGAGCCGCTTGTGCGCAACTGGGTGCGACAGATCCTGCTTGGCCTGAACTACCTGCACGAGAGAGATATTATCCACCGCGACATCAAAGGTGCTAACATGCTCGTTGACAACAAGGGCGGCATCAAGATCTCTGACTTTGGTATCTCCAAGAAAGTGGAAGACAGTGCGTCTCCGCGGCCTGCTGTATTCCTGCTGCGCGCTCACCCCGATTTCCGCTAGACTTGATGCCAGGTAATCGCGCGCATCGACCGTCTCTGCAGGGATCCGTCTTCTGGATGGCACCAGAGGTCGTGAAGCAGACAGCGTACACGCAAAAAGCGGATATCTGGAGTATAGGGTGTCTGATTGTGGAGATGCTCACAGGAGAGCACCCCTTCCCACAATTAACACAGATGCAGGCTATCTTCAAGGTAATTCACAATTATGCGTCCTTTTCGAACTGTACGCTCACCATTGGTACAGATCGGTATGAGCACGAAGCCGACCATCCCAGCTGATATTTCTCCGGAGGCCGAGAGCTTCCTACAGCAAACTTTTGATCTGGATCACGAAAGGCGGCCGTCTGCGGCTGAGCTGCTCAGGCATCCATGGATCGCAAACCTGCCCGCACCGCTGGGCCTGTAGTCCAGTCCCCTATTATCGGTATAACAACTTGCGCACATACCATTCCCCGCTTTCGGATCTTACTGTCCCCCTCGTCTCCTTTCCTTCGTCCTTCGCACTTCGTTCTGCACATCTGAACTTTGCTTTCTTTGTATATTTAGCTTGCTTGACTCTGGGATCTCGTGAACTGCTATGCCGCCTCCTCGTTCATCGCAATAATCGCGTAGTCTACAACGCACAGATGCTGTCCCTACGGCGAACATGTTCTGGCTTTCGACTCAAGGTCCCGACGTCCCGCGTGCCAGTATCAGAACGTAAGGTTAGCCCTGGGCCTCAGCCTGTGACCGCTTGCGCTTCGTGCCCGACACGGCCTTTGAGCCCGGTCCCCAGTGCGGTAGAGGGTTCTGCTGGTAGCGGACGAGCTTCACGCCCGAGGAACGCGAGACGCTTTGCGGGTGGGGCGCGAAGTTGGCCTCGGCACGGGGTTCCTTCGCCAGAAGTGTACGCGCGGGCGACTTCTCGCCTAGCTTACCCATGTTGACAGGGTTCTTTTTGATCCAGCAGCGGAAGATGTCGTGCACTTCGGCGCGCGTGGCGGTCGTCTTCAGCGAACCGGGCAGTGCATGCGAGCGCGAGACGGAGTGCCCTGCGTGTAGAAGAGCGGATCTACGTCCCGGTCAGCCACCTAGCCACGCGTTTTGTTCATTGGACTTACGCTACGTTGTCGAGCGAGGGAGACTGGCAGTGGAGCACACCAGACAGCTGAGCGGGGGTGAAGTAGAATGGCACGTCTAATTCCTGTATAATATAGCTATCAGGCCCTTACTGGTGTGAACATGTGATAAGCAAGGACTCGTACCTCTTTTGCAACAGTAAGCATGCCTCTCATGCGAGCGGATGTGCCATAGTGTTCTTGGCTCGTCTCTACGTGCTCAAGCACCTTCGACACGAACTCGGTATCGTGCAACGGGCCCGACCACATCGGTCCAGCAATCTATGGCGTATGTCAATAGTCAGATACCAAGCTTGGAAATGAATATACCAACATGTAAAACAGAGTCGCACTCCGGACACTTATCGCCAACCGGAGGGCCGGCATGAGTCCTAAACACATGATTGACGGCGCCGCTCTTTTCGTGTACACTGGTCTTCACCTTGCCTAGCGGCTGCTCGTACGGCGCCTGGCAACTTGTGCAAATGAAGTATGTCGCAGTGTTCCTGGACGGAAAGCGTTACATCTTGGACACTAAACGAATCCAATTTACTCACGTGAAAAGTTTCTTAACCTCCAGTGCGGATGACCTGACGCGAACGAATAGACGGACGTAGAAGTCGATAGAGAGCGAGAGTAGAGGTTGAATGTAGCGGCCGTATCGTGCTGCCGATGTAGCGAGGCTGTGGAGAACAAGACGAAGAGCCTATACAAGAAGGCATTTGAGTATGCCATAAGCTAGCACATACGGGTGCATACCGCTTCATGGCAGTATTCTGCTTTCGCGGGAACACCGCCATAGTTAGCAAAGCTAAACAGCAACTTGTTCAATGATTTAACGGAGCTCGAGAGCACGATAAAACGTACCATTTCTCGGGATAGTTAGTAGCGGCGAGCACAGCCATATCAGTACAAGTGACACACAGGAGGCCTAGTGGTGCACGTCTCTCAGAATCCAGCGCAGTTCGCGAAGGCAGTCATAGCGCACCTCCTTCGTTCACAGCTTGCACAGCACCATCGATGAATGGCGCAGCAGTACCGTATGGGTCCAGGTCAACAACGTCTACACGGTGGCGTCCCGAGCGGTGATTGTACATAAGAGCACTTACACGTCCTTAGCTAGAAACGCCTCCGATGGAGCATATCACTCACCAAGCATCGCCCTCATTGACACGTACTTTCGGTGGGATATTCTTTACAATGATGCCTTCGTCGGTCTCTACAGACTCTTCTTTCTGACCGAGTCCGTTGAGCTCGACGTTCCTCCGCATAGCTTCACATGCAGACTCTGACAAGTCGTTGGCAATCACGTAACTGAACGATCTCGCAGTCAGCGGGTCAACTCGTACGTGGAAAGGATACTCGTACTCAACGAGAGGTATCTCTTTCGCGTAGCGAATGGAGCGAAGGCCTGTCGCGGACAGTGCCTCGAGGACGGTGAACTTGTGCTGGCTCGAGGGCATGCATGTTTAACGTCTGCAAGCTCCCATGCTTACAAGAACGTACCTCCAGCTTTGGCTTTGGCTTCGGTGGAACAGCGACAGCATCCACTTCCGCCGCCTGCTGCTCCTGCACTTCGCTTGTCTCCGTTATCGGCACATCCTCGTCTTCCGCCTTGTCAGACTCGTCTGCTGCTCGCACGTGAGCAGGAAGCAACACACCAGAGCGCACCACACACCTCTCGCTTTTTTCGCCCTCTTCCTGCCACCCTGCGCCCTCCTCTCCGCGTCCTTCTCCCACTTGGCCCGGCGCTGCTCGTTCATGAGGTCGCCCCAGGTGCGTATGCACGCGATGCTCAAGTCGCGGTTGAACTCCTGCACGGGGTTCAGGAATGCGCCGTTGTCTGCGGGTAGCAGGATGTGCGCCGAGTTCTCCGAGTGCAGCGTGTAGCCCTCGGGCACGACGAGCTGCTCCTTCTCCCCCTGCTCCTGCGCCGTCTCGTCCGGCTTTTGCTCGTGCGTCGGCGCTAGCGCAGACATGCTGTAGCGTACGCGTTGTTTCAGGCGGTGGTTCGCAATATAAATACAGTGGCGCAGAGGCCGGTGGAAGACAGTGAGGGCGAACAACTTGGCGGCAAGCAGAGAGTGCAGACGCCCGAAAGGCGCGCGGTATCTTTGTGGCGTCAGTTCGCAAAGCGCCGGTCGATCGTGACCCCTTTGCCTACAGTGTGATCCTTCAACATCACAGTCTATTTAGCAGGTCTACTGCTGATATCTACCAAAGTATAACGTAACGAACGTGAGCTATGAATGAGTGAATGAATGCCAATGTCCTCGAATATTGCAAATATTGTACAGTCTTTCTAGTGTCCGGTAACATCTCATGTAAAAAAGGAGAACAGTACGTATGATATGAATATGCAAAGGGTTTCAATAGCCAAAGTCTTCGGCGACGAGTGATATCTGTCCACGGTAGTCCCCTTGTCGTATTCGAGCGGGGTTGATCTGCGCTGCTATGCTCTTGCGAACAACAGCATTAAGAGACGTAGGACCACAGCCTGCAAAACGTCTCAGCGGGGTCTACGACCGACAGGGAAATTGACACTCACATCCCACGATGACGGAGCCCTTCGACTGCTCCACCTCATCTACAAGGATCTTGTGGAAGTTCGGCCTCCCTCCCCTCGCACGCTCTGCCACCATGCTGATGTCGGCAATGTCCTCCTCGTCAAGGTCAAGCCGTATTTTCTCCTGTGCGGCCTGGATCATACGAGAGTTCGGTACGTTTAATCTTTTCTATATTTATGCTCTACCTTCACTGACGTCATCATAGGACATGTGCATTGGTGTGCGCAGTCCCTTCGTAGGTGCATGTCTATGGTCCCACCGAATGAGCTGCAGGTAGACATCTTCGTCACCAACGTGAAGCCGATGATGCGGGCATTGACCACCATGCGCATCCCTACGGATCCTCTTGCGCCGCCAGCCCCGAGATTCGCTGAGAGAAACTCACCTGGTATGAGATCTGAGAAGAAAGGACACAGCCCATCGTCCTCGGTCATCTCAGATGAGGACGACGAAGGCAGCATGGTTGACCTTAGCTATTACGAGTCAGATGTCGCAAACGAGGAACGCGGCGAACTGGGCCATGACGAACACGTCCTGGATCTCACAAACTTCGAGGACGATGACGATACCGCGCTGCCAGGCGAGGCCGCGCTCAGCTTAGTCGTGAAGGAGGAGGGCAAGAAGCGCCGCTCGATATGGCGGCGAAGCATGGTGCTCACAAGCAAGCTCGAGCCGGACGCTCGCGCGTCATTCTACGGCCCTCCCGGCGCGCGGTCATCGATACGCCTTCTCGATGACGGCTCCTCAACACCGGGGATAAAGTCCCTCTCTCTGGCCTCAATCCCTGAGACCGCGATGCCTGAGGCATCCTCGTCGCAACTGCAGCTGCCTTCGCCTGGGCCTTTCAGCGCGGGCACATCGACACCGACGAGCGCGCACCCACTTCTCGGGGGCGCCCAGCACTTCATCTTCCCGCCAACCTCGGCGCCCCCGCCCTCGTCGCCAAACGGTAAGCGCGTGTCGTTCGCGCAGTCGCCCCCTGGGTCACCGCGCTGCGAAACCGCGCTCTCGCACGTCTCAGACGCGCACAGCCTGGCGGCCCTCGTCTCAGAGGCGACAAACCGTACTCGCCGCGTCTTGAACCACGATTTTCCATATCCACCCGGCCTGCCTCCGAGTTCCTTGCCGTCCCTGCCCGCCATACACATGCATATGTACTCGAGCACCGAAAGCGTGAAGCTTACTCCGGAACCGCCGGCAATGAGCAGGACGGTCGAGTGGTCGCCCCACTTTGCCCGAGAAGCAGAGCCGAACGGTCCATCAATAAACCCCCTCATGAGAACGCCCTTCTGAGGGAGCGGGCAAGCAGGAATCCGCTCGCCCTGTGGATACTTCATTCCCCGGGCGGTGAGGTGGCAGACCATGTCCCACAAGTCCTTCGTCCATCCCTTCTTGGCACGAACGAAGAAAACAAGCTCGCGTGCGGAGCTGTGGGGCGCCTGCATGTCGCAGACAGAGCCGACTGTGAATGGATGCGACGTGAAGCGCGAGACGGCAGGGATATTGACGAGGAAGTGCTGGCCGGGCGCCCACGAGAGGAATCCTGGCGTCACGATGCGGACGCGAACAGTCTTGCCCGGCATGAGCTCGGCATGTACGTAGCCTGGGGGCGGAGAGTAACCGAAGCCTGTCATGGACGCCGGATGACCAACGGGCGCTGTCGCGGTGGGGTCAATGCGCGGTAGGGTGGGCAGCTTGCCGACGGCACCTGGTTGGTCAAGCGCGTGCATGGGGACTGTCTCGGGCTGAACCTGCGAAGGGGACCTTCTCAGCGTCAGATAAGGCTCGTAGGCTTGCTTGCCACCCAAGAAGCCATTCGTGTTCAGCCACCATGTGAAACGGTAGCACCGTTCTCCGACCCACAGTGCCAGGGCTGCGTAGCACCACCAAGCGAGCGGAGGATGGTGAAGCGCAGACATGATCAAAGTGAGCGGAACGAACAGGACGTGCAGGAACCAAAAGGCCTCGTAGTGGTGTCTCCGGATTGGAGGCAGCGAGCAGATGATCAATAACGTGAAGCAACCATATGCCTGATGAAACAGAAATAGTTTTCAGTAACGATAATTACGAGAACATGAGGCATATACTCACCGCCCATGCAAATATGAATTTCTCATACTTCCAAGCGTAAATATAGCCCACCTTGTGCGTGCTAGGCCGACGATCGGTGGCCAGCTGAACGCTCCAAAGTGCAGTATGAAGAGTAGCTAAGAGCCAGACAAGTATGCCGCACCACCTGTGGAGGAACGCGAGCTTGTCAAACCCAAGCTGCGTGAAGAAACGAGAGGAGAAGATGGCGAAAGGCGGCGCTTTGAGGGCAAAAAGGACAGTGAGGGGAAAGAGTGCGAATGCAATGAGGCCTGTCCGGCCTCCTGATGTCCACCACGCCTTCGGGATAGTGAACTGCGGTTGGAGAAAGGTGTAATCCGCGGTGTCATATGCGCGCTTCTGGATTGACGCAATGGGGTGGCTATGGTAGTTCCACAGCTGCGCGCCGGGCGCGAGGTAGTCGGGACCGACGAACGACAGGACGAGCGCACCGATGAACAGTGTGCAGACAGCGAGGATTTGCGCGTTGGACGGCAGCGAGTCGGGTTGTCTGTGCGGTTGGCCAGTCTTCATTGCCACGGCCAAACTGTGTTTCTTCCGCCATGTCCGCCTCCGCAAAGCCCATCCGCTCCAGATGGCGCCCAAGTACCCGCCTCGGAAGCCTGCCCAGTGCATGAGGGTAAGCGCGATGAAGATAACACCAACTACGATCCACAGAAGCCAGGCGTACACCCAGCTAGACTCGCTGAGCATGCGCTGGACGAGGTAGGCTGTTACCCACTCGAGGTCATCAGAGTAGTCTGGAATGGTCGGGAGGGTTAGATTTGTAGAAGAGGTGGAGGAAGCGAGGGTAGACATGAATGTTGTGAAGCGAACCATGACGTTCCCCTGTTAATAGAGACAGGGCCAACCGGCGAAGGTCGCGCGGTAGGCCTCGGGATGGTCAGACGGGGCGGAGAAAACTAGGTAGGATCGAGACGAAGCTAGTGCAGAGAACGGTGCCCAGACGTGTTGTCGTTAAGGTCCAGACCGTTCTGCGTGCCGTGGTGATGTCGGGGAGTAGTAAGACCCTCGCGAGGAGGCGGACGCATGGTCTTGAGAGATGTAAGGGCGTTTGGTTCGGCGGATGGCTTAGCCGCGAGCAGGTTCCATTTGGGTCAATGTCGGTGGGCAGAAGAGCGCAGAGGCCGGAGCGGGCATGTTTTTTGCCCAACGGCCGCGCCCGAAGACTCCATATGCATGTGGTCATCCATTGCCACAAAGAGCCAAAAATTCCCATTTCCAGCGCGTCGCCTCCGGGCGTCTCGCCGCCGCAGCCAGCAAGGAATTCATTTTCGAACCTTGGCGACCGTCGGACGCGGGTCTGCGCTGGGCGGCGCATCTGCTAACAGCGCTCACAGGACATCTCATGCTCTCAGTTGCCTTGCGACCCAATCACATTCGCTGAGAATCTTCATGCTTTGTCAACCAGTATTAATTCACTCGCTTCGCAAACGTAATTGAGCAAGGGGAAACCGCAGTCCGCGTCACGTTGTCATATTATACTTGTACAGACTTCGAGATCCAGGGCATACCGACCATCCCATTCACGCAACCGTCTGTCCAGAGCGGACCTATGGAGTAAAGCCCACCAGTCAGCATCTCGCAGTCTCGGGACAACTGACGCCACGTACCTCCTTGCCCGTCTTCTTGATCTTCTCCAGCAGCGCATCGTACTCAATGCTGCCCTTGACGATGACTTCCTGCTTCTCGAGAGAGACGTCAAACGAATCGATGCCTAAGGAAGCACAGCACAGGTCAAGGCCATATCTTAAGCAAGCACACCACGAAAACTCACCCTCGGTCTTCTTGAGGACACGCTCGATGGCGCCAGAGCATCCACCGCAAGTCATCTGCGCGCCCATTGACGTTTGTCAGCCCGACCCGTATGGCTGTGTACTGCGAGCAGACGCACCTTGACGTCGAACTTGTAGGTGTGTTCAGACTATGCGAATATCAAAAGCGTCCTTAGCACCCAGCCAATGCGGCGGCACCCAGTGCAACAGCACGCACCATCTCGAAAGTAGTTCAGGTATAGGATCTGTAGGCCGCCATCAGAATCTCTATCCTCAAGCGGCGCATAGTGAAGACAGACGCACCGAATAGATAAAGATAGATATTCTAGTCGTGGGTGACAGACGAGGGACGGGGGAAGGGTAGGGTTAGAGCGAAGGTGTAAGTAGTGCTGCCGTCCCAGATAGTGCATTTATGCGATCGAGGCATGTCTCGCGGCCGACGATCACTAAGCACCGCGCTCAGGCGCCCGTTGCAAGCCTGTCGCCACCGCGCGCCGTGACTAACCCAGGTTCACCGAACCTACACCGCGTTGCATTTCTGGCGGGGGAACGTCGTTGGAACTGCATGGATCTGTCGCAATATGACGACCGTATGATTAGATAACGAGTACTATATGTAACATCCATGCATCCCTCCGGAGAGATATGTAGGCCCTATGAGACATCTATCGTCGAGGATGCTGCTCTGACATCTCTAAATGTTCGTCTCCCTCCGTTGCGACAGCCTGCCACCCTCCGCCTGGCGAGGGCCTGCCGCGTATCTTAGCAATACAGTCCTGGATATAAGCTAGACCAGGTGACTTAATTTTCGGATAAAGTTCTGATGACGCAAAGGCCGACTTACCGATCACAAGCGGAGGATCACGACCACCGGGGCCACCCCGCTGTGTCAGGTAATAGATAGGTATGCCGACAAGGACGAAGCCTGAGAAGTCTGTATCAGGTGCCGTGTTCGGTAAGGTGCGAGACAAGGACGGACCGAGGACAGCCATGGCCTCTAGCGGCGCAGCAATAATAGGCATGCACAGCAGGAACAGACAGACCTAGAGCCGGATACATGAGAGTATGTCTCCTAACAAAGGCATAGAGGTAACGTACAGCGCAGAATATCAAAGGCGTCGTTATCCACGTTTTGTACGGGCTGATTGACAAGATAGGTTAGAGATAGGGTTTTCAGGGTGTTGACCGTTCTGGAACTCACCGCTCCAGTAAAGGCTCTTTGATCCGCAGGATTACAAGTCCCAAGACCTAAGTTGATATGCATGAGAACTCCGAGGCAATCAAGCGAAGATCCTGCCACCTACGGTAAGAAAATAGAATGCCCAGGAAGCTTTACAGGGGAAAACAAACACATCAAGCGCAGCTCGGAGAGCAGAAAACAGATGGACGTACCCACGACCGCGAAGTTGATAAGCGATCTAAAACCACCACCGAAGACTATGAACATAATCGTGAGCGCAGCCTGCAGGCACATTGCATTTAGCGGTGTCCGCAGGGTCGTATTATGGCGACCGAACAGCGCGGGAAGGTAGCCCTCTTTTCCGGCAACGTAGATCAGCCTCGCTGAGGTGAAGAATGAACCTAGACATGGCTTAGTTTCATCGCCATGACTTGCAGGACAGAAAAAGGCATGCCATTGAGTGCACCGAAGCAAGAGAACGCGACCATCACGGCAAAAACTATCCCTCCAACGCGGCCAAACACTGCATGCCCGAAGTCGAGCGCAACGGTGTTGCTCATGCCCACGGTCGTCTGCGAATATTCCGGTAGTCCGTTCAGCTTGGCTACTTTCTTTAGTAAGATGAAGTACCTTGTCTAGTACCACAAAGTACGCTACATTTGCTAGCACAAACAATATCTAAAGATCGTGTCAGAGGCACCGGAAATCGAGCGAGAGAAACGTAGCATACAGTAACAACACCCATGCTCGCATGGATCGCCCGAGGAATATTCTTAGTAGCGTTCTTCATCTCGCCACCGACATAGTTGGCTTGGTCCCAGCCATCGTAGGCCCAGAGTCCAGAGTAGAGGGCGAGTGCATACTCCGATGGACTCTTGCTCGATCCCGCGAATATGTCTGTCGTGAACGAGCTAGACGAGTGTCCTCCCGCGAGTTGTACTATACCAATGATTGTGACGGCTAGCTATTCAACCTTATTGAGTAACGGCTAGCATCGGTAGTACAAGTGCAACCTACAAGTGCTCCGATCTTCGACCGGCGAGGAGTGAGCTGTTAGGTACAAGGAGGTTTGTGTATAGAGTTCAAGTTCACCTTTACTGTCATGAAGACCACAGCTGCCCTCGTTCCCAAAGTTGGTGTAGCCACGCATATGACGCTGACAATGAGGACAGCAGCTACAGCTGTGAGTATGATGGACCATTGTGGAAGAGCATCGGACGAGATGCCTGAACCCGTGCTGTGGTAAAATAGCCGGTTCAGATATTCGGCGAAGATGAGACTTATAACTGCATTGCTGCCTATCAACAGTTCTCTGTTAGAAAAGACTCCAAGAGGGCGGGGTTGATTAAGATGCACCAGGTTTCAATGCAGATATTGCCGTCCATGCGAAAAGATATGATACGAGGGGCCCGTACGCATATTGGAGGTACGCCTGCGCCCCTCCATTCACCGGTATTGATGAGCCGAGCTCCGCGAAGCTACTGGCCCCCGTCCACGCTAATAATCCAGAGGTAAGCCATACTATTAAACTTGCCCCCACGCTGTGCGTGTTGGCTACCACCACTCCTGGGGATGAGCTGAGGCCTGTAAGCACGCCATAAGCTTATACTTGGAGAAGGGCACGTACAAGATGCCTGAGCCTATCTGGTGCATATATCGTCAAGCACACGACCATGCCGGCTGGATCACGGGACCATACCTGCAAGCCCACACACAACGCAATTCCTAGTCCACACAATGAGCGAACGCCCCCGCTCTCAAAACTCAGGTCTCGCACCATTCAGGAGGCCGATGTGCTTCTCCTTTGCCTCTACGCGTACGTCGTCGGGCTCACTAAAGCTTGCGGTCAGAGGCAACAGGTCACTCTGGAAGTCGAAGCCGGATACAGAGTATGAGCGTGCGCGGTGCGTCTGCGGCGATTCTGCGAGCAGCGGGCCCTCAGAGAGCTCTAATGCGCGAAGTGAATCCTCCGAGTCCTGCGAGGTGCGTTCGTAGGCGTCGTAGTCGTGGGCTTCCGGACGTCGTGGCGATCGTAGAACATCGTGCAGTGGTGAGCTACTCATCGAACTACGTTGAACAAGAGTGGAAGCGCTTAGAATAGAGAACAAGACGTGTACGTGAGACAGCCCCGAGTTAAGCGGAGAAAGCCAGAGAGAGCTGAGAGCCGGCTACACGCCGTGCAAAAGACAGAGACCAGCATGCCAGGCGGATCCACACTCGCGTGGCAATCGCTTCAGTCGCGTCGCCAGAGATAAGATTAGATCAATTTGTCCTAGGAACTATTTGCTACAGTCTCGCGTAATCGACTAGACATAAGTACAGAAAGACGAAGCATTGTCGATTATCAGCTGCTCGGCGTATTGTCGAGCAGAGTTTGTGCGACTACAAGGTGAATATCTGTACATCGCTCCCGGCACGCCTCCATACACTGCGACCCTCCTAGTTAGCATGCGCATAACATGAGCTCGCTGCTACGCTTACTTGGAAAGCTCCTTGCACAGTCATTTTTCCTGTTTGCCAGATATTTGTGACAGTATCAAGGGCTGGCATACTGGCGTATACCAGGGTGCCCGTTGCCTGTTTTGCCTCTTCTTCAGTGGGGTCTAACCAGATCTCCTTGCTAATGATGCACTAGCAAAGGAAAATTAAGCCTGGGTCGCATAAGAGTAGAATAAGACGTACAGCTGAGCATGACACAACGAGCCCCAGCATGTCGATTCCAGCATCTGCAAGAGCAGCACTTGCAGCAACAGACCCTGACGCAACACATCCTTCAATACCGTCGTTCTCAATGACAATTATGAAGATGTCTATCGTAGACTTTGGCAGGAGTTCTAGTCTCACAGAAGAGAGCAGCGCTTGGTGGATTTGCACGGCTACAGATCGGTCCTCGGCATCCTACGCTTTATTGCATTGAGAAAGGATTCGCGTAGAAACGTAGCGTGGCACATACACGCATGGGGGCTCTTCTTCTTTGGCATGAAAATGGTGTGAATTTTACCTCAACGTTCAGTCGCCCCTTCTCGCTATAGGTCGTGCTCCGCGACTGTCTGGGACCGTACCTAAAACAGAGGCTTGAGCTTAACTCCATGAAAGATGAGATCACGTACACTGCACATGCAATCTTTGCCTTCTCTGTCTCGATGTATGCTGAACCATTTGCTTGATTAATCAAGCCAGGCTTCAAGACTGCTCTGCCATTAGCTGAGCTCCGTATCAACGAGACTGAACGTACAGATTGGCCTGATATCCTTGGCCGTCCGGCCATTGCGCGGTACACCTAGCTTCACGGGTGTCTCCTCATCTGCAAAGACAGGAGGAAAACTCTCCTCGGGGCCATTGATTCTCCTGCGGTCGAAGTTACTCTGAGCCATGTTCTTGTAGCCCGAAAAGGGAAAGACTTGGGATCGAATGCGCCTCGGCGCTCCGCAACCATGAAGGTCTCTTTCTCTCTCGCCAGCTCCAAAGCAAAGGCGAGCAAGCCTGTCGGCGACGCGCCATCGCTAAAGCGACCTATCACCTTCGCTTCGCTCGAGGATGACGAACCTATCGACGCCGCGCCAATAGAGGGCAGCTCAAGCAAGGCCCCCGCGAGCAAACAGCTCATTGCGCAGAATGTGGAGATGTCAAAGGCTACGAAGCGCAAGCTTGAGGAGGAGAAGAAAGTAGACGCTACGGTATTTGAGTATGATGAGGTCTGGGATAAAATGCAGGAGGCGAAGCTTCGTCAGAAGGAGGTCAAGGAGGTGGAGACGAAAGAACGAAAGGTGCGCATGTCGCATGCCGAAGCATTCACTGACTATGCTGACGTCCCATGCAGCCCAAATACATTGAGGGCCTTCTTGCATCAGCGGCTACTCGTAGGATCGACCACCTACGCGCTGAGGAGAAGATGATTCAACGCGAACGCGAATTGGAGGGCGATGAGTTCAAGGACAAGGATGCCTTTGTTACACAAGCGTACAAGGACCAGATGGCTGAACTTCGGAGAGCAGAGGAGGAGGAGAAGAAACGGGAAGGTATGTATCCAGCTGCACTTGCAAAAGTCTCTCTGACATTCCCCTGCAGAGGAAGAGAGGAAGAAGAACAAAGGCATGGGCACTGGTATGGCGCACTTCTACAAGAAGTTACTGGAGGAGTCAGAGCAAAAGCACGAGGAGACAGTCGCTGCCACGCAGAAACCTGTGATAGGACCGGCAGCTCCTCCACCAAACCTCACGATCACCAAGCCTCCAGACTTCGTGCTCAAGAGTGACACCGAGTTAGCTCGCGTAGCAAGGGAGCAGGGCAAGGAGGTCGAGCTGAACGATGACAATCAGATTGTCGACAAGCGCGATCTTCTATCTGCTGGACTGAACCTCTCTGCTCCAAACACCCGTCGACTGGGTCTGCAGACCAAGAAGAGGAACGAAGCGGACGACTCAGTGCAGGTGCATACGGCTGTTGGGACCGCGGCAAGTCGGAGAGAGATTAACGAGCGTCGGGCGAGGGAAGTCCAGAGACAGTTGGAAGAGGAGCGGGAGCGAATCCTTAGGGAGAGGCAGCGAGAGGAGCAAGAGAACATCAACCGGGTCGTGGCAAAGCGCAACAACGAGGAGTCCATCCAGAGTGCCCGGGAACGATACCTAGCTCGGAAACGGCAGCGATTAGAGGATACGGAGCAAACGATGGAATCGGATGAACAATGAAAACTCCAAATATTCTCCACTCGTTGTTGTCGTTTGTAATAATGCTATTCCACTTGTATGGTAATAAATTATTGTAGGACACTAGGTGTGGTTTCTAACCTATTGACAACTCGCATCCAATCTGTCCCTTTGAATTCCCGTAGCCATTGCATCAAAAGCCCGTAGTGCGGCAGCTGCGGACGGCCGTCGGTTATAGTCATCGTGTAGCATTGGTCGGGCGAAAGCGACCAGCTCCGGTATGTTATAGCCGGTTATCTACGCCGCCTCAGTAAGCTGCACATGCGTTTGAACGAATTCACATACTTTGCATACTCGGAGAATTAGAACGGCCAACTGCCACACATCAGCCTTATATGGATCGGTCCAGCCTCCTCTTTCCAGCTCTGGAGGAATGTCACTTCCCCGGATCCCTTTGATGAGTGGACTGAGCGTGCCATCGAACCGGCGACAGCCCTCGTAATCTATGAACGCATGATGCCCCTTGTAGTCCGTCAAAATGTTGTGTATGCTGATATCCAGATGCGCCATATTGTGAGAATGCATGAAGACAATGTGCTGCGAGATTAACGTTAGATCTCACGAAGCTCACCGAGAGTGGGAACGCGTCATACCTCTATGCATTGTCGAAGAGCGCTGAGAAAGAGCCTGAGAGTGCTCGGCACATCATACGTGAACTGCGGGTACCACTCTTCCATAACGATGAAGACCAGAGAATCGGAGGGGACTTCGATCAGATCATAGACAGCTACGGGTGCAATGACGCGGAAAGTCTAATTGAGCAGCGGGTAGGTCGCCATCGAGAGAGCACATACGTATTGAGTGGTTCATGGGATGTCGCCTCAAGGGTGGACTGCAAATGTGCCGGATGGCATCATACTCACGGCTGCAAATGTGAACAGCCTTGATGACGACCTTCTTGCCTGAGAGACTGTGGGTACCTCGGAAGAGATTATCTGGCTAACATAAACAGTTGCTTAGTATGGTGTGAAGGTGGGACAACATGGACTAACAAGACCGGCGTCCTTGCATAGCTCGTTCTCGTCTTTGATGCTACATGCGCGGGCGTAGCCCGGCAGATCTCTGGTGACGTCGTAGCCTTGGGCAAGCATTCCTTCCCAATACTTCTGGTACCACTGCTTTACGTCTCGACAGGTGTCTAGTTGGTAGCCTCGGCGATCGAGAAGGTGTCGATAAGCACACCAGTTGGGTGCCCTGCGTGCGTTGACGTCGTCCTCGTCGAGCGAGGATGTGGAGGATGCCGAAGAAAGCAACGACTCGTCGTCTGATTCCATGCCTCGAGCTCGGAGGCGGTTGTCCAGGCTAGAAGGAGTGATGGTCGACCGGCCGTGTGTACGCTGGCATGATAGAGCCTGAGGGTGAAGCTTATATGTCGGGGAGGAGGAGAGAAAACAGGGCTAACTTTGGGGAAGCGGCGAATGAAGCCAAAATGCAAGTTGCCAGGGCTGGTCTGGTGCCAAGTGCTGTGCGGACAGAATGCCTGCAAGAGGACCATGCTGGCCACCGAACAAGAAAATGCATACCGTATATGGCCTCGCGCGTAGCGAATTGAGTTGCGACCATCGCACTGTGGTACAATCTGCCCAGTTGGAAGACATGCGCGCACTGAAAGAGTTGCCGGAAAAGGGAGAGGCGTACAGGGACCGCAGACGCATTAGGCCCAAATGCTCTCACCGACGTAAGACAACGGGCGGAAAAAGGCTGGAAAATCGGCGCGCTCGGTCTCCTGAGTCGCATAGAAGAGAATGCTTGGGTGATAGATGGCATCATCCGTCCATTGCACACACGGCAACCGCGGAGGACATCCGCGAGCGCGTCCCAAGAAAGGCTCCACACAGAAGCTAAAGCTTGGCCGCACGAGGACCGGAAGCGAAACAGCCACGGTCAGCAGATGTCGGCACCGAAACCACGCGGAGGTTGCCCATAGGTTGCCGCAACTGCGGCCACAGCAGGGCGAGGTGCACGGACGATGGTGGGAGCGCGCAGGCCAAAGCCATCACTCACTCATCGCGTCATCAAACGAGGCTATTATCAAACTAAGCATTTCCTTCGCACGGTCATCCGCGGCCTTACCGTGAGAATATGAGATAACACTTCTGTCCCAGAGTGCCTAATCAAGCCGTGCACCAATGGAAGAAGGAACCAAGACGAAGAAAACAGTCTTCGTCGGCAACCTCGCCAACGAGGTCGACGAGACCGCTCTGCTCGAGACTTTTGCAACCTTCGGTGCGTCTATGTCTGGCGCTCTTCGCCCCGCTGCGCTGACGACGTGGTCAGGGGACGTTATCGAAGTCCAAATCCCACCTGCCACCACCGACCCAAACCGGCAGACAGGTGTGTCTCATGGTGCATCACTGGCCCATATGACTGACCGCAATGCCGCAGAGGAGAAGCACAAGGGCTATGGCTTCGTAACGTTCGCATCAACTGCCGATGCGCAGGATGCCATCGACAACATGGACCTCAACGAGTTGCAAGGCAAGGTGCTGCGGGTGAATCTCGCCCGGCCGAGCAAAATGCCCGTACAGGGTCTCGGCAACAAAGCTAGTATGTCCTTTACCTCTGCGGGTACGCGTTCCTGTCTCACTCCATCGTTCCTGCAGTTTGGGAATCGGAGGATTGGCTCAAACAATATGCGAAGCCGCTGGCAAAGAGCGGTGGTAGGTCCTATGACTAGTTCGCAGATACGCCGCAGCTGACTGAACCCTTGTGCACAGGCGCTGCGCTTCGTGCCCAAGCGTTGGGTACATCTCCAGGGCCCAAGGAATCCGCCGACGAAGGTGCCGGAAATGATGACGAAGAGAACGCGATGGAGGAGTGAAACCCTAACTGTCATTTGTATCCACTATTCTACCTTCTCATGTTTCTCAGGTGAGGCACTGCGCTATCGTATCTTTATCCAGCCGTGCAAGGGAAAGTCAGCTGTTAAGTGATGCATTCGTACTGCACGGCGTCCTCAAACTAGGCGAGCGATAATCACCTTAGCTTATCGTCTCATCACCTCTGCCTGGTGCAGCTACTCCAGCGCGAATAGGGCGTCGCCCCGGTTCTGCCGTGACGTATATAGCCGTAATAGATATCATGTGGCTGTCATTTCATCATACTATTTGCAAGAGCCCTAAGCTACTATCCAGAGATGCCACCATCGCGGAGAATTTATCAAACCTCGGAGCGAAGTAAATAAAGATACATCTTCAGTCGCATTTCATGGCGACGTTTAAGTGTGTATTTAAAACCTAATCGAAACAGTATACAGTACCGACGAAGATGTGTGTAAATGAGTCCACGTGTTTCTCAGTCCAATAGTACAAGACGGCATAACCTCGCACGACCGCGAGCGCGTTGCCTCACCGACCTGTCTTCAACAAATCTCTCAGTTCGTCGCTGAGAATAGGGAATTTTGATTTTCCTTCCGACATAACCTCTCCCGTCGTTCGATTGCGCATTTGCCCCGAGCCGGTGGCAGGTTCCTCCGCTCGGCGACGGTCAATGTCGGCTACAAGCTGTGCGAAAGACAAAAAAAGAACTTCGGCTTGAGCGAGCGTGCTGTCAAGTTCGATGGTCATGCTGAGTTCATTACAATACTGTCGGCGAAATGCATCAGGCCCTGATCAATTTGCATTTGTCATAGCATACCTTCAGTATCTCGTCGAACTAGAAGGTCGATTTTATCAGCATAAAATTTCCGCAGTGCAATGACAGACTCACTTCTACAAGATAGCGCATGATCACGTCTCGATGAGACTCGAGCATAGCCAAAGACACAAACAGCACGAAGTTTCGGCTGTAACAGTCGGTCCAGAGCACCTCCCAGAGCCGCAGAACGTCCTCAAACGAGAATTCGCGCTTGAAGGCGATGAGGATCCATCTAATGTGAAGTGAGCGTCGCTGAAAGTTGTGTCACAGGTGGAGACTAACCGGAAACAGAAAAATAGGTTCAGCGCGTCCGTCTTCTCTGTATAGCAATAGTCAATAGCCGGGACGGCAGTGAGAGCGGTGAAACAAACCTAGGTGCCGATAGAGCTCTGGGTCCATGACGCCGATGAGCTGTTGTAGTGTGGACAACTGCTTCTTCATGCCAGATTGATCCCTCAGGAAATTATGCTTCTGTGGAGGGTGAACTTTCGCACATAGCGAAGTGCGGCAAAACTTACCATGCGGGTCATGACGGAAACGAAGCACCAAAAGGTCAGTTCTTCGTCTGCATCCATCACAACGTAGACTGGAGCGCAGAGATCCGACATGCCCTGAACATAGCCTTTACTATCGTCAGTAAACCTGGCGAAGGAGACCAGTGGTCAGACGCACCGAGATCGGTGTCGTAAAAGTTATATGTGAGTAGTATACCACCCATTCGCTCAATATGCTCGTTAGTCGGTGCTTGGGCACCGATATCACTGAGACCCGGAGATATTGTTGAGTAGCGCATGTGCAGGCCCTTCTCGTCATCCGAAGCATCTATGACAGGAGTTGTGGACGCAAGCAGAGGGTGAGTGCGGTCCGTACGACGACAGTCGACATCTATGCGATGGCGTTCCTGAGTGCATGGATGAGTATGATGTAAAATCAGGCTCACGTCGGCCTACCTCGATGACATCCTGTCGGTCGAATACTTCCGGAACACCCCACCACTGGTTCTTCAATTCACGATATCTTTGACTGAGCAAAAGTTGTGAACAAGGGGAGCACGTCGCCGAGTTTCTTGTACTTACCGTTTTGTCTCCCATGCCGTCTTACGCTCCGCGTAAGTTTTGTCCCATTCATGCACTCCAAGCAGGAAAGGCCACATCTGTTTTCTCAATGCGCCTTTGGAGATTATACCGCGTTGAAATATTTGCCGTCGCATCTCCTCGGCGCTGATATTTGGCGAACCATCCGCGTTAAACCATCCCTTCCAAGTTTTCTCGTCTACCGGACTGCTAGGGTTGCGTGTAGACTTGGGCGTTGGCAGATTGACAGAAGACTGTAGTAGCTCAAAAACACCTAGAGACGTGCTTTCTGAAGGAAGCTCCGTGGAATCAGAGGACGGGAGTGTCTGAGCTTCTTTACGACGTTCACGCTCGCCCTCTTCTGCGACGATACGAGCCCAGCGAGCTAGATAGACTCGAGCGCTCTCAAATTCACCAACGCCGCCCTTCTCAACCCAGCTTCCCCATTCAAGATCCCCGTTCGCATTGACAAGACTCTTGACGGGATCAGGCAAATGAGGAACAATGGGCTTAGCGAGCGGATGAGACAAGATGTGCTGCGCCGCATGCGCTGCGTGTCGTGTTATTTGTGAGAATGACTGCAATAGCGCCATCCGCGCTTGCGACGACGATGAGGCCGACGAGGCCGACGGAGAATGCAAAGACCGATGTAGAATAGATGATCGTGGTGAGTATGGATTTGTAGTTCCTGTAAGGGGCCGGGGTCGGCGGTGGGCGGGAATTGGGGAGTGAGAGTTCGCATACGAAGATTGAGCAAGAATATCGTCCACGGCATCGTCCGCGAACAACTGGGTCGAATGAGTCTCAATGTCTTCTCGCGAGGGATCCACCAGGTATAGAGTCGGCTGCAAGTTCGAGCGCATGATGTGAGCGTAAGACTTGAGACGAGAGAGGAGATCTTCTCCGCCCCAAGAGACGGCTTTGGAAGACGAGGCTAGCGGAGACTGAGGAGGCGGGTATATGTCGTGCTTGTGATCCGCTGGAGCTTTGTGTAGAGCGGTGAACGAACGCGACTCATCGTCATGAAAATGCAATGTAGGTAGTGTCGTGCCATTGATTAGATTAATGACTATTGAGCCGTCTGCAACGCAGCACGACGGTATGATGTCAGCACTTGGGAATGTGGATGTGGATGTGTCTGGACCTTACACCAGGAGGACAAAGACGGCGGCTGTATAATGAGGGAGTAGATTGAGGTCAGTGATACGGAGAAGGCATAGGTCTCCGGACGTGGTATTGGCATGTCAATGAGGACTGCATCTGCACTGTATGTTAGAAGGTATACTCAAACGCAATACCCAAAATAACGCACCCTCTTCTTCCTCGTGAATAGTCATTCGCTCCTCTGTCCTGACGAACTTGTCCCATTCAGTTTGACCCTTCTCATTCAGCAAGGTCTCCGGCAGCCAAGCTAGCAAATATGTAGGATTCGCCGCTTCCTACGGGACTTGATTAGCGTGGGCGAAGTTTGTACATCCGGTACTCACTCGCTTGACGAGCGCCACGAACCCGGGGATATTATCTCGTGCGTAAACCGTCGGATTCACGTAGACCTTGGACTTGCTGTAGAGTAACCTGTACTGGCCGCCCTCATGGTCTTCGACGCCAAGGGAGTGTGCAGGATCTTCTGATATATTCTTAATCTCGACCATAGAGTCTAGCTTCGACAAGAGCGCAAGTAATCTCAGGCTACTGAGCCGCAGGTACGTGCGAGTAAAGGGCTTACGGATGCTGTCGAAATCGAGAGGTCAAACGACTGTGGACTATGGGCAGAGCTCATGAGCAGTAGCCGCAAGTTATGTACGGAAGGGAGCAGCTGCGCCGCTGCGGTTCCTGAATATTGAATCATGGGCCACGAGCGACAGACGCCCTGTGCTTCGTGTGCGGCACGTGATTACTCAGTTTTTGTAGCAGCAACGACCGTAGCAAGCGTTGTAACTTGCAGATACATCCGGAGAGAAAACAGGAATGGAGGAAATGATTAATCGATGATTTGCTACGCGTCGGACCGTGTTGATGTTAAGAATAGAGTGTCGCAACTCAAGTCAGTCCGAGTAATTTGACCCCAGAGACGATCGAGGAGATTCAGACGAGCAGAGTACAAGCGAAGAGCGACATGCGAGAGAAAAGCGATAGAAATAGGGGTGGGATGTACAGACGACAAGAGAGCACTTCAGCTTGTCTTCGAAATCACTTTTGGTATGACCAGACATTGCGAAGGACTGCAAATGAAGTCAGTATCCGCCTCAAGAATGAGAAAATTCGACACCACTCACGGCCTGCCTTAGTAGCCAAACGGTTCAAAGAATCGTCACTTTCACCCATAGCTCTGACCTGACCGCAGAGAGCGAAAGAAGTAGAAGTGGAAAGCGCTCGGCCGTTGGCGTCGACGTCGGCGACAGCGATTTGGACTGAGGCATGATCCTTGGAAATGATAAGGCGATCTAAAATTCATACTTTCACCTCGTACCTGCACTTATGCCACCAGGAGTCAGGAAAGGGACGTACTAGTGGCAGCGCACTTGCGGGGGACGTAAAGGTCGACGAGGACTCCCTAAAATTGCCAGATCTCTATTAGGTTGTAGTTCTAATACTTTCAACGACCGTGCTCGCATACCTGGTCGTTCTCCATGGTGGGTACTGGGACTTGGCGGCGGCGACGGCGACGGTGGTGGCGGCTTCCGAGTAAGGTTATCTGGAACTGTACAGTTCTCTAGGGCGGCTATTGCGAGTATTGACGCTGATTCCTCTTTGGCCAATTTTCTGCAAATGTGCATAATTATGTCTTGCTGGCACGGGGCTAATTTTATACTATTTTGCGCGGATAGAGGTGCAAAAGCACATTCAGTTTGTTTCATAAATACGCTTAAGCTATTCCCCCATGGAGATGTTATCGTTTTAGTGGTACAAAAAGATACGCTGCTTTTACACCTTTTGAGGTATTAGAAGAGTTGAAATATCCTTAGGGCGAAATCATGATCATTTCTTTCTCCATGTGTATTATTCTATATATGGATGGCCCAGCGGTATTTGCACCTCTTTTTGCTGCGAGCAGACCAACTTTTTACTACAATAAAAAAAGGCGACTTTATTTTACTCTTATTTTCAAATTTTACCTATCATATATTTTCGCCGGAAAGTGTTCAGGCTTTTTAGCTTCTTTTCTCACGGTCATTTTCGTACCTCTGTCAGCTAAAAATATTTACCAGTTAGCCCCGTGTGGACGACAATAGAGTTTATCAGCTTATTAGCATCCTGATTCCTTGAAGCCGGATAGTTTTAGATGCTCAGCTATGTCATAGCCTGTGAGCGCGCCTGTGAACCGTTCAGCATCACATCCCAGCTGCAAATTGAAGCCAAGAGTTAAGAAGAGGTTATCTTGTGTCCACACAGTTCGACCATGAGCACAGAAACACCTTTCGAGTGGCTTCCAGGCAGGCGATCCCATATCTTAACTGAGGGTGGTTCTGATGATACTTTGAGCTCGCAGAATACGATGCTGTCCTGGAACGAGTTGCTTCAACAGACGTGGTGGAGTAGGTCGAGCTTCGACGACTAGAAGTGCTCATGCTGACTCCGTCCTAGCACAGAGTGGTCAAGGTTGCGCGAAATGCTCAAACACAAGATTGGCAAGGTGTGTGTACCTGCAGCGACGAGAGTCGTGACTTACACCGCAGCCAGAACGTAGTCCTATTTCTGTCACAGTCAAACGACGTGCTCCCTTCGCCCCCAGTCATCACCTCACCACGACCTCTACCGTCCGGCGGATTGAAGCTGCCCCCATTCCCTCCGCGCCCGCGCAATCCGCACAACCCAAACGAGGCTCCTAAGAGCATTCTTTCTGATAATGAAGCGAACGAGTACAAGGAGATTATCCTCAAGCAACTAGACGAACTCGAAGGGTACGTTCTGCGCACACCAAACGAATGTTTTGTTCACGATCTCCAGTACACCCTTCACGATACAGCGCGTATGCGAATTATGTCTGTATCCCAGAAAGCACTACGGGATAATCGGCAAGTATCTACGTGCAGTAGAGAAGACACTGCTGGTCACGTCAACATGGGATGCATTCCCTGTGCCCACGGAAAGCGCGTCGCGAACCACGAACTCTAGAACTGGCTTCGACAGCGTGCTGCTTGCGTCCGCACCGCCAACGCCAATGTTCTCGCCGATTCCTTTCCTACATGATGATGCGAGGCGCTCTAAGTCGCGCAGTCCCCCGCCGTCGCCCTTAACACTTCCGGCGTTGGCTACTGGAGGTACAAGTACAGCATCACCTCATACCGGTGCAGAGGGCGCAGAAACCCCTGCACTGGGTCTCGTCGACGAATTGGATGATCCAAGCCCAGGACACTTGAGCGACCATCCGCAGCCTCTGTCAGCGACAACGACCATCGACCCAAAGCCGGTGGCAAGTCTTGCGGAACGTTTCATTAAGTCGACGGAAGAGAAGCCAGATGGAGACACATCTACTGAAGTGGTAACTATACCAATGTCGGAGGAAATGGTAGTGGATGACCCGGAGAAGGAGAACAAGGCTAACTAGGCGTTGGGGCAACATCAAACTCCTGTCTAAGTGTTCTCCTTCCGTAACCGGCATGTAGACTTACTTGCGACGAGCAGCCTTCATGTCACGGTCCTAGCACAAAATGAGGTCTTCATGCAAAATCCTTCTTGATTTTCTCCAGCATTGCATTCATGCGCAGCCGCATGTCGGGCTGTCCACGACCCCGCCAATCCCGTTGCAAACCTCGTCCTCGTCCGCGGGTGTCATCTTGTCGTCGCGATGCACCCGATCTGTAAGTGTGCAGGGAGGACTTGGAGTATGCTAGGACTTGCAGCTCGCGAAGGGTTAGCTTTTTCGTTTCCTTGTCATTGTCAGTCGCATTATCCCTTCTGTTCCTGATGGATCTTCTTCCCCGGCTTGCCGGTGCCTCTACTACCTTCATGCCTTTTCCTTTACTTAGCTTCTTCCCCTCCGCACAATCCCGTCTCAGTTCTCTGTTTTTTTCGTCGCCACCTCCGCTCTCCTCATCCCTAACTTTGACGTCCTCTCCGTCTGATTCTGGGATCGTACTTCCGTCTCGTTCACATCCGCTCTCCAGTGCCGGCTCTTCATTTCTGCGTTCCTCGTCGCCACCGTCTTGTTCCTCTTTGGGCCTCAGATTGACGGCCGGTCGAGTAGTCGTGAGCCCCTCCTTGCGCTTCTGTGCCCTCCATCTACTTTTAATTTTTTGAACCTCCACCCACGACCGCTTGAGCTTTTTAGCTATATCGAAAGGTCAGGATGGCCATCGTTTCCAGCTGAGATGTGAGACTCGCCTCGGTCCACGGGGAGATGCTGGAAGGTCGGGGGCTTCTTTCTCTTTGTGCCTGTGGCTGCACTCCCTGTCATACTTACCGGAATGAATGCAGGTCGAAACGGTCTGTGGATGTCGGATCCAGCCCACGCCAGCTTACATAACCAATGAGTATATAAGTCACCGAGCCGCCCAAGCCCTTTTCGGTCATCTGTAGTCATCTCTCAACCTCGTCGTACACTCTCAACCTCGTCTCCAAGAAACATCCCCCACTCACCTTTAGTTCTCTTCTTCTTGTAATCGCATTTTTACGTTCGTCGCATGAACGTGCAGAACCTAGCTACTTTCGGTGAGTACTCAGCTCTTCTCGCACTCATCCCCGCTCCCCATCGATGCCCAGCATACATTGACCTGCGTGTATTGCCTCCAACAGATCCCTTCGCAGACGAGGGAGAAGCGGTCAACACACAGGACGTTGGATCTCAGCAGAACTACATTCACATTCGCATTCAGCAAAGAAACGGACGAAAGACTCTCACGACTTTGCAGGGCTTGCCCAAGGGTGCGTGTACCTCGTATCTGCGACACAGAAGCAATTAATACCTGTCCCCCTTCAGAGTATGATGCCAAGAAGCTCTTGAAAGCCTTCAAGAAGGCGTGTCTGCTCCCACACCCTTATGGCGCCACGCACTGACTAGTACTCCACAGGAATTCGCTTGCAACGGCACACTCGTAGACGACGAAGAAGCAGGACAAGTCATCCAACTTCAAGGAGACCAACGCACCAAGATTTTGAACTTCCTTGTTGAAGAGGGTCTTCCCAAGAACACGATTAAGGTTCACGGTTTCTAATCAGCGACTCGACTCCGCACCGCATTTGTCTTGGAGACCTTGAACGCTCTTTGCATTGCGCATCTGCATCCCGCTTGCCTCCTTTCGCAACATATTATCGCTTTGCCATGTTCCTCGCTTCTTGCAGATATTCGGTCTCATGTCTGTACCAAGTAATATTGAATGGCCATCGGACTTTGTGATTCACACGGGATATTCCCAGCATGAATTCAGCTGTTCTAGTAAACTCTGCACCTGGCACGATTCCACTAGACGGACGACCAACGTGCTCATGGTATAGTCGGTGAAACGAGCGAAGGAACCGTACAGGCGGAGGACACGCTTAAGCATTGCGTCACATTCTGACTAGTGCAACAATCTACAAGCCACGTACCCGGTCGATATCGACCACATGAACGCTGGACAATAGATAGTAGTAGCATGCATCACTGACATACTAAAATTCGACTTAACTGAGGGCAATTTTGTTCTGAACGCGCAAGATACCACATAGATACAGCACCCGGGGAATGGCATGGGAGCCGACTACTTGATCTTGTCCAAAGGCCTGGCGAAAATATGAGCATTGAACGCGCTTTTTGCATATAAACTGACCTATTGAACCCTCCACGCCTTCATGCAACGCACATACGTGAGGTCATACTTTGGATAACGAGAAAGGCTGACCGACCTATTCATATACTGACGCCACGTCCGCACCTTTTTGACATTTGCGGAGCCTTCTTGATTTCCCTCTACGTGCTTACCCTGCGACAACTTATGAATGCTCATATGATTGTATGAAGAGTGCGCAATACCTTTGTGCTGCCAAAACCCTGCATCGGCAAGCCCATCATAGCCATCATAGCCGCTTCTTCGTCCTGCTGGGGTTCCTGATCCATGGCATTGCCTTCTTCCCGGTCTTCTGTTGGCACCTCAGAAACCTGGCGAGATTTTGGCTCCTCCGAACCTGGAGCAGGACATCCTTGTTATCTTGCCGCGAACCATTCGAGGGATAGAGACCATACCCGGATTGAAGCTAGCTTTTCTACTTTCTGCTGCATCGAAACGCTTGTCTATCGGCTTCAAAATATCGTCTCTACGAGCCGAGTGGCTCATGTCTCTGCCTCGCTCATCACGTCTCGGGGGGTCGCGCTTGTCACGGTCACGGTCCCTTGCGTCCCTGCGATCATCACGATGATGGTCTCGTCTATCGCGGTCGTCTCGTCTCCTATTATCTCTGTGGTAGTCCCTGTCGTCTCTGTGGTGGTCTCTGCGGTCTGTCAGAAAGGAATGTCAGTAAGCATGTAGAGGGAGCCACAACGAACGCACCGGTGGGCCTCTTATCTCTGTCCTTGTCGCCCCCACCCCTGCGAGGGCTGCGCGAGCGGCTCCTTCCACCCCGATGAGGTGCATCGCGGTCAGTATACCGCGCACCGCGGTCGTCCCTGTCGTACTCGCGTCTTCGATCATCGAAGCGTGAAGACATGCCGTTCTAATTGTCGCTAAGTCAACACTTGAGATGTTCAAGCGTAGGTTGCGAGTATAAATTGCGAGTAGATGAGTTCAGCGGGAGAGTTGAGTTACGTTTCGAAAGACGCGCGAAAGCCGTCACCAGGATCGCGCCGCAAAGGGTATGCAGCTCCCACGCCTTCTGCGTTTGCTGGAGAGTTTAGATGAAGATTACACGAGATACCGGAGGGAAAATTGCTCGGTAAAAACGCAGTAAACCAATCTACAAAGTAGATACTCCCGGCCCAACGTTGGCTTAATTTCAATCGCATTTCGTGGTTGTGTGCCAGTTTCGGAAATCTTACCTGTGTCGGGCGTTCTCGCGATGAATATTCTTGAAACGCAGCATTCTCAATTATCGCAGTGGTTTACAGAGAAGGATACAATTATGTATAGCACAGAAAGTGTATCGGCTCAAATACTCAGCGTAGGTCCTATGAATGGCGAGGCCCGAGGGTCAGACACCAGCCCCGTCCGCCCGCTTACTTGTGCCTTGAGCATCTCAATCATCGCTTTCAGCTCCTCGTTCTCATCGTAGAGGACCGAGTTCTCATCGCGAAGACGCTTGTTTGTCGCTGCTTGCTGTGTCCATTCGCTGTGTGCAGCAGGTGAAGAACTCTTGCTGGCGGCCTTCCGAGATGCCGCCAGTTGTTTATGGGTGACGGATAACCGAGCTTCCAGAGACTCTATTTCTTGCTGCTGACGTCTACGGAGAGGTAAACATTTCGTGATTGATGTAGTGACGAGAGAAAGCCGACCTTATCTTCTCTTCAAGCTCCTCTTGGACTTGCTGATAGTTCGCCACACGCAATTCCATCTTCTTGTACGTACTAGCACACTCACTGAGGAACTCTGTTTGACTGTTTAGCTTGAGGACATCCGCTTCCCTGCAAGTATTCAGATCGTGTGCCAAATAGTTCTTATAGTAAATGTACTAACCATAATCTTTGTAGCTTAATGAGCTGCTCAATCTGGCGTTCATAGTCATGCAGCCTATCGACTTTGTGCTGGTTCGCTTTAATATCTGTCTTCAGCTCGAAAACCTTGTGATTCGCTTCCGACAAAAGCTTGCTCTGAGCGGCGAAGCTATCCTGTTCTCGTCGAACAACTTAATAGAGAACCAGCAAGCTATAATTGCTAACGAACCTGGGTTTCCTTGTGAGCGGCGCGCATCGCAGACGCTTCAGTTTGCCAGGAGCTCTTCTCGTTCCGGAACTCCTTGATCCTATCTTGCAATTTGCGGTTCCAGTCCGCGTACTGATTCTTAACCTTGAGCGCTTGTTCTTTTTGCTCCTTGACCTCCTTCTGCAGGCGATACACTTCTGCTTTATACTCTCGAAGTCGATTGTGCTGAAGTCGAAAGTGAAAAAGCTGATCTCTCGTAGATGCTAAACAAAAAGGTCTTACCAACCCTTGCCGTTCAACCTCGGCAGTTCTGGAGACTACGCGATCCTGGTACAGTCGCCCAATGTGCTTGACGTTCTCCCGAGCCATCCACAACTCGAAATTGAGCTCGCTCCTGAGCATTAATATCTCTCTTTGCAGCCCAGCAATTGCAACAGCCACGTGAGACGGCACGCCCTCCTGCTCATGTGTACGCTGACCATCTGGGCTGTACGACTTGACACTGATACTCGCAATGCTCTTCCGTGACAGCGAGCGAGAACGCGCACGAGACTGATGATCGAGCAAAGTGGCAGCCCAACCTGCTTCGTTCGGCGTATCGATGACCTCGATATCGAGACTGGACTTCAGGGCGATGGAAGTTGAAATCATCTCTTGCAAAGATATCTGCAATTTAGACGATGTCGGATGAGCGCCGGACAAGGTGTGAAGGACGGAAGAGGTGCCGGACTCTGCTGAGTGCTCGTCAAGATAGGCTTACAACGACCACAAGTGGGTCTGGTCTCCTCGACTCGGCAGTGCCTGCGATCGCACGCTAAATGTACGTCTCTCGGCATAGGATCTACTCGCGGAACTACACCACTGCTTCTCGTTACCGTCTTCTCGTCTGCAGTTACTTCTCCTGCTTAATGCGTATACCTCCCAGCCCAATTTCCCCCAGCATGCTGCTGTGTTCGCGGCGCATCCGCTCATGCAGAGTCTTATATATTGCCTCATATTCGACAATTCCGCTACGGAGTGCGCGGTTGGAGTCACTGTCCTAACGAAGCTACTACCGATATTTGCTGTAAGAGCATGTGAAGACTTGAAACGTCTCCTTCCACAATTGCTCGTGGTCCTGACTCGCGTTATATGTTGGGAGACAAGACCTCACCATACTATGCCGGACCTGGCCCTGGAGGCTATTCGTGGTCGAAATCCAGACATGCTCGTCGAGCCGATTGTCGAGGACAAACGCGATATGCCCACTTCCGACGACACTAATCGCCTTTCTATTCGACCTGATCTAGAATGGGAACGTCTTGACCAAACGTTTACTGGCGCGTCCGCAACAGCTCCCCCCAGGCAGCAGTACTTTGCCTATCTGTATTATCTGTTTCCATGTAACACGATTCGCTTTCTGCGTGGCCCTGTGTCGTACTTAGCGGAGGCTAGTCTAGAGACCGTGTACACGCTCGGCTGGGAAGAGGCCTTGGATGAAGACCAGATCCGAAGCAAGAGCGAGGCATGTGTTTTGCCTATCCGAGTGATTGCCCCGTACTTAACGTCTGCTTTAGTCGCTGCTCCGTGGACACGTCCTTCATCCACTACTTGTTTGGCGGGATGCCGCTCATGAGCTCAGCCAGCCCGATTTTTGGGCGCAGTACGACATTTCGAGGATTGTCGCCGAATGTACCATGCTCGATGTTCGCTCAGCATCCCTGGGATTGCGCGAACAGCTCTTCGCCAATATGTCCCTGCTATCTTCCGGTCAACGAGATCTGCAGAGACAACAGGAGCCACCAGGAGAACCCCGGTTGTCTCCCCCTCAGGCTGCCATCGACAGCCCTACACCCGTCGTCCAGGTGTTATCATCCATCTTCCAGATTCGCTTTCCAGCAAGCTTTGCGCTCCTTTTGTGCGTCATCGAGTTCTGCCCACTCGAGAACATCGTCCCCGGAACTCTCGTTGTATGCATCCAATAGGTAGAGGTCCATAAGCCGCCTACGGAATTCTCTCGCCTTTTCCCCCTTCTTATCCTTTTCGGAATCCGAAGAGACTGCGTCCCTGATTCTGTGTATGGGACTCAGAGAGGCGACGACGACCTCCTTTGCATGATCGACGGCTTCCGCCGCAAGCTTGGGCTCGCGCAAGGCAGGTCGAAGGACAGTGTCAAACCATGTCTCGATGATAGACAACGGTGGCAAGCTCCGGCGGACGTGATATAGAGTCTCGAGAATGACCTTGACTTGCGGGAGACTTGGGTCTCTCATCTCGCTGTAGTATATGCCTTGTAACTGTTTCTGTAGATCTTCCGCCTGCTCTGGGTCGTCCTCATTTTGTGAGACAAATTCATCAAGAGCGTGAAGAAAGTCGGAAAGTGGAGGGGCCTCTGAAGAGTTTTTGAGCAGTAAACGAAGTTGACGAGAGATGTCGGTGGCGGTCATAGGCGACTGAAGGTGAGTGGCGGGGGTCAAGCGGCGAAACGACCCAGGGGAGCACCTGGGAGAACACCTGTTCGCGAGCGCCCACCAGTATAAGTAGACAGACGACCCTCACCAATTGAGTCGGCTACTCTGCAAAGGGTACTGGTATAAGTACGACCTCGACGCTTGGGTTCACTGCAAGCCTTCAGCCTAACCAGACAAATGGTATTACTACATATACGACATATTCTTAGGCCTACACAACATAATCCCAAAATTGGTCGTTTCAGAGAACGACTTCATGCTCCACTGGCTCGAAAACGGGAGCTTTCGAAGTCTTCTCCCACATGTCGGAATCCAGATGTTTCTGATAGGGAGGCAAATATTCTGCGCGAGTAAGACGTTTGGACTCAGTGTCCATGCCGCATTTTTCGTCCCTGGTCTTGATCAATTCAGCTGGGGGCGCGTGTTCGTCCTTGGAATAAGACATCATCAGGTTAGGTGGGCCGAGAGGAAGATCAGGGTATTTATCAAAAGCCCAAGTATGTATCGTCTTGCCGTACGTTCGCTGGAGCTCAAGCATTGCGGGCTGCTCAGCGACGTCCACTGCAACATGAGGAACCGCGCTCTTTACTTGCAGCTGTAGCATGCCACTTTCCACCTTCAAGGAACATTACATTGCAGCCTTTACAATATTACATCAACACACTGACCTCGTACTTGTGAGAGTGCCAATATTTCTTCTCTTCCTGGGGCAAATCATTGAATAGCTGGCAGGGGAGATCAGTATACGTCGGCAGTAAAGAACCGGTCCACACACCTGTTCGGCAATAATGTACTCGACGCCAATAAGTCGGGCATTCCTCTCACCAGAGTCATAGATGATACACTGGTGGAAGTCTGGTCTTAAGCAAGTACAGAAATGATGCGCTTCGACGTGTCGTGTGCGATCCGAGCTGAACTATGCGTCAGAAAATGCAAGTGCAGTACAATCGGAAGCGCATACGCACGCATAGGTATGAAATGCGCAGATGTGCTGGTGAATCTGATTTATAGGCTCGAAGCTCATCATAGCAGCCCCCGAACTGTGGTAGGCAGCGCTATGATACGTCGCTCGCTTGGTGTCCGTGTCCATGATGGAGTAGCTTCGGTGCGAATAGGGTGGTTTTGAGGGTGACGAGATGAGTGTGCTATATATCTATGTATGCCCTTGTCCTGCGTGTAGATGTTTACCGAAGCCTTCATGACGTTGAGCTCCATGGCGTCCACCCATACATTGAGAGCTCCAAGGAGCCAAGAGATTTTGGCAACCTTGCAAGCAAGAGGGCTAAATAAAAGCAAGTTCAACAGAAACGAACCGGACACAAATGAGAGGTGTACATGCTATTGTGATATTGTGATACAGGTGCGAGAAGCACTGAGTGCGCTGCATGAAGGATGAACACGCGGGGTTAGGGTTATGTGCGCTTACATGGCTATTGCTGATCGCTGTCGGCGACGTCGGGCTCGCCATCTTATACACCCCTGAGCCCCCTTCGTCCACCTAAAATCGACAGTAAGTGCCTCTGTACGGTATGGCGAGTCGATATGAATATTCCGACCTCGAATCCGTGGCCGTCAGGCGATGGATAGCTCGCTTCTCGTCTGGATGTACCGCGCCAGCACTGACGCGTCGGCCGCTCCCATAGATGTCTGCCAGCATCGAGGAGATCCACTCCGACCACTCTGACCACGAGGGTCACGAGCACGAGCACGAGCACGAGCACGATCATGAGGAAGATCCTACCTCCCAGGCTGCCCTCGACAAGATCCAGTCGCGCTCTGAGCGCAAGGCCAGGAAGGCTCTCATCTCTCTTGGTTTGAAAAAGGTCCCAGGCATAACCCGTGTTACTCTTCGGAGGCCGAAGAATGTGCGTTCAAATCAGTCTTGGAGGCTTCGAGGGCTTATGTTTTGTATTGGATAGGTTCTTTTTGTCATTGCCGTCCCCGACGTGTACAAGTCGCAAAACAGCGATTGTTACATCGTATTTGGCGAGGCCAAGGTGCGTAGCGAACCTTTGCGAGCTCATGCTTGTGTGTCTTAAGTCTGTCCTTCAGATTGAAGACGTGAACTCTGCCGCTCAGCTCTCTGCTGCTCAGAGTCTCGCCTCCAGCGGTGCTACTACGGTCCCTAACCTGGAGTCTTCCAGTGCTGCAAACGACGACGACATCCCCGAGCTGGAGGCCGTCGAAGAGGAAGGTCCAGTCGATGAGACCGGTGTCGACCCTAAAGATATCGAACTCGTCATTCAACAGGTTGGCTGCTCACGGGCTAAGGCTGTGAAAGTCCTGAAGGAGAGTGGAGGCGATCTCATCAATGCCAGTGAGTCAGTTTACTCTCGATCTCGTTCACTTTATCTCATGTCCTTTCTGTACAGTCATGGCCGCGAGCGAGTGATCTGTTTCGCCTACTCCCTGTACTACTATCCCCTTGCTGTATTCATCAGGTCCAAAACCAGTTTCACGGGTATACCCATCACTCCAGACCGTTTAACGCATGTTTTTGCGGGCTGGGATTCACAGTTATCATTGTCGCCAGCGTCTCAGTTCTACGTAATAATTGGATCTTTCCCAACCATCCTGCACAATCTCGATACCTTCGGTGGCGTTGCCCTGAGCAGGACCAACATGCATCGATAGACCTTCGGCGGCTTCACAGACAAGGTCCCTCAACTCTCCGCGAGCAAACATGTGGTAGTATCTGTCGAAAACTTGAGATGGTCGTGGTGGATCTGCTACTTGCACAGACGCTTCATGAAGACCGGCATCCTGGCTGCTCGCTTCTTTCCCCTTTGGTTTTGACCGTAGTTCTCTGGACATAACCCACGGTACAAAGACGTCTTCGCCTCTGACTGGTCCCCCTTCGCTTTGTGGAATGTTCCGTTTTGAGAGCTCGTCTTGCTCGATAGCCCAGACGTAAATAAGAACACGGCCATGAGACGGAGAGACTTCGCATAAAAGTCTCTGAACAGCGACTTTGCGTCTTTCATGAGTCGAGAGGTGGTGTATTGTCGCAATTGAGATCGCGTAGTCCTGTGCAGCATTAGCAATGTCTGCGGATCCCAGGAAGCGAACCAACGCACGAAAGCATCATCCCTCCACAGTCTCCCCAATGCGTCACCCCACACGACTTCTTGCTGAGTCCCGCCCGCAGTCTGTGCAATCTTGAGAAGGTTTCTGCTCCTGTCCAGCCCGATGGTCCATATGCCGGACGGCCTCTCCAGTGGTAGAGGAAGATATTTGCCGTTTCCAGTTCCAGAGTCTAGTCCTATCCACCCCATGGGTAGCGATGAGATAAATCTTGAAATGATAGGCCAAGGCTGTTCGTGTATGAGTTTATGTCTGCGAGTACAGGTCAAAGCGTACTTTATAGCGGGTTGACGAGAAGTGCGGTGCAATCTCTTCATAGACCGCATGGACGTGCTTGCTCTCATAGTCTTGGGGGTCTTCATCCACGACAGTCGCGGTAACCTGCGGTGCCATACTAGAAGGCAATGTGCAGCATGGGGAACACAATAGTACGGAGTAAATAGTAGTGGTGATACAAGCGTTCAAGTTTCCAAGGCAAAACCCATCTCTTCGTCCAAAAGCTCACGGAAGCGGCTCCCATCAAACTTCGGAAACGGAACAAGCGTCGACGGGTCGAGTGTAGTGATAGTCTGCGGCAGGCTCCTGTGGATTGGGACTCTCAGAATATGCACGGGAAGGGCAAACGTGGTGGGCATACGGGACGGTCGCAGCCCAGACATGTCCTAGGCCAGCTAAAGCAGTTGCAAGCTCCTGCTGGTGATCGTCGAGGAGCGTCGAGTTGGGTACCACAATCAATGGTTTTTGGAGTCGCAGGACATCTAGAATTGTGCCGGAGCCTATCAAGGCCTTCGTGAACTAGACAAGCATGTGAGGGCGGCACTAGCAATCATACCGGCATGGCTTATGACCAGATCCGCCTGCTTGTACTCCTCGTCTAGCGATGCCTTGAATCTCCAGACCTCGATCGCTCCACCACCCTCCAGTGCCCGCGTCCAGGATTCGCCGTTCTGGGTGTAGGACCCGGTGTCAAAGTCGGAGTTGCCGCATTGTACGATGACGGTCGAGTAGCCCGCTGTGCGAAGGACGTCAAGCACAGCGTCCGAGAGAGCTCGTTGGACCAGCGCGTCGAAGCGAGTCGAGCCGACTGTCACGAAAGCCCGCATGCGTGTATGCCCCAGAATGATGCCCCGGCTTGGTGTCTTCCTTGCATAAAGTACTGGATATGTGTCGTGACACGCGACTAGGTCGCCGTGGACACGCGCTCCGGTACTCTCTCCAGCGTTTCTGATGTTGTGCTTGTTCCGTTGTCCACCTCTATAATTGACCTCGCAGCGCTTCGTCCACGCCCACGACAATCGTTTCAGGAATCAAAATGGGCTACACGCTGTGCGTGCTAGGTGCGTCCCCGCTCAAAGCCCGGATGCCATATTTTGAGCATCTGCACAGGATGTGGGACCATGGGTGTTGCCGTCCTCTCTGGCGTCCTCGCTAGTCTAGACTCCGCCTCAGATCCAACATACCCTGGACCGAAGTGGGAGTCGCATACGCCAGGTACCCTGACACCGGCTCTTGCTGTCTCCGACCCAACTCTGCCATCGAGATTTCTTGCATGTGTTAGCCGCGAAGAAAGCGCAAAGAGGCTGAGGGAATTGTTCTTTTCGCTTGGTGGACCAGGGCCCGGCGTCGAAGTCTGTGTTGCGAACAATGTCCAGGCCGTTCAGCAGTCAGATGTCATCTTGCTATGGTGAGTGTGCCTTAATGTTATTGGTATTTACGTACTGAAGATGCAACCCGAGCTGCAAGCCTCAGCTGGCGCACACCATCCTCGGGGAGCCAGGTCTGAAAGATGCTCTCGAAGGCAAGCTCCTCATCAGCATCCTGGCCGGGGTGACCATCCTGCAGCTCACTGCGGCGGTTGGCCCTGAGACGAAGGTTATTCGTGCGATGCCCAACACTCCCTGCAAGGTACGAGTCATATCTTACCCAGTCGTGTGAGCCTCAGATCGCTGATCGAGAGTGCAGATCAGAGAGGGCATGACTGTCATCAGCAGTCTGCCACAGTCTGAAGGCGCAGAGTTCGACCGCAGAATCATTCTAAACATATTCTCCTCCATCGGCCGTTGCCGCTTCCTCGATGAAAAGCACTTCGATGCATGTACAGCGTTGTCAGGCTCGGGACCCGCTTTTGCCTGCATTTTCCTGGAGGCTATGGCAGATGGTGGTGTCATGATGGGCCTTCCCCGAGCTGAGGCCCTGGAGCTTGCAGCACAAAGTAAGTCGTTTAGCCGTGACCCGGTTTAGGTGCTAACTTCAGAGGTGCAGCTCTCCAGGGTGCGGCACGAATGACTCTTCAGGGCAACACGCATCCTGCACAGCTAAAAGATGCAGTGACAAGTACGTATGCCCATTTATGCTTGCTAAGCGGTTAGCTCACAGGCGTCGTGTTCAGCTCCTGGTGGATGCACTATTGCAGGTCTCCTTGCCCTGGAAGATGGACGGGTCCGCTCAACGATCGCGCGTGCCATTCAAATCGCCACTGAACGTGCCAGCGAGCTAGGACAACCATCCAAAAACTGAACTATGTAGTATCATCCCTGTATGATTCTGGGCGCAATGTTGGATAGATATTCAAGAAAGATGTATTATAACAATCTACCAAACAAAATTCTGTCACCGTCAAATTTATTCGACGTCTCTCGTGGGCGAGAGGGTCGCCAAAGAGACGGATGATGCATCCAATAGGATGCGCATATTCTTCTTGCTCTTGTAAAATGAGGACGGTCGTGTAGGAAGACAACGCCGACCAGAGTGTTGAAGAGCTTTTTCACGAAGTTCTTATGATCTCACGCATTGCAGAAGGTATATTCTATTGCTTAGTCCTGGATGCGCGGTTAGTGAAGCGGTCCCGGGGAGTAGTGTCAAAGTATCTCACTGATCAGTATATATGCGATATTATCTCATCCCAATAGGATGTCTCCGGCGTTTGAACCACCCCTCTCATATGAGAAACACCGAAGTATCCTCACAAGCATAAGCAGCGAAAGGAGAGGCAAAAAGAAAAACCGGATCAGCACAGAGACTGCTTTATCTCGCTCATAAGAATGAGCGCCACGCCGTGAGAGATGCGGTGGGGCGCCAAAGTGAACAGAGCTGCCAATGGATCGCACGAGCCGCACGTAGAAAGACAGAAGGCAAAGAAAGAAAAGTTGATTGTCTTCTACAATACAGGTGCGAGACTACAACAGATGTCAGGCGAACAGTCGAGCCAAGAAAACAGGTGAACTCACGATGATAAGTACAACGTTCGCTACTATCGGTCTGGAAGGATATCCACATGAGAATGAAAATCTCGAAGAGATCAATGAGATGCGTACAGAAGTCGAGAGTGTCGTCCGCTCTCTTGACGGTTTGCTAGATGGAGGCAGGTAAAAAGATGCGTCAGAACAATTTATAGCCGAGGTCACTGATGGGCCAAATACAGCCAAACAACGCACTTTCCAGGCTTCCTCGAAGTCAGCCGGAAGGATAACATAACGGTTCTTGCGCACAGCTGGAGGCGTCGTCAGCTAGGAAAATACAAAAGACCTATTTGACGTGTGCAAACCTTGCAAACCAGCAGCTTGCACGATAGAAGCAATCTCAGCTGACGACAGACGATCCGGTCGGGAGACGTCTGAAGTATGATGTCAGATGAGGCTTCAGTTTATGTTATCGAGCACTTACAGTCCTCCAGATCAACGTCCGGCCCAAGATTCATCTTACTCGTGCATGTCTGGAAGACCAGTCGCCGTTCACGGCGCGATGGAAGCGGGAATTCGATCTTTCGGTCAAGACGACCAGGACGAAGCAAGGCAGGATCGAGAGTGTCAGCACGATTTGTCGCCATAATGACCTACAAGCCATGGTTAATAATGAGGACGACAGTCGGAGATGCGGCGATCTGACCTTCACGTTGCTACCCTGATCGAACCCGTCCATCTGGTTCAGAAGCTCGAGCAGGATACGCTGCACTTCACGGTCGGCACCGGTCTGGGCATCGAAACGCTTTGTTGCAATGGCGTCGACTTCGTCAATGAAGACGATTGCTGGCGAGTTCTCTCTTGCGAGACGGAAGACGTCCCGCACCATACGGGGTCCTTCTCCGAGGTACTTCTGGACGAACTCTGAGCCGTTTACTCGGATGAAGGCGGCGGTTGTGTGGTGTGCGACGGCCTTGACCAACATCGTCTTTCCGGTACCTGGGATGGTGGTGAGTGCGGAAGCGTAGCGCAGATATATCTACGGGAACATACCTGGTGGACCCCAGAGCAGGACACCGCGTGGTGGGTCGATACCAATCTTGCGGTACAGATCGAAGTGCGTTAGCGGTAGCTCGACTGCCTCTCGAATTTCCTGCTTCTGCAAATCCATTCCGCCAACATCCTGGTATGTGACATCCGGCTTCTCTTCCTTTCCGAGCATCTGGATGGACGAATCTGCCTCTGGTGGGAGGATGTCCACAATAGCGTTCGAATGCCGGTGCATTGCGACAGACGATGACGGCTTGAGGAGCTCACGGTCAAGCGTGGAAAGGATGCGGACGATATAGTTGGAGCCAGTCGTAGACCCACAGATGGCAGTATTCTGGTCTATGGGCTCGAGAAACTGGCCGATGACGAGCGGGACGGACTGGATGCGCTTGACTTCTTCTTGCGCGCGAATGAGCTCGCGCTTGAGGTTAAGCTGCTCGTCCTTGACGTAGCTCTCTTGTATATCTAGCATCTCGAGATGCCTGCTGAGTTTCTTGTATTTCACATAGAGATCCTCTTCCTGCAGCTCTTGGAAGAGCGCCGTCTTTTCGGTCACCACCGACTCGAAGGTTGGGTCCTGCACACAATGTGGGCATTAGATATATAACGAAACAACAACACACACCTCTTTCTGCATCTCGATTCCAATTTCATCCATGTTTGAAGGCGGTTCCAAGCGAATGTAGTGGAGAGGAGTGTACGCTGACGCGGCTTCGTTCAAGCTGCAATTGGCGGCGCGACGCGTACAGGTTAACTAGACGCCAAATCAAAGGACTGTGGTTAGGGTTTCCCGCGCCCACCCCAAACATAAGTATCCAACTTTCTTTCGGACTTCGCTCTAACCGGACGAAGGGCCTTTGCAGACTTCCTATACATCGCATTTTTCAAGTCATTTGCCGCCATGGCGCACGTCGTGCAACCTCTTGACCAGCCGTCCAACTACAAAGACTCTCAAGCCCGAGTTGACAGGCAGAAGCAGAATGAGCTCCTCGCAAAATCGACAACACTCTACGTGAGTGCCCTCTCCCTCTGTGTGGTCATGATAACTTAATGCTAGTGGCCATAGATTGGTAACTTGAGTTTTTATACCACAGAAGAACAGATCTACGAGCTTTTCTCCAAGTGTGCTAGCCCGGAGGAGGGCGGAGGCATCAAGCGTATCATCATGGGTCTGGATCGGAATACAAGGTACGCTGGTCAATTGTATGCGCATGAATCCGTGATTAAAAAAGTAGTCTCTAGAACACCTTGTGGCTTTTGCTTTGTAGAATATTACACCCCCGCCGAGGCACTAGCGAGCCTGCGCTACGTCAGCGGCACCAAGCTCGACGAACGTATTATTCGGTGCGACCTCGATCTAGGCTATAGGGAAGGACGACAGTTTGGACGGGGCAAGAGCGGTGGGCAGGTAAGAGACGAGCACAGAACCGACTACGACCCAGGACGTGGAGGTTGGGGTGCGCAAGCCCAGCGGATGGAGATCGAACGGAGAAGGGAGGTCGAGGAGCGGTACGCGGATGCACAGGAAGGTCCTGGTGCTGTTGCGGGTGGTGGAGAAGACTGGAAGCAGCCTGAGGGTGCCCCGGAGAAGCAAGACCTTAAGCGCGGTCGGTCACCCGAGGATGAAGCAGAGAGCGAGCGAATGGTGGGTCATTCTGAACATACATTGAAACATCATCTGATGTTCTTTAGGGTGCACGTGCCCGTCTTGAGGATGACACGGAACGCATGTGAGGAGGTTAGCTTGAGGCTTGGTGTAGGGCAATGCTGAACTACTATATATCGGTCTAATATTGAGGGGATGTCGATGCACTAGTATACCACGCGTGCCCTGACACGGTACCGCTTGTCAAAAATCTCTGGTTCGTAGTAGGTCTCGTGCAGCTTGCGAACCAAGCGGTGCGCTTCAGCCGATGATGCTAAACGTATGAAGAACTTTGCCGTAAGAGCAACATTGTTCGCTCTGGGAGGATGCTCAGAGTCTGTATGCTGATGCTGGATAGTGTGAGGAACTCACTGATTTAGTTTGACAATATCCTTGCTGTCGGGCGACGCTCCTGCGAGCTTGAAGTTGTTCAAGAAGTATCCAGCTGCTTCAGGGGTCATTTTTCCGGGCAAGCCGTACAGCACTGCGCTAGAGCCGCCACTTGTGACACCGCCAGAGGGACCATCCCCCGTGATGACACCTCTTTCAGCAGCTTCGGCACGACCCCTCGCACCGCGCGTGCGAGGTGGGAGATCTTCGACCTCGTTTTCCGCTTGATGAGTAGACACTTCGTGTCCTGCCACGAGGGAGCCGTGTAGAGACTGCATTACTGACCGGACAAAGGCCGGAGTGGTGAGGGTGACCCAGGCAGAACCGGTTGGAACGAACCGCCTGTAGTCGACATCGACTAGAATAAAATTAAGAGCTACGGTATTGTATTCATAACGCGGAAACGCACTACTGGCGATGTTTTCAATCTTGGCTTTTGCGCATAGTCTGCGGATGTCTGTAGGGAGGGCAGTTCTAGGAACATTGCGGATCTCTATTCGTCTCCTGTTGTCACCACCTGCGCACAAACATTAGAGAAGAAACTACGCAAAGATAAAGACAGCGTACGAGCATTGTCGACCACCGCGCGCCGGAACGTCTTCCGCATCACCGTTGCAGTTGACATGGCTTGCCGAACCAATGTCGAAAGCCAGGACTCGGGAGTGAAGCCAGTGAAGTTGCTCACGTGGCCAGAGCGCGCGTCGAGCCGAAATTGCAGTAACCGCCCGGGCCGCAAGCTTGTCTTTGTCCTGCCACCGAGGTCTGCTTAAAGTGTCCAGCGATACTCGTGCGCCTCCATCCCCTCTTGTGCTGATGAGCTCGCCGCCGCCTTCTTCGACATGAAATGAGAGCGGCGCGCCTGCGAAGGACAGGACGTACACACCGCACAGCACGAATATTAATGGCGGTAAGCACGCGCCACCATTCGTGCCCTGCGGTTCACAAAGTCCAATTTGAGAGCCTCGTGCTAGCTAGTGACGGCACAGACCTGTCACTGTCTCTGCGCAGGCTGCCTGACGCTCGCAAGATGGCTAGAGTCAGCTGCACGGCTGTCCGGCCATGAATCATGGACAATATTGTTGGACAAGTCATCAAGACTCGAGGCATCGCGGCGACGCAGACGTGAGATTTATGACCGACTCTGAAGGTGCAGGAAGCTCATAAACGATCGTCAGGACAGTAGCTGATTTGGGGGTATCAAACATTACGTGTACTCCGAAGCTTTTCGCGACCTGCATCTACTCGCCAGATCTCTCACCACCTTCGTTGTCTCCCTCAGGCCTACCTTGATCTGGCTGCTCGTGTCCACTGACGCTCCTGCCGTGACCTTCGACCCCGCCTCCGCCTATCAGGCTAGTGCTATCCTCAACGTCAGCGTCCCCTTCATGAATATGAGTGTCGCCATCGCCTATACCACCGCCAGGCTCGTGCAAGTGTCCTTCGGTACTTGCAGTGGTATCATCGCTATCTGTGTGATGTCGCACGGAGACCAGCCCCAACACCTCCATGTCCGTCCTGCACGTCTCCGCGACCATCTTCCTGTGTCGTCTCCGCCCACCCGCTGCCCTCTGACATCGCTGGCGGTACCACAAACGGCGACGCCGGGCGGCCCTCCTGACTGTCGCTCCTAAAAGAACCTCTTCTGGACTGATGGTGGAGAGGATCAGGTCGGAACTCGGTGGCATGTGTTGGCGGCGCTTCGTTTGCAAGATCGGAGACGGATGCTGCCAGTGCTGACCACCGTGACTCCTGCTCTTGGAGGAGTCTTGCAAGCCTCGGATATCTGGGGATGTTCTCGGCCAGAATGAAGTGCCCGAGTATGGCGATAAGGTCATCCGGGAAGACTGGCTCGCCCACGGATAGACTCTGGAGAGCTTTGTTGCCGCCGCGCTCGATAGACCCCATGATCTCGAGGCAATCCCCCGCAAGCTGTTGGTCCTTGGCAAGTAGCTCAACCGGAGTGAGAAGTATAGGGCGATGATAGTGCCATCTTCCGTGTATGGCATGCTGTCTCTCCATATTCAAGTACGCACGTAGAGCAATGCCCGTCGCCTTCCAGAGATTCGCCCACATAGCTGAGTCCGGAGCGTTGACTCTCGTGCCGTCATCTAACGAGTACTGCCTTGTTGTGGGCCGCAGGCTCTGGGTGACATATTCGGCGTAGAGCTGAATGTGGAGGAGGCAGAAGTGAACTATGTCCACAACTTCCATTTGGGTGTAACTGCCTTGCGCAAAAGCTTCTGCGAAGCCTGTAGAATTTTGTATCATTTTTGCCTGGTCTGTATAAGTTGCGTGAGCTGAAGTTCCGTAGGTAAACGGCGCACTGGCAAGACGCACCAAGACTTGTGGTAAATGCATCCACCGCCAACTGAAGTATACTGGGCAAAGTATACGTGTAGTGATGGAACGCTGCAGACGTGTAGACCAACGGGTGATGGCAATAAGTTCCATTTGCCCAGGTCCCGTTTGCCCAAAGGGTAGCAACAACTGTACCTGCGTCCGCTCTGCGGCCCAGTTGGTTCGCGAGCCCAAGGGCCATGAAAAACACCTCCCAAATGTGCATGAAGGGACTTAGCGTAGGGCCAAACTTGCCCTCTGATAGCAGCACAAAGTGAACATAATTCCAGAGGTCCTCTATGACGGCCCGTGCCGCTTCGTGTGTGAAGAGGTGTGGCTCCTTGGACAATATCGCGAATAATGGCTGCATTTGTCCTCTGAATGGTTTTTTGCAGTATGGGCGAAGAGCTTCTGCATATACTGGGTATGCGGCAAGTAAGCAGACGCCATCTTGGCTGTGTTTCTTATAGAGCTGACATAGCCGATGGGATAGTGGGCGGAACAAGAATTGCTCCTCACCAGAGGCTGGGGCTATCCATCGAGCAATTGATCCCGCTGAAGTATCCGCCGCTTCGGATGTGTGAGCGAGTAGGCGGCGAAGACAAGCTAGTGCGGAGCTGGGTAGAGGGTGCGGAGAGCTGGAAAGGAGAAGCAACGATGCCTTGCAGAGCCAATCTGGGCTCGAGATACGCAAGGGTCCGTGGGGCTCACAGCGATCTGCTAAGTCGGCAAGCATCTCCATGAAGGTGTTCCATACTGGGCGGGACAGCGAGGTGAGGTCAGGGATACAGCGCAGCCTGGCTGGACGAAGATACTCGGCCCTGGTACCAACGCGGTTCAGCACAAGCTCAACGATGAAAGCGAGTGACTCCGCCGGTTCGTGTGAGCGTTGCTTGAATGCACCCCACATCGTCGTAAGTAAATTGTCATCCGCCATGATGGTATCCATGGACAGCAAGATGTCCTTGTCGTCCTGGTTGCTGTTGACAACCTGCTTTTCCTCCGCGAAGTCCATGCTCGCAGCCGGCTTCCGCTCCGAGTGTTCGACCATGCTCGCGAGGTTGAAAAGGAAGGAAGTCAATGAGCGACGCGTCTTCATTGTAACGTGTGTTCTCATCATCCGCATCATGGATTTCAGCAGCGGCATCTTATACGGGCATCGCGGCGAGGCGAGCGGTGCGAGCGTAGTGGCAATGAGGAAGAACGCCCAGCCGCAGACGAGTGGTATAGTGGTGTGGCCTATCCGTTCATCAACATTGGCTGTAAAGAGGCAAAGACCAATAAAGAACAAGCCAAGTGACAGCTGAAGAAGCATGGGGAGTATGCCAGCAACTTCGAAGACCTTCCACTTCTCGAGGGCTGGCTTCCGGTATTGGTGTGCACGAAGACGCTCCTGCGGCGCAGTGTATTCAACGGCAAGGTACTCTCGAAGCCATTGTTTAACAAGCATGCTGAACGACGCGGTTGCAAGACTGATGATAAGGCTCGCAAACCAGAGACCGTTCAGACGAACGGCCCATAGTGGAGCCATGAACTGGGGAGGGGAGGGGGGCGGTTGAGCGGTGGAGTTGAGGGTTCCAGACGTAATGGTGTAGCTTTGCGTCTGCACAGCGATACGTTCGAGCAGAAAGATCATCTGGGTGCTCGAATCGGGCAGGAGGTACGTGTACGATACAACGAGGAAAGCTGATAGGACGGCCGAGTACAAACCCGCCTAACATCAGACATGTATATGAGAGCGAGGCAAGCAAGACTAGCCAAACCATGAAACTCACGAATACTAGCAGGGTGTCAATATCATCCTTGCAGCCCTCGACCTTGTCTTCATCAATCTCATATACGGTCTCGGCCATCGTTTTCCAGCCTGTCGGAGGAGAAACCTCGACATAGCGCGTACCTCCCGTGGGCTGCAAAATATGGTTTTATGGAGTTCGAAGGGATCAAATAAAAATAATTCATACTATACTGGAATTTTGCTCCGGCATACGCGATGCAATGACGAAAGGTGAGAACTACGGCAGTCTGGCGGTGTCGGAGGTGGCGACAGAGATAATGGGAGACGCGGCTTCACGAGCAACTCTGGGACGCTCTTCTTAGACATGTTTTCGCAGCGCCTGAAGTCCGCCCGCGGCAATCCAGGGGAACCCGTGGTGCGAGGGACGACGGGATCTAGAAGGCGGCAGGGCCCTGGTCAGCATGCGGTAAAGCGTAGTGTCCTACTGGGCGATTGCACGAGGACGCACGTCTAACACATGGCGATGCCGATTTAAATGGCTATGATACACGATTTTATGACGGTGCTAGAGTAGAAAAAACCGTCATCGCCCGCGATAGCTCTGTGTGGCACACATACTACCGATCCCAACGATAAACATCCCATGGCAGACATCCTGTGGCATCATTAGCTTTGAATTGAGTCTCACTGTGGAAATACATCGCGCGCAGCGCTAGGCGACACGTCTAAGTCCTTGTCTCACCCGAAAACACGGATACAGCAGTAATATCGCCCTCACCATCGTATGGCAAGATCAGGTTGCTCCATGGCGATTTAATGGCAAGGGTCAAACATGAGCTTATGTAATGGTCAATACCTAGTTCGAATAGCGGTAAGAGATTTATTTACCGCTCTCAGCTGGAGTCAGTAAATTCTCTAATCACTGGGCGTTACTCGTTGGAGCGCAGAATATTCTTTGACTGTGTCCCAGCATGGCTGTACGTTCGCTTACTTACCCATCTCCCTGATGTATGTACCAAACGATAACGGCCCATCTCCCGCTCACGAGTCAACTCGACAAGTTTCGCGGCACTGGCCAAAGCGACGAAGGAATTCGCGACCCGTCTGGAATATCGATGTTGCCAAGGAAGTCTGTCGAGTCCGATTGGCTGTGAGATGACAGGACTCGGGTGTGTTCTACTTACAACGCCACAAAGCTTGGAGGGCGTGTGAACTTGTTCACTCTCACCTCTACCTCGCTGAAACAAACCCGTCGGTCGCTGTTGCGCGTTTTGTCAAGTTCGGTCCGTCTCTCTCTCCTGGTGCCCGAACTGAACGTGCTCCGGATCCGATAGCTTGCTAAGAATGTGCGCCTGTTTCAAACGATGTAGCAGCTGACATCACTGGAACGCTCGGGATGTCGTACCCAGCGAGGATCACAGTGAACGCATCGGCGAACGTCGGTCGAAGACGGTTCCAGCTCCTTCTTGGACGCGCACCGTGTATTCTCGATGGGTCCATGTGGTTGTCTGTGCGAGCCTGTCTTGCCTTTGTCAGACGTCTAGCGCTCCGCATTCCTAGGCTTCCCGACGGTCGCCCACGCACGGACCACCACCGACCCATCGAGCCCTCCTTCTCTGTCGGAGATAGGACCGTGTATGACGCAGCAAGACTGCAAGAGACCGCTCAAGACCGCGTCTACTGACCAATCTATTGCAGATCCCGCTTTGTAGCGCGCCGCCAGAGGTGTCCTAGTCTTGGCGTACATGACTTCGGACGTTACCAAGCACACATCGTTTCCGATTGTCGCCGTCGGGCAGTCATAGGTTCATGCCTGACCTTGCCGTCTGACTCTCGGAACTATGCTTTTCAAGATATATAACTTGCCTCTCTCGGCCGGCAGTCCTCAGTGTTCGCCTCCTCACAGCCTCTAGTGTAATCATTCACCGACAAGGCCTTCGTGCCACTTAATTACTCAATCCCTCCTCGAGGCCATAGCCATCTTCTAAGCTCCCGACCAACCCGAAAACATCATGGGCAACCACGCGCTCGACCTCAACCCACCCAACGCCAACTACCACCTCACCACTCATGGCTCTGACTGGCTTTGGGCGGCGTTCAGCGTCTTCGCGACGTCGCTGTTGGTCATGATCGTCCTCGATTTCATGGTAAGTGACTCCAAGATTTGCGCAGCTGATCAGAAGTTGATCGCACTTTACAGAGGCCAAGAGGTACTCGGCTCTTCCACCAGCTCGCCATCATCATTCTCGCCACCGCTTCCATCTCTTACTTCTCTATGGCGTCTGACCTCGGTGCTACGCCTATTCCTGTCGAGTTCCGCGGCACAGGCACCCGTCAGATCTGGGTAGGTATCCTCCTACGTGCGCTTTACTTCCAATTATCTCACCGGTTATGATTTTAGTATGTCCGCTACATCCAGTGGTTCATCACGTTCCCGCTGCTCCTCCTTGAGCTGCTGTTGTCGACTGGTCTGTCGCTCTCTGACATCATGACGACGCTCTTCATGAGCATCTTCCTCGTCATCTGTGGTCTCGTCGGTGCTTTGGTCCATAGTGACTACAAGTGGGGCTACTATGTCTTCGGCTGTGCCGCGCTCTTCTACATCTGGTGAGTTTCCATCGCGATATATCTTCCTCTCAACGCGTGTCTAATGTGTCCGCCAGGTTCGTGCTCCTCTGGCACGCACCCCGCGCGAGCTTCGCCGAAGCGACCGGCCTCAGGGCAGCGTACCTCACCGGCGCAGGCTACCTCTCGTTCATGCTGATCACGTACCCGATCGCGTGGGCCTGCGCCGAGGGCGGCAACGTCATCTCCGTCACGTCCGAGATGATCTGGTACGGCATCCTCGACATCCTCGCCGGCCCCGGCTTCCTCTTCCTCTTCCTCTTCCAGCTCCGCAACGTCGACTACGCCGCCTTCGGCCTCCACTCGGGCAAGTACACCGACTACGGCCGGAGTGCTGTCCGCGCGGAGAAGGGGCTCCCCGCCCAGAACCCGTCCGTTGCCCCAGCCCCAGAGCCGATTACCCAGTGATCGCCTCAGAGATGGAGACGACTGCTCATGATTCCTTAACCCTCATGGCCTAGAAACGCACATCACGATCGCGAGTTTCGCAAGTTCAACCTGTGCCTATCCTTTCTTCACGACTTGACGACTACAGTTCTGATTTAATAGTCCCTGTAATCGACTTCCTGGTCTTTTATTTTCTTCCCCGGGAGCTGTACAGCACTTTTTTTTGTATCCATTCAATGTACCTGTACCCGTTGTACATCAAGTGTTTGTACATCAGTAGCTTTTGCCTCATGGCCTTCACCAACTTAGTGTCCGTGGTGTAATACATCTTGTCAACCACAGAATCTCTGCCTCACTACGTGACCGTGCCGGGTCGATTGCTTGAGAGACAAGAGTTTACAAGTGTCAACGGATTATTGGTACGTTCTTGGCACTAGACACCACCGGGTGTCAACAGTTCGAAACGACGCGACAACGTAGTCCATTGATATGCATTTACAGAGACAGCTCCGCTCTCCCACTCTACTTCTTCTTGGCAATAACAACATAAGTCTTGTACGGATACTCAAACTCGCCCTTCTCCCTGTCCGTCCAGACCAGGTCGTCGCCCCTGGCGAGGATACCCTTGATGTCCTCGACGGCCTGCGCCTTCTGCTCGTCCGGCAGCACCGCGACGTAGCTCTTGCTGCACGCGCGGTCGACGACGATCTGCTGCGTGCCGAGGAGATGGTAGCTCCACTCGGCCTCCTCCTGCGGCGCGAAGCCCTGCTGGTAGCCCGGCGTGTCGAACGTCGCGCGCCAAAGGCCGAGCCGGAACTGCGGCGTGCCGTTCTCGTGCCGCTCGATGCGGTCGCGGAGCTGCGCGACCCAGCGCGCGCCGTCCCTGTCCACGGCCCGTGAGCAGCAGCGTCACGACGTCGACCCGAGCGCACGGACGCACCTGTCCTCGAGGTTCCAGATGAGGGCGACGACGCCGTCTGGCTTGAGCACGCGCGCGAACTCGCGCGCGGCCGCGTCGTAGTCGGGGCACCAGTGGAACGCCTATGCCACGCAGAAAGAAAAAGACCCGCGCGTTCAGCCGGTGTGTACCTCCAAAGAAGTGGGCGGGGAGCGGGCATCTCTCACCTGGGCGACGACGACGAGGTCGGCCCAACCGTCTTCGACGTTCGTGTGGTCGAACGTGCCTTCGATGGCGCTCGCGCACGCGTCGTCGACCGTCTTCTCGAACTGGGCGCGCATGCCCTCGCTAGGCTCGACCGCACGCAGCTGCTGGACCGCGTCCTTCCACTCTGGGTGCGCCAGGAGCGCACGCGTGAAGATGCCCGTGCCCGCGCCGACCCTGGCAAACCGAAACCAAAGAAAAGCGAAAAAGTGGGCCCGTGAGAAGGGGGAAAACGTGTGACGGAGGCGTGTGAGCGTACTCTACGATGTTGAGCGGCGCCGATCCGCGGACGGCCTTGCGGATGTGGGAGATCGCCTCTGATCGGTACGAAGGACGGGCTCTACGCGCTGGGCTGTGAGAGACGCTGCGGGGTACGTTTGAACTGTAATGCATGCATACCTGTCGTAGAGCTCGTTCGTCCCCGCTCCGAAACCCTTTTGGGCGATTTGGTGTACCGTCGGCGTGGAAGTCATGGCGGTAGATAAAAAGCTCCTATGTAGGCACACTCTTTGCGCGCAAAGAGGGGTCACAGTTGGTATGAAGGACCTGGCGGTTGACCTTGCGTTTTGTGCGAACGAGTGGTGGAGGCGCAGCATCTAATGTGACTCCCACAGGACTCAGGAGAAGGAGGCGGTCCCGCCAATGGCGCGAGATGGTGCGAGATGGGAGTGCGATATCGGCGATATCGGCCGAGCCATTGTGCGAACAAAGGAGGCTGTCAGAGTCACAGTCGAGCAGGGTCATATTGGCTCTTCCGAACTTGGTCCACTTTTTCGAGGATTGTGCTTCGTACGTCAGGCGTGGTCCGAACAGTCGTACGTTCATAAATTGCAATTGCTGCGCAGAGCATGCTGTCTGCTGAGGACTGCTGACGTGTGAGAGTCGCATCTTGACTATCAGGTCATGACGCTAGAAATAATTTTTTAGCCGACATGGGAAGACAATCGGTGCTCATAGCCTGTAGCTCAACAGGTTATGAGCCCCGGTTGGCTCGGGGACGTCGACTGACGGGGAGGCGCTCCGGGTGGGAGGGGCAAAACTTTGAAGAAGTGCCAGCGAGTGTCGATCCTGGACGACCCCGGGTTGGAATGCCACGGAGGAGAGAGCACAGCAGCACACTCCCAAGAGCCCGGACGTGGGCGAATCAGGAGGCAAGAAGCCTTTGCTGGCGCTTTGACCCCGCGGGGCGCCGCACGTCGCACGTGATGGGTCGTGCCGCAGCCGCCCGTAGCGCGTCTTGGGCGCGCGCCACAAAGGCCTCGGAGGCTTTCTCCACACACTAGACCACCCAGCGAACAAATGCAGGCCGACGACGACTGGCAGCTCCTCCTGCGCAACTACGCCATCCGCGCAGAGCCGCAGAAAATCCCGCCCACCATCCGTCTCGAGCACACCGACACGTCCATCACCGTCTACGACGCGTACCCAAAAAGCATTTTCCATTTCCTTATCCTGCCGCGGCCGATCCCTGGCTTCCTTGATGTGGACGAGGTCGACAATTTGAGGACGCTGTTCAAGTGTGGCAAGGAGAAGGCAAAGAAGGTGCTCGACGGCCTCGCAGAAGTCGCGAAGAAGCTCAAGGAAGAGATGGAGCAGGAGATGGTCCACCATCATGGCTTCAAATGGGACGTCTGGGTCGGCTTCCATCCAGTCCCGTCTATGAAGTACGTGCGAGGGCTGCAAGCTTGATGTCAAAGCAACCCTAGTAAAACTGGACGTTTAGGCACCTTCATTTACACGTCATGTCCGGCGACCTTTGCTCAGACGCGGTGAAGCACAAAAGACATTACAACTCCTTCCATCCAAAGCGCGGCTTCTTCCTACACTTGGACGACGTCATGTCCTGGTTCGACGCCATGCCGTCCTTCTACGCGGAGGTGCGCCCTGCTAACCTATTTCGCTTCTGGTGTCGCATCACCGACGTCTGTCTTCCGTTCCGCAGAGGATCCAGCTCAAGCCGAGCACGTACGAACCGCTCCTGAAACACGACCTTGAATGCTTCCACTGCGATGAAGAGTTCAAGACGATGCCGAAGCTCAAGGAGCACCTCCAAAAGGAGTGGGACGAGCTCGCGAAGCGCGAGCGACCGTATTGGCAACGGAAGCGCGAGGCGAAGAAGCGCGCGTTGAAGGTTGCTGAGACGGCTAAGCAGAAAAGTGAGCCGGTAGACCGAGCGAGCACAGAGGACAAGGGCGAAGGCACCAGCCGCAAGCGGCCGTCGTCGCCTGCCGCGGCACCCGACCGCAAGCGGACGCGCACGACAGAGTCTCCTCCACACGACGAGCTCGCGGAGACTGGTGCCTGAAGACTTGGCATCCCAAACACATTTTGGAAAACACGGGCTTTGAAGATACTTACCGCACCTCGGCTACTTTTGCACCACAGCCAAACATACGCACCGTCTCATCCGGATTTCATATCTCATTGCACATTTCCATCCATCCATTACATTACACAGCTAGTCCTATCCGCATCTTGCATGTTCTATAGTCTATTTCTTGGATAACAACGAGGATGCTTTGATCTTGACCTACTTGCGCGCGGCTCGGGAGCGTTCGGCGGCTTCGCGGATGGCCCACGTGAGCTCGTACGTCTTAACGGCATCTGGGTTATAGAGGTAAGAATGAGACGACAGTGTGAGCGAAACGTTAAAGACACACCCTCAAAGTTGGACAAAATCTGCGCTGTCTCAGGATCTTCTTCAATGTCCTCAATGTTGTCAACGAGGACAGATACTTCCGAAAAGAAAGGGTCGTCGTCTGAGAACTGATGTGCCTCCTCGTGGTCGCTGCCCGGCCTGCGGACATAAAGCACAGGTGCCACATACGGGTTTACGAGCCTGATCGTAGCACGCGCGTCAGCCGACAAACACACCGTCACACTGGAATCGAACGCACTTGAGCTGGTAGCCGTCAGCGTACACCTCAAGCTCACAGCTGTAGTCGTGTCCCTGGAGGGCCGTCAGGTGCGTGAAGGTGCCGACCGCGCCGCTCCTGTACTTCCAGGTCGCCGATGTGACGCGCGAGACGCGGTTCTCGAGCGCGATCTTGCCCTCGTCGATCTTCTGCTTCGAGAGCTTGCCCGCCTCCTCGTCCCACTCGAGCGAGTGCGCGACGACGGTTGAGATGTCGACGTCGCCGCCAAAGTAGCGGGAGAGGTCGCAGAAGTGCGTGCCCTGCTCGATGATCGGGCCGGCGCTGCGAAGGGCGCGTGAGACCACGCGAGGAGGACGGGAAAGGCGGCACCACACACCTCTTGGACTTGTCCCACCAGTCGAGCTTGGCGATGGCTTCGTATGCGGCGGCGTACCGTGCGACCGTGGCCATGACGGTCAAGTTGTTATCCGCGATGATCTGCTTCATCATCTGAACTGCACGGAGGTAGCGGAGCATGTAACTGCAGCCACTCATCAGTACTGCGCTTTGGCTGTAGCATGAGGGAGGCTGCTCACCCAACAGAGCAGATGGCACCGTTCCTCTTGATCTCCTCGGCGACCTTGAACGCCTGGGCAAGCTCCTCCTTGGGGCCGGTGGCAACGGGCTTCTCGATAAAGAGCGCGACACCGGGGAAGTTTTTGAGGATCTGCAGCTCAATATCGCGTCCGCTCTGCGTCGTGCCGCGGAACATCGGAGGCGAGCCGATGACGAACGCGCGCGGGGCCATGTTCGGCGTCATGTTCTGCACGAGCTCGTCGAGCGTCCGGAACACCTGCGTGTGCTCGTACGCGCTGCGCACGAACGTCTCGCACTTCTCACCGAGCACGGCCCGCGCGCGCTCGACGGCGGGGTCGACGATCGCGACAACCTTCAGGCGCGGCCCAAGCTTGCTGGAGCGCCGCGGCGGCGGCGGAGGTCAACATCGGACACACGGGCACGCGGAGTGCAGAAAGGCACGTACTGCTCGAAGCGGAACGAGTGGTTCCACGGGCCCTCGTCCGAGCCTGGCATGCGTCATCGGTTGGGTGTCTCGGGAAGGAGGAGCGCATATACCCACCAAACATGATGTTGCCGGCCCCAACAAAGACGACATTGAAGTCTCCGACGCCGGACAACTGGTGCACCCTGAAAAACAGGATGATAGATCAGCGTCGAAACACACACGGGTGGACACCGGTGATGCGCCCGCTAGTGGGTGCGATCGGCCGGTTCGACTGTTCAAAACGCGACGTACTTGTGCATGGGCTGGAGTCGCGCGGGGTCAATGGATCCCCTGCGCGAGCTGGGCCTCGAGCTCGACATTGTCTGCGGCGAAGGCGGGAGCGGGAGGCGGAGAAAAAATCTTTCGTGACGGTCTGGGACAGAGATCTAAAGTTGTCTGGATGTCAGGCCGATCGACCACGTTGAATGAGGGTGTGTTTGTGGAGCAGAGCCTCTTTGCGCATTATGGCCTTATTAAAGTTTTAGTGGTTCGTCCGCTCCCGATGCTGCGGACTCTATATCAGACATTCGTGGCCGGATCCTACGAGAGCCTTGCGGAAATTGCAGACGCGAAACGTAGTGGTCGGGGGTTCCTGGCCAATGGCCACACGCGAAAGTGCGCCCGTAGCTCACCATGACGGGCCAACCCATGCCCTACGGTCTCAGCACATGTCACCGTTTTATGAGGATGAATTATATCTTGTACAGGCCGAGGGAACAAGCGGCTGAAGAACGATTACTACAGTTGCCGTATGCGATGGAATGATGCAAGGGTATGGTATGAGTATGGGGGTCCAATCCAAGTCTAGATCCGTTCATGTCCTCTGTCAAGATTTAGTGGCAGCCTTCGTGGCACCTTGCAGAGCAGCCTCCCGCTGCCTGAGCTCCCGCTGTTTACGTTCGGCCGCCTCGATCCGAGCATTCATCGCAGCCAGCTCCTCCTTGAGCTTTTCGTTCTCTTGGGACAGCTTCAGGACGTTGCTGGCGCGCTTATTAACCTTGTCGAGTCTATGTGCCAACGCATTGAACGTTAATCATCGTAGGGACGTGGAAACGGGACAGGGGTGGGTGATTATAGAAGATGTGCGAGCCGATGAGCGCGTCTTGGTATACAAGACGCCAGGGTATGGAGAGGCGAGGGATCTGGACTTACTCGGGCACCGTGGGGGCACTGTCGGATGAGGAGGACTCTGACAAGATCGATTCAAAGGTGGTGGAGAGATCTAACTCTGACTGCGGCAGGTCAAGGTCCGGGAGTCGTGGCTCTGGCAGAGGAGTAATAACACTCTCGGCGATGGAGGCAGTATCACCCAGGTGTGACGATTCGATGCTCCTCCTGACGTTCCTGCTGGCAAGGGGCATGGCGGAGGGTTGAACGTGGTGTCAGAGATGCAACGGACGGATTACAAGTGATGGCGGGCACCAACCCCGAGTAATGGCGGTCATAGCGGTTGCTGCTGCCCGTCGCGTTCTGGGAGTTCATGTTGAGGGAGGGCGGGAGGTGTGCTGGTGAGGATGCGAAAGGCGAAGAGGACGACGTGCGCTCGTTGGCCGCCATCTTTGGTTGCCGTGGCAGGCGGGAAGCGCGTCGACGATAGCCGGCCGAGGGATGGGGATAGGGTTAGGGTCTGTGTCAGTGATGTGGCAAGGGTAATTTGTGTTTGATAAGGGGAATAATTTGTGCGTGACAGCTTAGAAACGGACTGAAGGAAGGTCACGATGACGGGAAATTCTCTGTGGGAATTTCCAAAAAGAGGGGCCGATCGCTGGTGATATCTGCGATCTGGCGCAGGGTGGCTGCCGAAAGCGGAGAGGCGACCCCTTCAGAATTTGTGGGAGAACCAATCTCGGCCGGGATTCATTCTGTCCTTGGGCTGCCCCCGTGGTGGTCGACCGCCAGGACAGAGCACAAAATGGCCTCTTCCACAGAGCCTCCCTCGCCCTCCCGTCCCGCCATGGACCACAGCCACTACGACTACCGCATCATGCAGCCTCCGCCAGACTTTGCAGCGCACATGCAGATGCCCCACATCCCGCTCCCCCTCGAGACTCCCCTGCCCCCCTCCTCCTACGACTTCACCAGCCATGGCGCGTTCCCCATCCCCCAGAGCATGCACGGCCCCCAGGCCCACCCTCTCTTCGAGGGTGTCCTCGCCATGCACCAGATGCTCGGCCACGACCTCAATCTCGCCTGGCCAGACGTAGCGCAGTGCAACCAACAGTCGTCGATGTCTTACTCCGACGACAGCAACAGCCCGTATGCCTGTCCTCCTCAGAGCATCGACCAGCTCCAGCAGTGGACAACGCCTCCATCGTCTATCATGGATCCGACCCCTTCGCCTCTCGAGGAGTCTCTACCGCACACACCTGAGCAAACGATCGAGCTCATCCCAGAGCCCATCGGCCAGCACAAGGAGCTTTCTCCTCCTCCTCCTCCCCATGCCCAGAACACTGGCTTTGCGATGTTTCCCCTAGTGGTAACTGGCGCAAAGACGCACGAACATACAATCGCCTTCCAAGCAGATGTACGCACCCCCTTCCCCATTCATTTGCCCTGACACTGACCCTGCATTCTAGCGACAAAAGTCAGAGAAGGCCGGCTCGAAACTCGATCCATTTGCTGCCGACTTTATCCGGGAAAAGCTCGGCGAGCACAGATGGAACATCTTCTCTTCTCGTCTGGCCGAACGGCGAACGACATCGCAGAAGAGCAAGTCGCGCATGGACGCGAATGGCTCAGCGACCGACTCGTTTGTCGTCAACAAGGGCGAAAGCGCCACTGTTATCGACTTCCTTGTCAAGGTGGAAGTTGTCAAGAGCGTTCTTCGGACGTTCGTCCCGTAAGTTTCATTTCATCGGGCCTTTGCTATCTATACGCAGGGCACCGCTTTGACTGTCACTTTCTCACCGCGTCTTCTCTCTTATTATAGGCATCCGTACAATCCACTCAAGACGCTTTCCCATGCGTACGATGCCGCGCCTTCGGGGCAAGTGACGTTGAGCCGCACGACGGTGCTGACGTTGTCTGGTTGGTCAAACACCCAATTCTCGTACTGGGCACGCCGAGCAGAAGCAATATCGGTTCTGGGAATGTACGACGAACGTCTTCGGACGGTCGCGTTAGCGCTCCAATACCGACTCCAATCCCAAGGCCTTCTCGAAGGCGTTGACGCGTCCGCCCCATCATCCTCACAGCGGAGTCATCATCCCCGCATTAACTTCGACGCAGCGTCTCGTGAAGATCTCGACCCTGAGGAATGGGTGAGAACCTACGTCACGGGCAAGGGCCTTGACGTGATCATCGACGAAGTCAAGAAACAAACAGGTGTGAGTCCCTTCCTGCGTGGGAAGCACTCGAGCCTCGACCCGTTCGGGACGGTCAGCATTGATGCCGACGCGGACGGCGGCGGACGCAAAGCCATCGTGTACATGCCCACGTTCCAAGCCGAGAAGTACGTCCACGAGGTTCCGGCCGACATAGACCCTTCCGCGCTGTCAGGCATGATCGGCAGCAAGAAGGCGGGCAAGCGCAAGGCATCGAGCCCGTTGCGCACCGAGAGCGAGGGCGAGGACGCGTGGCCGTCGATAGGCGGCGATCTCTCCGGCGAGGATGCCATGTCCGTTAAAACGTCGTCGTCCCGCATGCAGAGCGCATCTCCGCCCTTGTTCGCCGCCATGCAGGATCTCCCGGGCAGCCAGTTCGCGTCGGCTGGCTTCGAGCTTCCTGTCTCTGACTCGCGCTACTCCTTCGATGGCAGCGGGCCGCAACGCTCGGCACCGCCGCATTCACATCCGTCGCCGTATGCGCGACCATCCGCTAAGAAACGCAGACTAGCGCCTGCGCCTCCGGACTCGATGGCAAGGAACGTCGTTTCGGAACCTTTGCGAATATACCACAACCATCTGCGGACAGGCTAGGCATTCACAGTGCGGTCCGTGTATTTAGGGATACATGCCATTTTCTGCCGCTATTCTCAAGTCTTAACTTCATAATTGTAGCATATAGCGTGTAGTGCTCTCGGATTCATGTATCGCTGGACTAGTCCTCTTTTCGTTCTATACTAGGTATTGAATGGATGACGGCGAAAGCACATTCCAGCTAATTTTGCATTTTGGGATATACTGTGAGGCGACAACAGCCCTCCCTTTAAGCGTGAGTTGATATTGAGATAACCGGGATAGGTATGTTCTACACGATACAGATCGGAAAGAAAATCTTCGATGGACTACTATTACCGTATGGGTACGACTGCGTAATTGGAAGCATAAGACTACAGCATAATTCATCACGGACAAGCCAGAACAACTCTTGAACTTCCGGAGACAAGATGGTGAGAAAGTCCGGATCTCTGGAACGTCGACTAAAAGAGCCACGGTACCTTCCTACATGAGCTCCAGAATGGAGGTCTCCAACACCCGGAATTGTGTCGGATCCTTGGAGAGCTCGGACCAACCGATCTGCTCCCTCCAGTTGACCTGGTTGGCCTCCTTCTCGCCACGCCCCTCGAACACGGACACCTCGTCATCCGAGAGGCCGCGAAACATGAGGAAGATGCGTGTGAAGACGCAGTTCTCGACCGTGACGGAGATGTCGATGGCGGCCGCGATCTTGCTAGGCGACAGGAACCGATAAGCGATGTTCCTGTGCTGCGAGAAGGCGCTCATGTTGTTGCTGCAGGCGTGGAAGGTGCGCGGGCCGGGCACGCGGTTGCGTTCGTTAGCGTGGTTCGCTAGAGTGCATGCGAGATGGAACGTGCACTTACTTGATGAAGCTGGTCCGAGCATGGAGAGACATGCCAAGCTGGTCTAGAACGTTGCCGAGATGAGGGATGAAGTCCCGGAAGGACATTGCGAAGCCGTTGCGCGGCGCGATAAACTCCTGCGGATCGACATACACAGGATCTGGTCTGGAGGGCACAGCCCAAAGGCATCGAGGGTCAGCAAGCGACATCGAATGTACGAGTGAAAGAGAAGCGTACATCGCTTCATAGTACAGTGATGTACACGTGATTTGGGTCTCGAAGTGCTCGGCCGCACCGCCAGGGTGCACCCGCAAGAAGTATTTGACCCTGTTGTCCGCGACTGGCTCGGCGGTGGGCCATGTCATTCCGAGCCTCCAGAGCGACGAGCAGGAGAGTGTCACGTCACAGTACTGCGCACTCGGGGCAAGGATGCTCAGATGACATTTGGCTGTTGCCGGCTTGGCCGCAGCGGCAAGCTTGGTGATGACTTTGGAGTCGACAAGCAGGTCTGGTGAGACTTCATCCTCGTTGACGATCCTTGTCCCACTGAACTCCATGGTGTGGGTATCACCTTGGTGAACAATGTTCAGCTTGCCCCAGAATTGGCCGTCTACTGTTGTCCCATCCTCCATGCGGGCCATGTCACAGTCATCCGATGAAACAGTGGTGTCTAGGGCTACATATTGTCCGGGGCTTAATTCTAGGTTGAAGGTCGCTGGCATGTCCAGGACCGGCGGAGGTCTATGGTAGCACGTGTTTCAGTCGTTAATTGATATACAAAGATAGATATACTTACGGAGGCGGACTATCGGACCGTGATGTAATGGTCAGCCATGAACAACAACGGCCAGATATCCATACGCCACTCACGGAGGTTCGTCCTCTGGCGGGGGCGGACCGTCAGAGACAATCTCTACTCTCAGCCCTTGCACGCCCATCACTGCAATTTGATAGGTGTCGTCTCCAGACAACTGTATTTCCGGAAATGAGAAGACTCAGAAATCTGTGCCATTAAATGGTCGAGCTCACGTAGATATAAGGCGTAGAGATGAGACGCTGCAAGACAGTCAAGACAATGGCACGCAGCGACCAGCCAACAGCAACTCACAGAAGCAGCAAGGGACGCGTATTCGACGGGGACGCGCAGACTGAACATCGCGTCCGGTGGCGGTTTAACCCAATCTCGCGCAAGTGCTTCAAGTTCCTGAGTTACAAGAAGTAAGCGATCTCATGAGTTTGGACATTGTCGACTGTGCTGACTTACAATATAGGTGGGCGGAAGCTGTGCCAGCCATCAGGCGCCGTATCGGAGCAATGAAGTCGAGCAAGACTTACCACTCGAATTGTCTCCATGTCACCGAACGCAAGGGTCAACAGTCTTTGCCTGGACAACGCCATCGGTGGCGGTTGCTGTGGCTGCTGCTCCAGCCTCATGTCTTTGCCGCCTTTAGGCGACTTGAATCTCCCCCAGAATCCGCCTTGGGACGGGAGACTCGCATTCGACACCCTAAAGATCACTGTCAGAGCGACTGGAGTGTCAAATGGAGATTAGCACTCACGCAGGCGATGTCAGCATGGCTACGCCAGGCAGCGAGGACTATGCAGAGCAAGTGGATGGGGTATTACTGGTGGAGGTGAGGAGAAGAGAAGAGTCATGGACCTCTGCTCAAAATGGGCAACAACACGAGGCAGCGCGGAACACGAGGCAGTATTCCAAGTACGACGGTTATAGGAGGGGTTGGGACTGGATCACATCTGCGATGGATGTGTGCAATACAGACCTCTTACTACTATCGTGTTGGCATATCTTTACCATGTTCCATGCTCTTACCTTGCCCGTCGTCGCGACCGATGATGAGGAGCAATTTCATGAGCGTTATCCCGCAGACGCGCACGAGACGCGAGTGAGGCAAAAGCCTGGAGACGTCATACCTCGGTAATGCCACATGGTATAAGCGCCGCAATGCAGAGCCTGCCCGGCTTTACTTCGTGCTCTTCCAACATCCTCCACACTTGTAACATGTTGCGGCAGGCCCTCAGCGCAAATGTCAGGAATGTCGGTCAGCGACGGGGCTTTGTCTCCACCGTCCTGCTCACCCGCGACTGGTCGAACAAGAGCCTTGGTGCTTTGAAGAGAGAGGCAAAACAGCGCGGACTCTTGCAGTAAGTCATGCGTTCGTCCCGATTCGTCATTTTTGGGTCGCACCGTTCATTCCTGTGCAGAACCGGAAACAAGGCTACCCTGATTACCCGGTTGCAAGAATTCGAACGAGACCAAGCCCTCCAGAGTCCAACACCGGTACCCCAGCAGCAGCAAGTGCGGCATGCTTCCAATGTCGAAGCGGCAGGCGTTCCGTCGAGCTCCCAGCCCGCGCCCGCTCCGCCTTCCTACCCCAAAGAGTTTTTGGCTGTCAGGATTCCGGAAACCCATCACCTAGCCCCAGAGCCACCAATTGCAGTTGTATGTCTATTCGCTTCCGTTCGTAGCACGCGCAAAATTCATGTGAGCTTCATAGCCTTTCGTGCCAGACTTCTGGGATTCTTCAAAAGTCAAAGCCGAGTCTTCCCCTCCTCAGGCCGAACAGCCATCCAACCCCAAGGTGCTCACCGTGGCCGGTGCGGAAACCCTCATCGGCGGCGGTCCTTCTCACAATCTTTATCCCGACACTCTCGCTCCTCCTACCGCTTTGCAGCCCGTGAAAAAGAAAGGAATGATCATGGAACTCGTTCATGACTTTGTCCCGGAGATCGCTTCTATTTCTCTGCCCCCGAGAAAAATGTCGGAAGACTTCCTCAAAGGTGTTGCGGAGATTACTGAGACTACAGGCGCAGCAGGGCACCACCATTCCCGCACCCTCGACAAGGACGAAAAGAATGGAGTGCTCGCGTTGGTCGGTCTCTTCGTAGGCTCCTGGCTGCTCGCGGGTATCTTTGCACCCAAATCCGCCTTCGCAGAGGAGCACGCTGAGAAGTCTGTCTCGGAGAAGGCTGCTGAGAGCTTGTAGATGGACGCTCGTCGTCTACGCCACACCCTACTCCTGTATCCCTACGTATCTTCATCTCCTCTAATTGACCTTGTTCACCCTAGCAACTAGGATGCAGATTTGGGTTACGTATCGCCTAACAGCATTATTCAATTTCGCCGTTGATGCATAACAGTTCACTGTGGTATTTGGTTTTGTATGATCGTGCTTGTTCGGGTCCCTTCTCGTCCAAGCTTCGCAGGCCATGCGATCGACAACCTCACAACGTTCACTGTTGCCGCAGCCGAGTTCGCAACGTCCAATACTCCCGCTCCCCCTTTTTTTTCCCGGAAAATACAGTTGACACATACTTTGCATGCAGGCATCTTGGACTGTCTTTCTTAGTATCAACATTTTGGACCATCTCCTGGCTTATATTGGGTGTAGGAAGAGGTATAGAAATGCGTATACAATTACATTGATGTCCTGTCTTACTTACATCTCACTGTTGCTTGTCTTTCGTTTCCTCAATGATAAATTCGCGCATGTAAGTCACCAGCTTGCCAGCTTGTTCTTCCGTGATTGCATTGTAGAGCGAGATACGGATGCCTGCGAAGACGAGATTGTCAGTGCAACTTCGCAACGCTCTTTCAGATAGAATATATACCACCGACCGATCTAAACACGCCTTCGGTGAGCACGAGGACGCACAACCACGGCGAAAACGCACCTGTGGCCTTCCAAACCAGTCATACCGCGCTCCTTTGCACCGTCTAAGAACCTCTTCTCCGCACCCTCACCAAGCACCTCGAAGACGACATTCATCCAACTCTCCGAGCCATTCTTCACCTTCCTCCTGAACACGCCCTTCTCCTGTCCCTCGTTGATGGTTGCATACACTGATAGCGCCTTTTTGCGGTTGAGCTCCTCGTAATATGGGAGTCCGCCCTGCTCCCTCATGCGCTCAACGACCAGGCCAGTCACGTAGACCGAGAGCACGCTAGGCGTGTTGTACAGGCTCTTGGAGTCGCTGAGCGTCTTCCACGATAGCATCGTCGGCACAGGGATCGCGCCCAGCTGCGCGGCCGCATCGACATCGACGAGGCAGTCCTGCCGCACGATGAGCACCGTCACGCCCGCGGGGCCGATGTTCTTCTGCGCGCCGGCGTAGATGACGGCGTGGTCCGCGAGGTGTGGGATCCGGCGGCACATGAACGACGACGAGTAGTCCGCGACGAGCGGGAGAAGCTTCGCCTCGCCGTTCGGGTTGAGCAGGCCGTACGGGAACGCGGTCGCGCTGCCCGGCTCGTGCGCGAACTCGACGCCGTCTACGGTCTCGTTCTCGCAGTAGTACACGAGCGCGGGGTCCGGCGAGAACGCGAACGCGGCGTGGGGCGGGATGTTGTCGAAGGACTGGCCATCGCGTGAGTGCTGCCGTGTGTCGACGACGACGCGGACCTGCGCGTGCCCGCCGACGGTGAGCCGGCGCGCCTCCTCGCACGCCTTCTTGCTCCAGGAGCCGGTCACGACGTAGTCGAGCACCGTCTCCGCGCCGCCCTTCTCGGGGTGCAGCAGCTTGTACCGCGCGAGCATGTTCATCACGACAGCTGCGAACTGCGCGGAGCCGCCGCCCTGCGTGAAGAGAATAGCGTGCGTCGGCGGGACATCGAGCTGGCTGCGGATGTTCACCTCGACTTTGGCGATGAACGTGGTGAACTCGGAGGAACGGTGTGAGATCTCAGCGATACCGATGCCGGTGTTCTCGAAGTTGACCAGACCCGCTTGCGATTGCTCAAGCACGGGTAGGGGCAGCGCGGAGGGCCCTGCGCCAAAGTTAATAACGCGATCGTGGGATGCGGAGGTGGCCATGTCTTCCAGTTCCTGGACAAGTTACCTGAAAGTTGCGGAGGGCTGGTAGATTACATAGTCATTCCCTGATATGAACTGGACATACCTGGTCAGTTCCGCTTCCAGCGCGGTCGCATTAGCACTTCCTGACTGCATTCATTTCGCGCACTCACGTTTCCCAAAGCTGCCTCACCACTGTGCAGCGCACAGAGAATAATTCGTAGGGCAAGTGCTGATAAGTGGCTTTGGATGACTCCCACGGGAGTGGCGGCAAAATTGTGCGATATGACGGGAGGAGAGTGAAAGCCGGCCGGCCGACTAGTACGAGATTGTTCCAGGGCCGCCGGGAGCATCACCTACTCCTCGATGGATCTTGGCTCGATCGCTGCCCGACTGGCCGTCGTTCCTACACACATACTCGCAAACAGTCGCGGTCCATGTTCATATTAATACGCGTCGTAGACAGTACCTACTACATACAGCGGAAAGGCTGGCTATCACTAAAGAACTAGGACAGTGGAAGTCTCAGAATATACGATACAGAAGTAGAGAAGAGGGAGTAGCGGTGCCGGGGATCTGTGAGGTGAGGGGAAACCGTACAAAGGTCGTTACAGTGGAGTCTGAGAGAGACTGAGACATAATGCTAGCGAGAGAATTGTAAAGTAGATATGGCGCAGCAGGAAGGACAAAAAGAGGAGAAGGGTGCAACAGCAGAGCATACGCAAAGAACGCGAGATGGGTAATAGAAGAATATGTGAAGAATAAATCAAACACCGCCGTCGTATTAGGCAAACTCGACGTATCGAGATGAGAAATTTCACGGAGATGTGGACGGAGGTGCGAAGCCTCGACGAAGGTGCAGGGGATGTGACACAAAGTAGACGGAGCAGGGCTGCGGCGCAGATGTTTGAGCTGAAGCCGTTGAGATCCAATGGGGCGAAGTACATAAATGGAGCAGCGCCATATGCCCGCCGAGTTTATGACACGGAAAAAGAGAGGGCTTGGAGGTGGTTTGGGAGAAATCGCATTCCGAGAACGAGGCTGAGAAACTTGGAGAGCTCGACGCAGAGACTATCGTACAGTCTGAGGTGAGTGACGCAGAACGAAACTATTGATACACGTCTGTAAGCGGAGCTGCAAGGAGAAGTTACCATGAAATGAGTGAATACCTCGACATGGGAAAGAGCACACACACGAATGACTGACCACGAGCTGATGATTGTGTGCTGTAGCTCACAAAGATTAAAGTACTTGTTTGTTTGCTGGCTGGGAAGTCGAGATGCGAGTAAATATAGATGTCTGCTTGACATGGTGATGCCGGGGACGCGGCGAGGGTTGATTCTAATCCTTAGCACGGCTGGGTGCTACAGCGATCGATTCGAGGACGTTCATCCGTCCTTCAAGATATAAAGACTTGCAATAGAGATAAATAAGTCATTTCTGTGATGCCGGTAGGAAGACGGATGCTGCAAATACGGAGATGGGGCAGGCGGGTTCACAGAGGCTGAGGTTGAGGTGACGCGGGAGACATGATCCGTGCCAGCTCTGTGGGCGGAGGTGGAAGCTCGGGTCCGGCAGAAGGAAAGACGGGCATCAAGTGGTGGAAGTTTACGTTCTGTGGATTAAACCTGTAGGTCGGCGGTGGCGTGCGTGGATCGTAAGCAGAACGCTGAATTTCTGCTGCCGGAAGAAGCTGCGGGAGGAGCGGCTCTTGTGGGAACTCCTGCAGGGGCGTGCGAGGCGAATGCCGAAGGGAGCGTGGCATCTGGGGCCACACACTGCTGCTGACATCGATGGAGGTGAGTGAAATGGGTTCTGCTGAGATGTTACTGCCGGGCGCTGTACTAGAACGCGTAGAGACCCGTCGGTGACGCACTGGACCAACGCTCGAGGATTGGGAATGAGAACGCGGTGACTCGTCGGGGAGTAATGACAGATCGGCCACGTCCCAGACGTCAACGCGCTCTGGGTCGCACTCTACCTGTGAAATCCAAGGGAGGGAATCGAAGACAGAGGGGCCAAAAGCAGTAGATAGGTCTGAACGAGCTTGCCGACGGCGAGAAGAGCGAGAAGAGGTAGCGTGAGTACGTCGACGCTTTGTAGAGCTACATGAGGATGAGGCCTTGGATAACTGCCGAAGCAAGTGCAAGATATTGGGCGTCAAGGAAAGAAAACGCGACGCGTAACGGGGAACGTACGTTAGACTTGTGTATACTTGGGGCAGCGATATTAATCGGAGACAGGAGTCTAGGAGGGCTGAAGAGGCCTGTGGACTGATGAAACGCGGTAAGAAATGTGGCCAAGTGGGGAAGAAAGGGTGCTCACCCGAGGAATGTCGGTCGAGAGGTAGATAGGCGGAGAAAGCAGCGGAGCAGGCCTTTCAAGAGGCTGGGAGGGGTCGAACGATGCTCGGCGCGGCCTAGGCGAGAGGATGGCGGACATGATGGTGGTTGGGATTGAAGGGGCAGAGGATGCGGACGTGGGGCGGGCAGAGGATAGGCTGGAGTAAGCAGTGCAAGGCGCGAGCAGTAGGTCGAAAGACGATAAAAATAAAAGGCTGGGGGAGGTTAACGACGCATTGTCCGCTGGAACAATGGAAGATGACGGGCGTTGGGACGAAACGATCGTGAGGGGGGGTCGCGACGACCCAAGGGGGAGAGGGGAGGTGATATCCGGGTCAGAGTCGCTGACCGACGCGCAGTGACATGCGGCCCCAGCAGGCCATAAAAGGCGGGACCCGTGTCTTTGGCTCCATTATTCCATAAATGGATATTATTTGCTTCCGCGTGAAAATAGTTTTCGTTTTTCCAGCTATTTTTCCTCGCGTCGGCTGAGGCGCGTGCCCGCTGGCCGAACCCCAGTCTCGTACTCGTGGGGGTCGGCACAACAATTCGAGCAGACCAGCGGGCAGGAGGAGGCAGGAGGCCAACGGAGGCTGTCAAAGCCATGCCCCGTTATGTCCGAAGCAGCGTGTCCACAGCTTGCAGATTGACTCCGCGTGGGAACTCGGATCACCTCTCCGTCATTGTCCTCCGTGGCGCCCGCCCTAGCTCGATCCCGCGAGACAGACGCGCAAGGCAGTGGCGACGATGACTCTTCCCGAGAAACAGGTCTGCGCACGGACCACCCGTGAGCTTCGCCTGCTGCCGGCGCACACGCGCCCGGGTGCCTACGGTGCCTGTGATTTGTCGTCACAAAGATTTCGGACGAACGCTAGGGTGAAGACGCGTGGAACGATGGATCAGCATGTGCTTTCAAAGCATTCGTTTGTCACGACGTACCGTCATCATGCTCTCCTTTGTGGCTAGCACTCTATCAAAGAGACGTTTCCTTTCTACAGTGCCCTCCTCGTCTCTCAATCTAGAAGCTCTCGACAAGTGGATTGTATCGGACAAGAAACTCACCCTCTCTGACACCCTTCACCCTGAGCATGTCTCTGATCTTTACATCACCCTCCCGACGCGCGACGGCACACGCAAGCCCTACACTGCACCCGCCATAGGCAGTCCGCTGGGTTACGGTCATCATCTCGCTTTCTTCCACCCGCGCAACCCGGAGAACACGCTCCGGTGGGACGGTACAGATGTAGACTTCTGCCCGCCGGAACCCTTCACCCGTCGGATGTGGGCGGGAGGCAAGATCCATTGGAAGGCGCCGCTGCACGTCGGCGAGAAGGTGACCGCGTACTCTGAGATGCGTGATGTGCAGAAGAAGGGGTTCGAGAGAGGTAGCCCGATGGTTTTTGTGAAGCAGCAGATCGAGTACAAGCGAGATGGGAGCGACGATGTCGCAATCGAGGAAGAGCGATCCCATGTCTATCTGGCTGCTCAGGCAAGCAGCAGGGGCGTTAAGCAAGGTGCGTAGTCACAGAAGGGGACACAAGCGATGGTGTTTCATACCTGCAAAGCCATGAGTGAAGCAAACGTAGCTCATAGTAAGTTGTCACAGTGACGGGCATGCCCGCTCCGGAGTTTTCGTTTCGTTATCGTCCGAGTGCCACGTCCCTGTTCCGATTCTCCGCATTAACATTCAATGGGCACTATATCCATCTTGACAAGGACTACGCACATTCTGAGGGGTACACAGGTTCGTTGTGACTGTACCGGCTGTTTATGTTAGCGTGCCTCACATACTTCCGCAGAACGTCTTGTGCATGGACCACTTACCGCTCTCATGCTGCTGGATACCGCCGTATTCCATAACCCTGGCATCAAATTTAAGTCCTTCGAGTACCGTGCACTCAACCCTATGGTGATCAATAAAGAAGTGGCGGTTCATGGAGCTTGGGATGCCTCGGCCGACGGAAAGGCGCTCTTGGTGTGGGCGGTTGATGAGGACGACGTAGTGGGGATGAGTGGAAAGATCGCTATGTGACAAGTTCGCAACATACGCCATAGGAGTAATAGATTACCATCGTTCATATCCAACATAGTAGGCCGAACAAACCTGATACAGCGTATGGCAGACAGGCGCTTATCATGGGCCACGCGACGCGACGCGTCCGGGCGGCAAATAATTATCACGTGATGATCAACGTACTACATAAACTCGCGACGCACCTTGAATTTCGACCACCACTCTCTTTATCTCGTACCACAACCTCTATCCACTTCACCTACTCACAGGGTGTGTTGACTGGTTCTCAAGCTCATCGCATCCCATACTCACATCAAGAATTTTTTGCTAGCTTACACGAAATGGCACCCAAGGTCGGTAGACAATGAATAGTGATAGAGGAGCAAGGGCGTGTTCTAACGCGCCATCCTGCGCCTCATAGCCCGCCTCAACTGCCAGCAAGGCCCCTGCCTCTACTACCGCCTCCAAGGCCCCCGCTAAGGCTGAGACCAAGGCGAAGAAGACTGCCTCAAAGACCAGTGGTGCCGCTGGCGGCGATGGTGAAAAGAAGAAGCGCAAGAAGGCGCGCAAGGAGACCTACTCTTCCTACATCTATAAGGGTACGCATTGTTTTAGAAGTTTTCTAGTTGCAGCACGCCTGACAGGCGTGGCAGTCCTCAAGCAGGTCCACCCAGACACTGGTATCTCGAACAAGGCGATGGCCATTCTCAACTCGTTCGTGAACGACATCTTCGAGCGCATTGCTACCGAGGCGTCAAAGCTCGCGTCATACTCAAAGAAGTCAACCATCTCCTCGCGCGAGATCCAGACGTCCGTCCGCCTCATTCTCCCCGGTGAGCTCGCCAAGCACGCCATTTCTGAGGGTACCAAGTCCGTTACTAGTATGTCGTTCCTTTGTTGACGTGAGGCAGACTAGTGCTAACATTTGCTGCAGAGTTCTCGTCCTCGAAATAAACATTGGCCTATGTTTGATTTGCTGTGTCGAGTCATCTGTCCTGGATCTCATACCCATTGCATTGCATCTACAGCAATACTATGTGTTCGACTTATTGTACAACATACGCAGTCCCTCGCACATAATCTGACTGTTTCGGAGACTGACTTGAGGTAACGACAACTTCGAAGGAGAGACGAGGTGTGAATCCCGCAGTATTAGAAACCTGGTATGAGCGATGAGCAATGGGTCCACAAGAACGAGAGAATAATTGGACACGCACCGTACTTATTGCCTGCCTCCTTTCGGTTCTTCCTCCCCTGCGCTATCTTCTCTTCCAAGGCTTCCCGATTGCCATACGCTTCCGTTAAGAGCGTGCTCAGCTGGTGCCGCGACCGCGCCCTGCCACTGAGAGCCGCGCCCTTGATGTTCATACGTGGCGCGACCTGGACATGCTGACCGCCCTTGGTCAGTGCCTTCTTTTCCTCGCGTTCCTGAATTTCGTGCTTCGCTTTCTCCATCTCTTCAAATGCGTTCACCTCCGCTGCACCCTCCGTCTCAATACCTTCGAAGCCCTTCTCGACGCCTTTCTCGAGAGCCCGCACGTGGGCATCATATTCTTTCTTCCACTTGTCATAGAACTTCTTGTAATACGCAGGGTCGTACGCCGCCCACTGGCCTGAAGGCAGGAGGTAATAACCCGGATACGGGTCTTGGGGTGTAGGCTCTGGCGGGGCAAAGTCGTCGATTTTCGGGGCGGAGGAGACGGATGGGAGAGAGGGCGTTGGAATGAAAGGTATAGAGGCGGATGGTGTCGGTGTGGCCGACCGGGTGACAGGTGTTGGTGAGGATGACGAGCTCGCTGAGCCTGTATCTATATCAGGCACGAGAATAACAATGATATGCTACATGCTCACCTAGTGAGAAGAAATCCACAGCCGGAGCAGACGAGACTGCAGCTGCGCTCTTGGGAAGCGACGGCTTGTCCTCTGTGCTGATATTTGCCTTGCCTTTCCTGAGGTGCGGCGGTAAGAATGGTATGCTGGGCCCCGCCTTCTCCGACTTTGCAACTGGCATATCCTCCGCCTCTTCGAGTAAGCCACCACTGACGGGAGCAACGTTCCTGGCAACGTCTTCGCTCTCATCTTCGTCCGCATCTTCAACAGTTGCGCTTTGTGTAGACTTGGTTCTGTTGGAGCCTGTGTGAAAGACCAGGCCCGGCCCTCGCCCAGCGCCGAGTACACGTTCCGGCTGCTGCGACACCGGATTCTTATTTTTCGGTGCAGGAAGCATGCTCAAGAGCGTAGACGAGCCTACACCTGCTTCGAGCCTGGGCTTTTTTGGCGGTGGTCGCTCGTCGACGTCATCATCATTGGACGGTTCGTTAGGGAGAGAAGGTAGCCCAATAGTAATCTTCTTTGGGGCCTTCTTCTTGGGAGGTGGCAGTGTGAGGCTGGAAGACGACGCTCGTGGTATCGTATTGGATGGCGGAGGTAAAGACAAGCCCGCCTTCCCTGCTGGCTTTGGTGCGATAGGCGTCGACTTCGGCAGAGGGGTCGTGGTGACTTTTTTGGTCTCGTTTTCAGAGTCGCTGTCGCTACCGTAGCCCTCAACGCCGAGCATGGTGCAGAGTGAAGATCATCAATGAGTTCCGCTGGAGGGTGTCGCTGAAGTACTGAATCCCGGCCTAGTTGCTTACGTCAGCAACCCATTGGACGCGTCGCGGGCGTCCACTGAACTCTGTTGTTCCGCGTACACCAGAGCCTCGGTGGCTCTCATTTGGAAGACTTGACCTCTGTCTCTCTTGATTCATAGGGAGAAAAAAAAATGCAAGATCTTGGATCGACACCCGCTCCAAGGAGAACATTATACAGACGCTCCACGTCTCAAGAGCTCGCGCCCCAGCACATCACGCGCCGACGCAGCCTTGTACCATCTGGAAGCAGACAGCTCTCGCGTATAGGTACGCCTGCCAGGGCCTTGCATAGGCATGATAGCGTTAGGGACGACGCAGGGAGTGCGCAGGAGGGGATGGACGTAGACCAGGACGCTGTGGACGAGATTGTTGTTGAGCGAGGACTCAAGTTCGAGACAATATTCGCAAAGTCGGACGAGCTCCAGGTGACATTCTACGCGCATTTGCCGACAGAGGTGAAATTACTGCTCAGAAATGCCGGTATGTGTGCTATGCCAACTGTGCCCCAGATGCCTCAGAAGCTGAACTCCAACGGCTGTGTAGATTTCTGCCGTGATGCGTATACGGGGGAGGTTGACACCGCGTCAGGCTTTGCTCTTGTGGCTTCAACGGACAAATGCTTTGTGTGGAACCACTCACAAGTATGTGTACCTCACGATTCTGCTTGCTCTGGCTGTGACCATCCTCATAGGCCTTAACGGGTACACCGACATGCTACATCTTCCCTTGCCCTCAAGATCTGGACCCATTGGCTGACACGGCACTGCATGCACTCGTCCCGTATGGTCCTACGCGTGAACCAGGGCTTATTCTTCTTACTCCCGGGGGCATCCTGCACTTCTGGGATAGTCTTGGCATGGGTCTGGCTGGTGGTGAACCATCCTCTAGAAGCAACTTACCGTTGACGGCAGATGAGAGAGTGACCACGCTGACGCGTGCGGACGTACGTCGCACCTCCCGAACTTCGGAACATCTATCTAACTCCTTGCTGTTGTCCTAGCCACAAACCTTCGTGGTTTCGACGTCAATAGGCCGCCTCTTCCGCCTTGTATTGGCTGCTTCCAGCGGGAAGTATCTGATCACAGCCCACGCTTTCAATCGCCCTACATCCATGTATTCCCTCTCCCGCCTTCTTCCAACTTTCCTCTCGTCTACTTCCCAGGGTACGGAGGTTGAAGTAGGAAACATCAACGCTGTTGCGCTGCGCGATCGTCCGGCCGACAATACAGGCCGTGATGTGTGGACGCTCATTAACTGCCGCGTTCAGAGGTGGAACATGCGTACTGAGGGTTGGGAGGAGCTACTTGTCGACCAGGATGTCTGGTCACTTATAGGCCCATACGTCGTCAAGAAGTTCGCTGCAAGTATCTCTGGGACAGAGTTAGACTTGGATTTGGAGCTGCTGGACATCAAGCTTACTGGGTACGGAGTGAAGCTCGTTTCTCCTCCATGTTACGCTGATGGCGGAGGCAGGTCCGATGAGCTGCTCATTCTCATCTCCTTTGCAGGCATTGAAGACCAAGTGGCGATTGATATCGCACCCCAGCCCAAACGCATATATGCCATCGTCGGACTCTCTTATTCATCAGGTGCTTTCCGAGTGATTGAAGAGAAGATTCAGAAAGTACCCTACCAGAGTGTGCGTTCTTTTACTCTTGAATCAACCAGCTGAGCATGGAATGTCGGCGCTAGACTTCGAGCTCCGGCGCGCCCATGCACGCTCGCATGCAGCTGCTTCTCGAGGGTAGCATGATTGCTATTCAATTTGGAGACACTGTCGCCCTGTGTGCTCCAGGTAAGTACTTTCTTCGTGATGAATATGAATCAACCAGGACCAAGCACATTATTTAGATACAGAATACACTGACCGTCTTGAGCTAAAGTCGGCTAGCGACCGGACGCTCGGTATTGGCGTGCCTCGCGTTGGAGATGAGAGTACATTGATGGTGCTGACCGCCGCGACACTCATGAAGGTATCTGTTGATGCGGAGAAGGTCGCTCATTTCCAGGCTGCGTAAGTGACATCTCGCGTTCACCTCTTTGGACTGATGGGCCGACCGTGTTTTAGTACTGGAAGGGCGAATCTGATTAAGTCAACAATGACACAGGCAATTCTATACGGGTCGCACCCTGAGGTACGTTCAGTCTGCCAGGAATGTACATATTACTCACTTGAGTTATCCAGAACCCGTTGCACTTCAGCTTCCCTCCGGATGTAGACGAGGAAGCATTGATGTCAGGTGCTGAGCAGCTCAGTCAGGCTATAATGGAGTCCGGTATAGTCTTTCTGTAGAGATTTTACTTGTCATGATGTTGACTACTTTTACCTTTCAAGACACTAGCGTCATCCGACCGAATCATGATCTTACGGCCCAGCTGACTCATCGCAGGGAAAGACTGAGCTTCCTCATCAAATTCATCAACGATAACGGTGTGCTCACAAAGGTCCAAACATACTCCCCAGGTTGAGGTGTACAGCAGCTGACATAGCCGTGTGTAGATGAGCCAAAGGAGTCGCCAACGCCTTGCAACAGATGCCGAGAAGCTCTATGCTGCCTCACAGCTGTGGCTAAGGCATAACGATATTCTTGCCTCCGGCGGCAACCATTACGTCCTGGCTGAAGCTGTCTATACATATATGCACGATGCTGGCGAGGGACACCACGAAGATTTCATGCGTGCTTTCTTCCGCCTGAAGGTCCAGGACCTTGGCGCATTGCTCCCTCGGGTGAACGACATTGTGAAGCGCTCCTCGTACGAAGTCACGCACAGCCTCCAAGAAACTCTGCCTCACGCGAACGACATTATTCTGACCCTCCTGCAGAGCGCAACTGACTATCGTGGCTACAATCTTCGTGTCTATGGCATTGACCTCCCGCTGATTGAGCCATGGGCATCTCAGTCTCGGGTTATTGACATTGTCTCGCACCTTTTCGACCTAACCTTCCGCCTTATCGACTCACCGTCATCTACCACTACCATCTCTACTCCGTCAACTACGCTCGCCACACTGCGCGGTCAGCTGCCTGAACTTGCCGGTGTGCTTTTCTCTGCGTACGCAGAATGGTGCGCATGGCTCGGCAGCCCACTTGCGACATCGGACCCCACACACGCGCGCGTCCAGGCTGAGTTCGACGAGCGTTTCAGGCAGGCGCGTCCTGTCGTGCTCGACACGCTCCGGCGCGCGGGCTTCATCGACCGAGCATTCGTACTCGCGGAACGCTACCGCGATTACGGCGGTCTTGCAGCACTATGTCACAGCGAACGCGAGAAGGTATATCCACCGGATGCGAACCCATACCAACGCCGGATATGGCAGTACGTTGAGAAGTACAAGGAGCATTTCGTTGAAGAGATGTGTGCCTGGTGCATTGAACATGGTATGTAAATCTGTTGTTGTGTGTGAGACAGCGATCGGCGGGCTGACAGAAGTATATAAGGTGAGGTCAGGACACTCTTTGCACAAGAACAGCACCACGCTGTCTTCAGCGCGTACCTCGACAAATTCTTCGCCAGCCATCGACACCCGAGCGTATCGTGGCTCCATGACATTGGCAAGGGCCGTTACGGCATCGCGGCAAATTCTCTTCTCGAGGAGGCCGAGAGTGCAGGCGAACTTAGTGCCAAGCATGTAAGTCTCATGTCACGGGTGGTCGAGGAAATCTCCTGGAATACTGATCATCCCGCTGCACAGCTGATGCTCAGTATCGGCAAGCTTGCGTACCTCGCCGATGCGCTGGAAACGAATTCCGCGGTGGACGATCGCATCTTTGGTGGTGAGTAATTTTCCTTCCACTTTTCGGCATTGGCCATAGACCTTGTTACGCAGCGTTCCACGACGGTCTTGACTTCGTGTCCGTTCACGACTCCTTGCTTGTGGATCTGAAATCCGCACTCTCAACATCTCGGAACAGGCAGTCAATCGATCAGCAGGTCGACGTGATCACAAAAGCTAAAGCGACTAAGCTCGCTGTCACTGGCCGGCGGGCTCTTCAGAGTGTTTTCAAGCAGCTAGTCAAGAGGTTGCTGCAGGGCAAGGCTCTGAGCATCGAGGACGCAGCGGATGCATTGTCCTTGAAGGATAACGAGGACGAGGGACAACTAGAGCACTATGTGATTGCATTGCGGCTGTTAGTACACGCTAAGGTGAGGTTTAACGGTGTGCCATTTCGGATGCATCAGCTTACAGGATGACGCCCAGATTCCGGAAGCGAGGAAGCAGAATGCCTTCAGAAGTGTCTGGAGGAGGATCTATTTACATGACGAGTACGTATTCCCTCTGTCACATGCAATCCCGTAATTGAGCCTGCTCGACTCTAGCTGGAGAGCAATCCGCCACACAGTGAACACCACGGATGCCGAGATCACAAAGCGGTTCCGGCACACCGCACTGTACCATGCGTTAGTGTCAACGATTCACGCAGACCCCGAGTATTCTGCATGCGAAGGGTTCATCATCGCCGAGCCAAATGATGCGCTTACAATGCCAACACTGTCGCAGCTGCAGTCAAGGTGGCCAGGCATGCCTGACGTGGATGTTGAGGGTATCCTAGGGGACTACGAGTGGGAAAGCGCTGCATTGAAGGAGTTGGGGCTGGAGGATGTCGTTGACCGTATTAGAGAGCTAGCCGAGAACGATTGGGAGTAAAGCTCTTACAATGTCCTTGACCATGTCCAAGCATGTAACACCGCACGCTAATCGTACCACGCTTCCTCCACATTACAATGCTCTACGTGCTGCTGCCAAGCCCGATGCGGGCCATGAACTTTTGGTACTTGACACGGGCTTCGAGGACGATGTTGTCCCAGTTGCGCTTCCGCCATTCAGCATTGTACGCCCGCAGCCGGTCCTGCTCCTGCGCCAGCCAAGAGCCATAAAAGTCTGACATGGCGAGCTCTCTGTCATATGATGTGCTATCAGCAGGAAGTGAAGAGAGGCGAGCTTCAAGTGCCGCGTTGAAGCGAGTATTACTCTGAGCATCATTTTAAAAACTACAAGCGGCAGTCCTGATAGGAATAACGCACATCAGCCCAAAAGTTGTGGTTGTACGCGTCCAGCTCCTGCCTCTGTACCTTCCACTGGTACTCCCGCGTGTCGCCAGTGAACTCCTTCAGAGAGTAAGGATGTGAGGCAGGCGCGGACTGTGCAGGAGTATCATCGTAGATAACAGGACGCAGATTTGAAACGGGGTCAGGAGGGCCGACGAGGTCGCGACGAGGGAAGGACGCATGAAGCGTACGAGAACGACAGAACGAGGTAGAGACGCAACGAGGCACTCGGACGAACATAGACATCATGAGCAAAAAGACGTTGAGAGGATCTGGTTCGCACCTTGCTCAAGGAAAATCATATCTTGAAAGCTAGTAATGGGTATAATTATGAGAATGTCATGTATCCCTGGTAGTATATCGGTTAGTACACGCGCCTGTCATCTTTCGAAGGTGCGCGCGAAAGCGGGGTTCGACTCCCCGCCAGGGAGTGCAATTTTTCTCTCGTTTCCCAGCGAGAAACGTACTACACCGCCGGCGCGCCGTGAGGTATAAATGAGTTGATGCCGTTACCGAACAGTTCACTGCGCGGTACGTGACGCGCGTCTCCTCGTTACCTAACTGTCAGAAAGATAAGTAAATAACATCAGTGCACCGTTAGGCAAGCTCTAACGGTTAGCTAACGAGATCGGGTAACGGGCTGGTCTTTCCATATTCCCGAGATGTTCTGCAGCGGGGTTTGAATACGTCGGCAGTCCCCGTTTGAATAAATTACACATTTTCCATTGAATTTTCGCTCTATTTGCATGAAAATTTGACAATAAAAAGCAATATATTCCTGACAAAACTAGGGAAGATACAAAGCTCTAGGGACTATTACTACACTACAGTACATGCTAATCTTCCAGACAGACACCGTGCTTAGTGCACTCTTCACATCTGTCATGACTTGCTGAGACTTGCATGGATACCCTGCACAAAGCTAAAAGTGTGAGCCCTTAAAACACAACAGCAGACTTATGAGCTTACATGAGTGACACCTATTACCTGACATGCCAGCTACATATGATTACACATCTAGATAATCGTCAGCTGTGACTACCACAGAATATATGGTGACATACCTGTCAGAGTAGTGTAGGTGCTGCTGAACCAAAGGACATATCAATCGGGAAGCTACTCCTTGAGCTGTAGCACAACCTGATTTGTACCGCAGCTTAAGGAAGATACAGTGAAGGTATACGCGAAGTGAATGGAGGATGGGAGAGGAAGAGACGTGGCAGACAAGAAG